GAACGTGAAGGCGCGGCGAAAACCGTTTGCAGAGCCTGTTTACAAGGAGGAAAAGTAACTGAGACCCCCGCGAAAAGAGTAGTCTCGTGAGTAGAATATTACCCTTGATCCCTGCTCCGATTGGAAAATGACAAACCTTCGAGTAGTCAAGCGCTACGAGTCGCTTTGATCATAGGTGACGTAAAACTGAATGCGGTAAGAATTCAAATGTTCACCATCCTGGTGTAGAAATGACCCACTACCCTTCAAAAAAGAAATGTTCCTACAGTACACCAGTGCGTACTTTCAAACATCTTAGAGGAGAGGGCACGAGGATGTTATTTTATAGCGCTGAACCAAACGTGTAAAGTTCATTGATTGATATCAAGATATATTATCGGAAAAACCATTCGTCAATTTGTCACTGTTATTGGTATGCGGACGTATCAAGTACCTCGCTTTCCGATGCGATGGAAGCACTATATAAGAGACCTTTAGCGTCAGGTTTTTCATGGAAAACTGCAAACCGCAAACCTTAGAATGTCACGTGACCACGGTCTTGCGGTCGCGTTTGCAGTTTGAAGTTCACGTTTGAACGGCAGGAAGGGCGTCCAGCGGTAAGTGACTTACGGCACGGTTTTTTGCCACAAAAATTAAAATTGTGCCTCACGTTAAAAGGCACGAAGTAGCTTCCTTTATCCGTCTGCGATGTGCTTGTTAGATTATTGAACTCGAATAAATGAATGATCATTGTTTTTTGGGCGATAAAATCGATGCACTTTGACTTTGACAAAAAAACAACATGGCAGCACTAAACAATGAACGCCTTGCTAAAATTTGAAATCCCGGCAACGTGAAAATGCAAAACTGCAGTTTGCAGTTTGCGTTTTTCCATGCTAAAGGACTCTATTGTAACGTCAACAGCCTCACGTAGCGCAAACAAAAACAGCCGTGACTTCTTGTCTGTAAGTTCTGAATAAACGGTTCAACCCAAAATCATATTCTTAAATACAAGCAAAGCTGCCGTTTTTTAAAACCAAATCCGACCTTTTGGGAAGCTATTTCATTTAAAAAAAAGTGTCACTAAGTGATATCGTTATCTCTAAACTGTGCGATACGAGAAATGAAGAAAAGTAAACAAAACATTTCCGTGATCGTTTTATTAAGTGTAAGCAATTCATCCCACAATTCTTAATTCGTCATGGCAATCAACCCATGAATTTTGACTAGTTTAACCAACTGAATGCATCTGAACCAGCTACATATCAGTTATCTCTTAATCATTACTGGAAGTAACATGACCAAACACTGGCGTGATGAAGTCATCTAAAAACGATTCAACAACGAAAGTAAAGTCAACTTCCGTAAGATGATACATGTACTTGCTTCTAAACCCACGTTACATTTAAACTTTTCGTGTGTTGCGTAAAACTGAGTGACGTCATCTAAAAACGATTCAACAACGAAAGTAAAGTCAACTTCCGTAAGATGATACATGTACTTGCTTCTAAACCCACGTTACATTTAAACTTTTCGTGTGTTGCGTAAAACTGAGTGACGTGGATATCACAAAAATGGTTCTTTGGAATCGGCAAAGTTATGGAAACTTGTTACTTGATTGTTGAAGTACGTCCTTACTTAAGTTACCATTCAGCGAATATCAATTATTACCCTTTGAACGCTACCCTCGCTTAAACCGAAATCAAGATGTAAATGAAGGCTACCATAGAATGTTACCATCGTACTGAAACTCAATGTTTTTTGGGGGGGAGGCGCGTGAGTTATCTTCTCCCTCTGAAATTGAGCTGGAGCAGTTAGTTCTTACACTGTAGCTTTCTCGTGAATCTCCATGTGTCACGCCGTCCAGCCACACCTAGTCCTAGAATCTTTCATTTTCTTCACAAAGTTTATGGAATTGGCTAAATCGGAGGAAGTACACAGCTCAATGATCTGAAACGTCCCGAGGTGCGAGGCACCTCAATCGCTCGCTCATCGCCCTGATTCGTGGAGTTGGAAAAAGTAGAGTGCCGCAATGAAGCCACTGATACTTTTTTGTTGAACAAAACTCCTGGTCTTCTTCGCTGCCTTGCGTACGAAGTATCACTCTTTATCTCCCAATCACTCTCTCCTTTATTGGATCTTGAAATCTTTTTTAATGTGACGCTTGTTCTTCCATTCAGCTGTGTTGCCTTAATCAGTTCTCGGTTTCTACACTCGCGATGTATAAGCAGTTCTCTTTCTCTCCGAAACGCTTTTTCCTGCTTTGTTTTTGCTTTTTCTATCAGAAAAGACTCTTTTCTGAACAGTGCTTTCTCGCCGGCATTTCTTGTCAGTAAATATTTAGCGCACTTCTTTGATAAAGTGATTTCGGGCAAACCGTTGTAAGCGGACATATTAAAAACTTACTAAACTTAAGCAGCGGAAAACGGTTTACCCAAGGACAACTATTCTTTTGCCGCGTTCCTTTTCTCACAAGTGCAGCTAAACCGTTCTTATATATACATAAACAACTGGGCGTTGATTTTGAATAAGCAAATATATGAGCCAAATTTGTTTGTTTTTTAGTTCACCTACGTAAGCAAAGCCAGTGCGTAACAAGGCGGGTCAACTAACACAAATAATCCCTCGCTTTTCATAAATAGTTTAGTCATCTATTTTTAACCGGAATATGTAGCAGAATTGCTTAATTTGAACCCGAAACAGTAAATTCAAAGATTACAGTTGACTTCTTTTGATCTTTGCGTGTCACTTTTGATAAACGAACAATGGCGACTATAATCTCTAAATTACTGAAGTACAAAACATCTTTTAAGAGGCTGTAATCTGCCCGTGTCATGCATGCAACACGTTCCGCTGGCTTGGATCAAGCGGAGGGCTTCCATTGAAGTTAAAACTGCAGCTGCAACTCCAGGCCGACAGAAAACATCAGGGTAATTGAAAGTAATTAACCAAAGAAACCAATAAAAACGACTGAGAAATGTTAAATGAGTCTGCGGCAGTGTGGATGCGGCGTGGCCGGGCGGTTAGAGCGCCGGACTTGTACTCGAAGGCCCCGAGTTCCGCCATATCCGCTAACTGGATTGTTCACGGTAGTCCCGAGTTCAACTCCTCAACCCCGCTTGTAACATAGCCAGCTGCTTTGCCTCCGGCCAGTTGGGATCCTCAAACCTGCTATGTTGGATTTTATTATTATGAATTTCATGTGTTTGCTCGGCCCCGCTGGCATTAATGCTATTAATACTACCGAGGAATTAAACAACAGAATTTTCTTTATTCTTTCTTTCTTTCTCAGAAGTGCATGAATGAGCGTAGAGCAAACTAAGAGAATTAGAATAACGTGTGTTGCGCGTCCCTAGCTTAAAGCCATTAACAACCTAGTTACTCTTTTAAACTACCGAACCGAACAAAGCGAGGGCAAAAGTCCCAATGAACTAGGGCATTTGTTTATCGGTAATGCCATTTTCCCTAGAAAATAAGGAATGTTTCAGTCTGCGTTTGTTTTTTTTTTCTGGAATACTTCTGTTTGGAAGGTGGGCAGCCTGAATGGTGATTATTTACATAAACTTGGCACGCACCCGTGACATGCATCCACCCCACAGCCTTCGATTAGCAAGTCGACCTGTTGCGTGCCTCGTTATTTATGAGAGCTGCATTAGACTACATTAGACTATTTTGGCTTTAAACAAGTTATCCGGGAACGGTTCTGATAATATTATAAGTAATACGTAGATGAGCGATTTTTTAGTGATTCCGGCGTGGATTTAGTCTGCGAAAAGACGGCTTTCTGAAGATTGGAGATGTTCCATTTGATAATACCAATGTCCTCTTTTATTTCTCGGTACTTTGTGTTCTCATAAAAGGTGTCTTTTTGAGAGCATGACCCGCTTACACTTTCTATTAGACTACGAGTAGTCCCCCATTTTTCCTCAGAAATAGTCGAGCGTGCGAAACGCGAGCGCCGCGTGAAAATCACCCCACGCGGTGTCTGTAAAGTAACGGGTTTTGACTCGTGCTGTTCTATCAAACAGACCGAGAACATTAGGTATTAAAGTAAAAGTAAACTACCGTAAAATTCCGAAAATAAGCCTCTCCATGTATAAGCCCACCAAATATAAGCCCCCCAGACCGGTAACGCAAAAAACCCTCCGTTAAATCGCCCCTCCAAATATAAGCCCCCCAGGGGCTTGTACTTGGAAAATTGCCCTCAAACTAAATTACAACGTAAAACAAAGCAAAAACGGTAAATTTACTTCCAACTATAAGGCTAGCCCAATCGATTTCGAAACGCAAATTTCCTCCGTAGATAAGCCCCTCAGAATATAAGCCCCTCCAATAATAAGCCCCTTAAAAGGGCTTTTGAAAAATATAAGCCCCGGGGCTTATTTTCGGAATTTTACAGTATCGAATGATAAAAATCGTAGTCGAGGATAACTTATGCTACAGTCAGGTGCCAATATAACCAGACCTTGTACGTCGCCTGGATAGCCACGGGTCTCCGTCAGACCCGATCGGACACGGTCATGGGGTAGACGAACCCGTCCGTTTCTTTTTTTTGCTTTTTGCTAAGTGCGTGACTCTAAAGCTGGCAATATGTTTCTTGCATGTCATTACTGAGCCAAGGAACAAAGCCACAGCTTAGCATGTGTATTCATACGTGACAGCCTTTCTCCGTAATTAAGCATTTCTCTTATATACATACGAATGATATCTATTGGGTTAAGTATCCCTTTGAATGTGACTTCGCCTACAGACAAAGATTTTGAGAGTTACGGTCCGTTAAAATAATTTTTGCAGTCACCGATCCAGGCATTAAATACTTCAAAAGTTGAAAGAACAAAGATTTTACTTCACCATGCCAGGTTTTCGCAATAAAAGACCCTTTCGTCAGCTGTTTCGTTGCTGATCCTAGCACGGGACTGGTAGAAGGGATTGAACGTTCTATATGATCAACGTGCATGGTTGTATAATAGAAAAAAAAATGGGAAAACTTGTAATAAAGTCGCAGTTTAATGATTTTTCACGACAATTTTAAGACCTTTCAAAATAGTTGAATGGGGCCCTGACTGTTTAAAAGTTGGATAGGATAACGCAAATGGTTTCCCTGATACTTATCCAGTTGAAAGCGCTAACCAGAGTTTGAACAATCAGGCCCAGATGAATAGTCTGATTTTCACATTACTGTTGTTAATGGACATACTCCTCTAGTGTGTATAATATTATCTCATTAATTTTCCGCCGAATTTGTGCGCAAATATCTGCGCTCTCGTAAGTTCTCACAATCTTTAATAACACTTGCTTCTTCATTACCCTCGTTCTGCCCAGCTCGAGACAGCTCCTCTTTCCACAGCTTAATCTCACTGCTTTTCTTCAATGTTTTCGTGCTCACGACATTTATATCGGGAAGCGAAACTGACAAAACATTATCACTCAATCTACTTTTGAGTTCTGCGGGCATTTTGCCCCTGGAGCGAGTTCCTGAGGGCTGTTGATCCGACAAGGAGAAGGTGGAATGTGTAGGTGAAACTGTCGCGGGTTTGCCAGTTGGGGTCACAGATCGACGATCCGACGCCGAGAATGTTTTGCTTCTAGAAATCGTGACCCTGCTACGAGGAGGTGACAACTGATCAGGTAGTGAATTTGTAGAGTTCGAGACAGGTGCGTCTCTTAGTAAATGACTGCTTACAGACAAAAGGTTACCATCGGAAAACGTTTTACCGTATGATGTAAAGGCTCTGGTGCGAGGAGGAGACAAGTGCTCAGGCATAGGAGAACTCGAACGATGTGCATCTTTTTGCATTAAATGGTTGCTAGCAGACAGATGGTTACCATGTGAAAATGTTTTACCGCTTGATACTGCGACTCTAGTGCGAGGAGGAGACGATTGCTCAGGTAAAGAAGTTTTAGAACTCGGGACAGGTGCATCTCTCGTTAAATGGCTGCTGGCAGATGCCTGTTTAGCATCTGAAAATGGTTTCCCACTTGATAATGTGACTCTTGTGCGAGGAGGCGACGACTGTTCGGGTAAAACTAACTTAGAAGCAGACAACATTTCTTTTCGTCTTGACTTGGGAGACAACTGTATCGCCAAATCTGACTGCCGCTGCATTAATTGCTCTCTTTGCTTAAGAAATATCTTTTCTTCCAAATTCCTTTCCTTCTGGATCATTTTTTCTTCCTTCTTTAGCGTTGCTGAGTCGACTGCATTTCGAAAAAGTAAAGTTTTTGCGTTGTTTTTTGATAGCAAAAGGTCTTCATTGCTTGGTTTCATTTTGACTTATCAACGATGATGGGGCTGATTGAATTATACGGCCACTGTAGTTAACCAAAACACGCAATTATCTCTAACGTCTTAATATACGCAAATAATACGTGCTTTGTGACGAAAAATGTCCAAGAAAATGACAAACAATGGCTTAAGGCTATAACACCTCCACGTCACCAGTGCATTGAAAATTGTCACGGAATGCCTGGGTGTTCGGAATAATGGCACGTGCCTTGCTTCCCATGCGAACACTAAATCTTCAAAACGGAAATACTACGATGTTGACTGTGATTAACAGCTCCAAAACACGAATCGATCCGTATTTTAATCACATTGTCGTGTTCGAATTTTACTACGTAACTGCCAAAGACCCCGATTTTGACTAGGAATTTAAATTCTTGATTTCCCAATTCAAGCACCCTTAATTTAACAGATAGCCTCCTTTTTATGCTAGAATGGACAAGAAACTTCCCTTGTAAAATCTACCAGTCATTTCTTGAGGTTCAATCCCGCTTTCGCACTTCTTAATTTTCGTGATTAAAGTGGTTTCCGGCAATTCACATTTCCGAAATCAGCACACCAATTCAGTTCTTAGTCATGTAAATCCAAGTGCGTATTTTTTAACTTTACCGAGCAAAAGATTTATGAGGCAACGGAATCGACCCATGAAGAATACTCCAGAAAATGACTGTTTGACCCTTAAAATGCCAAAGAAAATAGCCTGAATGGGCTTTTCAACATAATTTTCATTCTGTAAGACATTTTAAAAGACTCACGCACCTGTCGCACGGGCGAAAGTGTCGCTCATATCGATCTTTGTTATAATAAACCTTACGTAACAGCACTAAGCGGTTTCACACTGGTACAGAACGACTTAGAACTGACAGTAATACGTGCGGAAAGGACCAGCAAAGGTAAAACCACGATAAAACGGAACCCTTCAAAGCAAACACAAACACAAACAAACAAGATAACACAAATCAACAGCTTAATATTGATCATGATTTCAATTCACTTAGCCTAGATTAACATAAATTACGAGTCACTTGAGAGTAATAACTTCAAAAATTTACCATTCAATTGTCAATTTTTTCTTAACTCATTTTTTTCTTTCATTTTTTGGTTTGTCCTTTTTTAATGTATCAGTTGAATTAGTTTGGTTGTGCTTTTCAGTTTACGCACTCTGTGGGATATAGCCTCTCGCCGGCGCAGGTGTTTTTAGAACAGTCGAGGAGGGATGCTATGTTGGAGGTGGATCTCGGCAGAACTGCACGGAACAAATGAGCTCGTTCACTGCTGCGTTACTAGGACAGTACATCCAAAATTTCAAGGCCTTCAAGTTCAAGTTCCGTCATATTTGTTTCGAAAGCTCTTGCCTTTAAGACCCATCTAATGCGAGCACTTAAAGTTATATAATAGATGAGAGACAGCATCTCCTCTCTGAAGTCACGTTCAGTCCGGCCGTGCGCGTGGTATCCGACCTCCCATCCTGTGGTTTTTTTTATCGTTACGTCCTGACGCAGAAAGTAGAGGCTTCGTGGCCTAGTAGTTTGCACCTCGATATATGCAGTGACTGTAGATGTTTTGGCCCTGCAGGTTCAAGCCTTGCGATTGCTTTGATTCCTGAGACAAGAACCTTGGTAGCGGCAACACACTGCTGGGGGAGAACCCTACGATGGCCCAGAATCCCATCCGCGGCACAGGGAGGGGGAGAATACTCCAAGATGCCTCTTGTCTTGTCTTATGCTACAGAAACCGGGTTAAGCTCCGCTCGAGTGGGCCACTCCTTGGCTCATGCGCGCCTAATTACCCCGATACTTGAACTTAAAAGGTTCGTTTGCTCGCAAACTGAGCGACTCACTCACCACCAACAACAGCGAAAAAACGAAATGTGAACAGGTGTACGTGAAAATGCACTACGATTATTCTTCCCGTGTTGTTTCTAACGCACTTTTAATATTCGAAACCTCCATTGCATGACCGCTAACGTGGGTAAATAAATCTCACGCATCAAGTTGTTCGACTGGATTTTTCCACCTTTAATTATTTGTCCCTTGACCCTGTGTGGCATGTGATCAGCCCATAATCGGTCATCAAAAACCATCAAAGCCGGCTAAGATCAGCATTTTTTAATACATACGTGACATGTCATGGTGATGACTCAAAAAGAGAGAACATTACTTAAAACGAGAGAGCAAGCAAAACCGGATGAACCAGAAAATTTGTCACGTATGCACGCTAATAGAATACTTAGCCTTTTTCCAGTTTGCGAAGAGAAAAGAAAATATAACTATGAAATAAAAGACTTTTTCATTACTGACCACACTAAATGACGTTTTAACCGAAGAGAAGAGCAGGCGGTATCATGTTCAATTGCACTGTGATCGAGTTTGGGCGTGGGTTCATTCATCTTCTTGTCAGTTCTTTTTAAAAATCACGAAGCTTTACATCGCCGGTAAAAGCTACAGAAAAAGGCAGGTGTTAGTAAAACCCAATCGCCTGAATCTTACAGCAAAGCTCCTCCGTATAATATGATAAAGGCGATAAAGGTTTGGATATCTCTTTGGGTTTGAAAAGGATGATGAGTCAGCAAGAAGTCAAAGGAGCTTGACTCTAGCAAGTGGAAAGTAGTAACCACACGTTAAGTCCAAATCAAAAAAAAGGCTAACATTTTTTATAACTGCTGATAATCACAAACACTCTTAACTATAAAATTTTTACTATCTAGTTGGAAAAACGCTGACAGGACAGGATAAAACCAAGCACGGCTAGTTTCCTTGTTCCCTGAACCCGTCACAATAACACGTCATACGCAATGAAGCACAATTTTGAATACACTTAACACAATTTTAGTTTGACCTGTTTTGTTAAAGTCTTTCTTTGTTTATTTTTTGTATTCTTTGTTTTCTTTTAATAGCATAATTACTCTATAACTTTGAGAAAAATAAAAAGTTACATTAACTAAGATCCATTTGAAGTGGTCTCTCTCTCTCCGAAAGCTTGTGACAAACGACACGATCGTAACTCAAACGTAACAAAAACGCTGTGGTTGCGATAATGACCAAAAACAACGACATTCAAGGGCTTATTACAATAGAAAAAGCACGTATGCAAGCGGATGTACCGGTGAATTTTAGAAACCTCGGCTAAGATCATTGTCACAGAATTTACTACTCGATTTCCTACGTTATGGTACGTATTGACAAATAACATTGCAGAAAGAAAAGGTTCTGATCCTTGGAACGCAGTGTGCACGTTTCCTTTAACAAGGAAATAGATTCATCTCTTATGTGGTTGCTGATGTCAACAAACTCGTTGCGGTTTGAATCGGTGGAATATAACTGTATCACTCTCTACTTTCTTCGAGTCGTCAATCAGGTAAGCGCGGGCTTTCTGGAGCTTGCATCATGATATACGGTTTTGTTTGACGCTATCTCCAAGTGCTAACGCAGCCGATTACGCTTTCGAAATGAAAAGAATAATAAAAAAAACAATGAAAGCAATTAATGCAGCAATGAAGAGTTTTTTTTCTCTGTTCAACAGGCATTTTGACAAGATTAAAGGTCGGCGAATATAAGAACACTATAAGTTCACTCTACAGTGCATTTTATCGGATTTTCCTGCCCACTGAGCGAGTTACATCCCTGCCAAGATTCACGTACAGGCAAAGCAGCACTGAACGCAGAATGACATCACTCAGGGAATTACCTGGAGTGTTTTTATCCACCACACGAGCAAGGTGGCTAGTCGCAAGAAATAACAGTGAAGATCAGCTATTGAAGGAAAAGGCTTGCATGATAGACCGAGTTAAAAGGAAAGAGGAGAGAGCCTTTCAAAGAGAAAAAATAGAGGTCATAGAGTGTCAGAAACGAACAAACCAGACTCATCCGCCGCCACGGTACTCAAGATTTGACCTTGACAAAAAGTGTAAATGCAAGGACTTGCAAGAGTAACCATGAAGGATGGACTATCATAAATATATGTTCCACATAATGATTTTACTTTGTGAAGTTAACTGCTGAAATACTCCCATTTATACCTCCCATTTCTCTCGACACTTGAGGATTAACTTTAGTCGCGGTTTTTCAAAGTTTCATACTCTTTCGCTTGTAGTAGTTTTGTATTATAACATTTGAGCACGGAGACGTACTTAGCTGTGTTTGTCACGAAGTTGTCATTTAGCGGGAGAACCTCTTCTCCTGCGAATAATTCAGTGGCAAAACTAAACAAAGCGGACTAAAGCAGACGCGACACATTTGCTATAGCTATATGGCGCCATTTGTATTTATGAATGTCAACGATATTCAGCTGTTGTTCAGGCAGTATTTTTATTCAAAGAAATGTAGTGCTATACAGGTGATACGTTTTATAACAAGACTACAGAGAAAATCAGTTATCTCTTTTTTTGGTTTCTGAAAAAAACCTTCCCATGTTCGGTACGTCCTCAAGTTCGCAGTTCCTCATCCCTTTTTCTCCTTTTTCTCTTTTCAGTTTCTTTTGCTTCGCTTGAGAGTAATTTTCAGGCTTACTAGACTCTTAAAACTGGTACGTCAGCCTCAGTCCGCTTAAAATCTCATTGCCTCATTTTCGTTGGCTGAATATAGATATCCACTGACTTTATTAAACGATCGCAACACGCTTTACCTTACAAATTTAGGGTAAAATATAAGATAAAAGAAAAACATCCTTGCCGAGAGGAAGTCTTCAATTTAGCGGAAGGGTTAAAATGTCTCAGGGAAGAGTAAGGTTGCTATCCAAGCATCACTCATCCCCTAGTTTCTTTCTTTAACTATTTCTGTTTCCAGGTCAGTCGAAAGTTGTTTAAAGGGTGGACAGCACTATCCGCGCCGGATAAATCATTATCCGCTGGATAGCGCAATTGGTTTTCCAATGGACAGTGATTCATCCGGTGGATAGTGCTATCTAGCTTTTGAAAAACTGGGGCCAGATCACCTTTATGTCCTTATCAGAAGCTGTGCCACAATGTTATTGGGTGCCGGGGTGTCTAAGATCAAGGGTTCGTAGACAATGTTCTGTGTCTGTCGTTAAGACTGTAAAACAAGGCTGCAGCAGCTACTCTACTTCTAGTTTCCATCAGCTCCAAGTCATGCGCCCACTCTACGCTTCCCCAACGACTAATCTACAGTAAAATAACCACAACAAAATCGGGATATTCCGGGAACGTAATCACGACTTGGGACAAAATATAAAAACAAATGCACAGCAAAAGCAAAGCACGACAAAACTCGCTCAAGCAACTGCGACCGTTTTACATGCAAAATCTTGAAAGCAGAAAAAAGGTGATGGTGAAAAAAAGATGTGCCAAAGACAGGCTCACGTCAAATATGGACGGGAGCGTGCGCAGAAAATTCTCAGGGATACCTAACGACGGTTTCCTCGTTCATGCTACTACATGAGAAAATTCTGCAATTTGATTGGCTTAGAGCAGTGGTATTTCCGCTTAATTTGAAATACCTACAAGTGAAAATTACGAACCTTTTGTGGGTAGTAGTATAAACAAATAATAGCATGATTTGTACGTGATATTTGGCATAAATACCACTTGTGATATTTCAAAATTGTCTCAAATTACACTTGCCTAACGGCTTGTGAAATTGCGTAAAACGATTTCGAAATATCACTAGAAATCATGCTATTACCTATACAAATGCATTGAAAACACTTTTTGGGCTTTCCAGAGTACTTTTGCATCTCTGGAAATGCATTCTAAGTGGCGCTATAAAATGTGTATCTATTCGGTAATCCTAGGGCAAATTGAGTCTTTACGAATTACAAAAGCTTGAGTATTATTTTCCCGAAAATTTTAGATGCAACCTAAAATTTTACGAAAGTAAAGATTTTTCTGATTCCTCCATCCATCTTAGGGAATTCATTAGATAAGCTTGAAAAAAAGTACATGAATGGAACGGTCGTCTAGAACTTTTTAGCCTTCCTCAAGTTATAGAACAGATATTTTACAGAAAACAGTCGTTGGGCGCCCCTGAATTCTAGACACAATTCAACTCCAGTTACGCTTATAAGTACTGTCTTCACGCCTGGCTGGTGTACAAAGAGTAAGAGTATCCAAAAGTTCACTGTACTCTTAGAACGGCCGCCAACAGTAGAAAACCTGACCTATCGTCCTTCAAAAGAAGGCTTCTTTATTTCCTTACTAGTCAACCAAAAAAGGTCTACACTTTCTCGTGTTTTTTACACCTAATGCAGTGTACGTATAGCAAATAAAGATTGAATTGAATTGAAATGAAGATCACGACGACATTTTCAGATCCATCGTGTTTGCGACCCCCAATTTGCAAGCTAAAGTGTAACGTGCAAGAGATCGCCGGCAAATTTGTATATGTGCCTCGAGTCATAATATCCTGTGTAAGCGGTCATCCTCTATTAAGCGGTCACTTATCAAAGTCGCGGAAACCGTTAATTACTTCAGACCTGTATTAAGCGGTCGCGGTCACCTTTTGCGAGATTCCAACGAGTTATTTTCTATTGTCTCCAGCTGTATTTAACGGCAAGGAAGATGCCATGTACCATACAGTGCAACAGATACTAACACTGTGTATTACGCTCAGCGGTCTTTTACGGTTTACTTCTTTTCTTTGGCACAAGAAGAGATAGAAACATTTTGAGGTCAATTTGTCGTGGCACAAATATTTCGCTCTTCTTCATTATCTCAATTTTTTCAATAACCCTTTGAGTTGGTCAAACCCGTATTAAACGACCAGTAAGCCTTTCCCCAAGGGTATCACAATACGTTTCTAGGAAACTGCCCGACCTACCCCTCCCTTAAGCCAACATTTTGTCCTAAGTGAAAAGTAAGTGTTAATGTTGGCTTAGGGGAGGGGTAGGTGGGCAGTTTCCCATAACCTTATAATGATCACCCATGGATCCCGCGGCCTTACTGTTCAGTGTAGTATAAATGTCTGTTATATGTACATAATATAATAGTTATTTCAAAACACCTACCTGAAACTCAAGCTCTAATCTTGAGAGGGAAACAGCTTTTTCCACATTGAGACGATTGTCAATAAGGGCCATAGCAAGGATGAACGACTTCAGTGTTTCCACTGCAAATTCTAGCCCTGCATAGAAATTGTTTGAATAATTGATCATCTACTTCTGGTACTCTGGTTGCCATAATTGACTACTAATGTACACTTAATAGCAGTAAGGTTCAATGACTTCAATTCTAATTCTAATTGTGTAATCTGCAAAGGACATAGCCAATCACCGTGTATGTGCAATTGCGCGGTTCAAAAGTTTAAAAACAAAACTACAACGCGTGACATTACAATTTTGGTCGACCTTTTCTCCCTCTTCCCTTCCAATGTTGGCCGCGACATTCGACATAACGAGCTAATATACAATTGGGGAGGGAAAAGGGAGGGTGGGGGGGGGGGGGTGGGGGCAAACCGGGGCTACGTGACACAGGTTAATAACCATCCCTGATTGTAGGTGCAAGACGAGTGTAAAAAGTGTCCGGGTTCAGTGTTATTCACGTAACTCATGACATGAAGGCCTTCTTAAAAAGCCTCCTCTGATTGTTTTTCAATAATTTGGTTAGATAACAAATTCCAGCCGGTCTCTAACTAGGAAAGGGTGTTTATTAGTGTTTGCCTTTGCACTGACTTTAACAAATTTCTTGGCCTCGAGAAAACGTATTGTTCGGTTTGGTTTGATTGGCTGAAAAAATATGACCGAATGAGCTGCCCTCCGTTGCCCCTTCCCCAGCCGTGAGCGATACCGCCAGCTAAGCAGGCTAGACTTACAGGGGCACCCAACGGGAAATTTTGAGAAAAAGACCTAAAAACAACAACAAAGCGTGAATAAAGTTTTCTGAGACTATTTTAAGCATTTTGGGAGATTGCTGGAAAAGTTATCTGTTCCTCACTCCCAGCAAGACTGATGGAAGAGTTCCCAGCCAGCAACCTTATAACCTGCAACCTGAATTACTGGGAAGTTTCATAGGGCACAATTCAGATCTTGAGTGGTGAGCAACCCATACAAGTAAGCCGTAGCAGCTATTCTAGACTTCAAATCCCCTCTGACACCCTGAATTATCTTTTTCCCAGCAACACTTTCCTTCCAAGGACTATTATTTCTTCCACATCTCCCAGCCAGCAAAAATTTGCATGAAGAACAGATATTTTGAGGAACAGATCCATTGGGTGCCCCTGGACTTAAAAAGTCGCGTTCCATTTACAAGCAGAGTTTCTTGAAATTAAGCCTGTTCTAGGCGTTCAGATAGTAAAGCGCGGGGATCAGATGGTGGGGAGAAAGTTAAAACGTACGCGGGGAAAAAGAGGCGGAAAAACAAGGGAAGAATGGGGGCCATCCCCCGCTTTCCCTCTCTATTCTCCCCTCGTTTTTTTTCCCCTCCGTCAAATTTTCTCCCGCGGTCTACTATCTGAGCGCCTGAAACAGGCTACGGGAAATTTTCTGTAAAATGGTAAACAAATAGACTTTTATTATTGCCAAATTCCACTCAAACCGGAAACTACGTTAGTTTCCTGGAAAAGGCATGTCACAATAGAGTGGAAGAAGGGTCGCCGGATGAGCGTAGTTCGGACGATGGTACAGAAATAATTCTGGAATTGCGAATGGAGCGAAAAAGAGGAATTATTCGTCTGAGGATTTTCACCTCTTTCAGAAATTTTTCCACCACAGTGAGCTGTACAGCGGCCGAAATTTCCGATCTTCCAATGCAAATAAATCAATCCTCAAACACTCAACCCAAACCGCTGAAAAGTAAAGAAAAGTAAGGAAATCACGTGACACTGACCAGCTAGAGACCACTTGTTCAGAGGTGAGAGATGATCTTTTAGTCTGTCAATAGCTTCATCTGGTAGAGCTATCAGTAAACCAGTAGTTGGTTGTATCGAAACACGGTATCTGTAAACCAAAAATAGCAAAACGACTCTGAGTGATGCTACACAAGACGATTTACAGCGACGACTTTTTGGGCCACAACATTGCCTTGAAAGTTGATGCATTGTAACATAAATGTGCGGACAATTTTCTGCACAATTTTCCGCACAAAGTTTTTGAACAAGAGTCAATAACTTGCAACGTGCTAGCTCACGAATTCTGCCCAAGCTATTTCATGTAAAGGGCCGACCATTTGACTTTTGAGGGGAAAAGGGGTATGGGTGATTTCGGTGTAAATATGTCCTGCAGACTGATTTCGAGGGAAAAAAATTCTTGCGAGGAAATACCTGGCGAAAAAAAAATTCCTAGAATGAAAGAAAAATATCTTTCATGGCGTATAAAGCTGGAAAAAAAAATCTTACACTGTTGCATGTCAGGAAAATAATTCTATCACCAAAGGTTTATGAAAAAAAATTCTTACCCAAACCAAATCACCTATACCCTCCACCCTCCTCCCTCAAAAGTCATTCTAATCATCAATTTTCTGCGCAACAACTTCCCAGACCCTCATTGCTACCTTTGTTGCGCTAAAAATCATCCACCGAAACGCGTTTGTTGCCAACGTTAAAAAACCGACGGTGTGTTACGCTTATAGCCTGAGCGGCAGGCGTTAAATTCGGACGCGCGAAAGCGCGAGTGTTGCGCTGGAAATCATCGTTGAGATCGTCCCGTGGAACATTTCCTTTAAAAAGCAAAAGTATCTACTATTCGCAGGTAATAAAACTATGATGTGTAAAAAGGGCTTCTTTAAATTTCACAAAAGATGATTACAAAACAAGGCTGGCCAACGTCATTAAAAGAAGAAGCCCAGTAAAATTTTCCAGTGCCAAAAAAAAAAATGCTGAATACGGTGGATGCCTCGTATGCTCTTTGACACATACCTTTCACCAAACCATTCAACAAGAGGTTTCCATTCTTCCATTTGCAGATCCACTAACTCCTTTGGCTCATCAGCGAAGAAACTGCAATAAAGTATCCCAGTTACGTAGCGTTATTAACAACAAAGGCAATAGCATCAGACGAAATGTGATGTGCTCCTTCAATGTCCAGGGGCACCGAACCACGGTTTCCATCTTAACCCTTTAAGCCCCAATATCCACATACAAATTCTCCAAACTGATCTCCATACATTTCCTTCATGAATGAGTTGAGAGAATTTGATAAAAGATCATGGAATTTTCTCTATGATGATCATTTTATAAATTCTGATAACTTTATTTCTTGACAGTGTATGGATATTGTTAGGAGAAAATTGTTGTTGGTCACTTTTGGGACTTAAAGGGTTAATACATTGAAAACGGCACTTTTTAGGTTTTCCAGAGTACTTTTAAATCTCTAGAAATGCACTCTGAGCGACCGGTGCTATAAAATTTTTATCAGTATGGTCATCCTACTGAGGGCAACTTGAGCCTTTTCGAAATTACACTAAGGGCTTCAGTATTATTTTCCCGAAAATTTTAGATGCAATTCAAAGTTTTACGAAAGTAAGGATTTTTCTGATTAATCTCTCCATCGCACTCTTGAATTCGAAGATTTTAGGCTTCCTTCTTCTATGAAAAATAGCTTAACCAGGGGAGTGAAATGCGCAAAAATTAAACTTTACAAAATCGTAGGGAATTATTAGATAAACTTCGAAAATTGTACATGAATGGAACGATCATCTAGAAATTTGTAGCCTTCCTGGACCTATAGAAAATTCTAGGAAAATTTTGCTTCTCCGATGAGATATTTTACGGAAAATAGTCATTAGGTGCCCCTGAATGTCCCAAAATATTTATGCCAACTTTGAGCTACACAAAACTGATTTTTGGAGCAAGTTGTTTTTGGCTAGGGTGAAAGCATGGATTACCCCAGCATAATGCTGCAAAATGTATTTTTACACTTGAAAGGGGAGAGAAATAAACATGAGCAAATTTTCCTTTTTAATATCATTATTACAAACAAACCATCATGATGACAGTGGCTCTGATGAATGCAGTCCTTATTCTACAAACTATTTCCAACCACTCACTTTAGTAAAGCTCACTTAGAAAAACTACAGCTGGATGCAAGTCTACCATTACCAGCACCTTACAAACTATTTAATAACCAAAAAACTGACGGAATATATAGATTGACTGAACAAAACCCAACAATTTACACTGACCAACAATAAAACAACCAATGTTACACCAACCAAAAAAAAAAGATTGAAATACACTGCTCACATTTTAGAGTCTTCACAACTTATAAAACCACAGCTTAACTGAGTCAGATGGCCAATAACATCAAAACTTTGTTGACCAGTCAGATCAATGACAGGAGTTTCCTACCATCAACTGACCACACACAATGCAATTTGAAAAAATGTAACACAGAGCTTACATACCATACAGTATCAGAATTGAGATACTCCAAAATCTGTAAGATCTGCTCATCAGGTGCTTTTGTTTGTGGATTGTCAATCACAGTGTTGCTAAGAGATGTCTGAGTAAGAGAGGAGATAATTTTATAATTCAAGGCTGTACTCTAAGAAAAATTGAAGAGAACCTGATGCTATGAACACATCAAGAAGCCAAAGAAACAAACCCAAGAGCTAAAGAAAGGTGCTGGGGGCAACTTGGCACTGCTAGAGTACAGCCCTGTAATTTTTTAAATCAGAATATTGTCATTTTTGGTCAGTTCATCAAGACTGGGCTGCATAACAAAGCATGAAAGGTGCATGACATTTGATATCAATATTTTTACATATACTGGCAGTTTTCAGGGCAATGAGAGAATTTGATTTTGGGGGCTCATGCTATAATGACCCTGCCCAATAAAAGGGCATCATCTCTACTGTTTTTTGTTTTGAGAGTAAGAACAGGGTGCGGTGGGGATTACTCAAGATTACTTGTATAAACTACCTTGCATAGGGAAGAATAATCAAGGATTTCTCAGCTTTTTTGGTAATGAGTTTCACCAGCAGGGATAATAAGCAGTGTAAACTTAAAAACTAATTCAGACCTCTTTCATCCTGCCCTCTCCCCCAAAAAATACATGAGGTTACCCCTGGGATTGTGACTGATTGTGATCGTGACAGATTGTGACCAGATAAAATCCATTTTAGGTTAAACCAGAATTTTCTGTGAATAACTAGGGTCTGGCATCAAAGGAAATTCTGAGTCATTTAAGTAGGATGGATGACGACCACTGTGCAACATTTTTGGTCAATGTCGTTGTTACCATACCAGATGCATGTTTTCAGGTTTTATAGTCTCCTTCTGTGAATTCCATTCAACAGCAACAGCCATGGCAAGTGGCTTGGTAGGAACAATCAATGGATTCCCTGCTGGAGTCTTCACTCTTTTGTTATCCACTGTGATCTGAAAGCCACCTTTGGTTACAACAGATTTAAAAGTTATTTTATTTTACCAAGGCATATTCATGCTGCATTTTAATGCGATGCCTTAATTTCTTACCCTCTGCTTCTTGAATTCCAGCTTTTTTATAAAATCTTTTCCTCACTAAAAAGAAAAATAAAAGATAATACTAAGTGATTAAGTCAATATCGATAGTGAACAATTAAGATGAAAAGCTTTGGTGAGTCCACTACAGACATCGCCACAGTGAATTCAGTTAACAATCCCCTGCTTAAGCAACAGTGGTGACTTCTCACATGCAAGACACTTGAGATTTAAAACTTTACTGCAGAGGGTGAGAAATTTCCATGCACAATTTATCTTGCTGACTATGGTGTGTTTAGTTCCTTAGACCACGGTTTCCTAATGGCTCAGTCAGTGCTCATCCCCCTGCCCCCCCCCCCCCACACCCCCCAAACAATACATTGATTTTTTTTTCCTCGATGTTCAAAGTGATCACGGTAGTGGGAAGCAATTTCTTAGATGGATGCAAAAAAATACTGTGGAGGGATGTGACAGAGCAAAAACCACCTATATCAATCTTTTGAAAGCACAAGTATTAAAAATATGCCTTGTAGAAATAAATATCTAAAGCTATCTAAATAGGTATATTTTTAAGTGAAGTATTGAAAAAGGAACAACGTTAGCCTTTTCTAGAAGAATTGACAAATGCCCCACCTCCAGGCAGAGGTTTTCTGACAAATCCCGACTGCCAGGACTGACATGATGACAAATGCCTGAGAAATGCCTAGGGGGAGGGGGGGAATGGGCACGCTGGGAATTGACTGAGCCATAAGCTTGACCACATCTCCTTTACATTACTATGAAGTGTATCAGCATATCAGTATTACAGTAACAGTATTTTTTTTACTGCTATGAGGCCCTCTTAGGGAGGTTACATTGGTCTGGATTTTGAAACCTGTCATTTCACATAGGAGGAAACCATCGCTGTTGCAGTTTCAACCTATCTTTGTGTCATTTGTCACATTTTCTGCTGTCCTATAACACTGTTTAAAGGCTATGTTACTTGACAGAATTTTACCCTAACAGGGCCTGTGCTATCAGCTTATCTTCTCAACAAAAATACTGATAGAAATGATAAGGTAAAATACACACAGAGTGCTTTCAGTGGGACGGGACCGGAAGTCAGAGCCTACTGCTTCCTGCCCCTTCCTCCTCCGTGTCTTGTTCCCTTTCCACCCCTTATTCTCCCAGGCCCCACCTGCCTGTTCCCCTCCACTATGAACTATGGGGCAGTGTAAAATGCAGAGTGTGGACTGACTGCGGGCTATTGTTTTTAGGGTTAGAAAACAATGGGACTATTGTCGTCTCGTACTCATTTGCATGGTGAAAACAATAGTCCGCAGTCTACGTTTTACGCTGACCGCTCCACTATACAAGCAATCCCAGCTACCCAAAGGAACATGATGGGCAAAAATCGAAAAATCTAAGCATAAAAATAGTATAAGGATATAGAGAATTAGCCGAATTTCACCACGCCTTATAAAGAGCTCATCTTAAAATGTTTATAAAGGAACTGAAACATGCTGAAAATTCGCACCTCTAAATGAAGACAGACACCTCGCGATGCTTGTTGAGGCCGATGTGATATTACACCTTGGGTACAAAAATTGTCGATCTAAGGCATTCCCAAGCAAGAATATTTGTCTAGCTGGTGGAAAAACGCGAGACCACCAAACTTTGTGGATCGACATTGCCTTTAGGGAGAGTTTAAATAAAATTCTGTAACATGTGCTCCTCCGTCCGCCATCTTGGCCTGGCTTTGTAGCCTTGCCTTTTGAGTATGAGGCGCTTCGGGCGGTTGCGATGGCGGCTGATTACATGAAGGATATATCTATTTGGCGTAAGCGTAATATGATAGAATAACCGAGAAATCGGAAAGGTCTTTGTATGGCGCTTTTTCGAGCATGTTGAATAAAGAATCCGAATGAAAGTGAGGTTGACTCCCGGGAATGTCAGAGAAAAAGAGAGAATGAGTTAGAAACAGAAAGGGGGGGAATCGCGCAGGCATAAGTTTTTCCGCTTTCCGCCTTTAGAACACCAACTTACGATTGCTAGTGAGCCTGCTGGCGACTAACGGGGTCGGATTTGCCTCCACACCAAAGAATTTGCCCCTTGTGCAAAGCCGACAGCAGGCGACAGGGATTGAGAACGAAAAAAGGAAATTTAATAAATTGCTTAGCCTATACGGAAACCCTAGAAGAGAGCTGTTTGACTGGCTAAATATAAAAGCTCAGTAAAATGTTTATCTTGATTCTGTGGCTCCATGCACCGCCTTTTTTAAGTTGATAAGCATGAAGCAAGAAGAAGAGGCTCAAAAAAGTGGCCAGACGCCTATGGATTTGCATCATTTGCATGCGAAAAGGGAAAGATGCCTCAAGGAAAATCTGAATGATATCCGAGGTTCTTATCTAGTAATTGAAGATAGAATTGGCAAGGACTGAAAAATTACTTTTTGTAACCTCTATTGTCTATGTAACGCATATGCTATCACGCACCAAATTACCTGTGAATAATAAAGTTTCTCTGCATGTATCTGTAGAATATCGAGACGAAATATATTTTATAAAAAAACTGCGTTTTTGTGTGTGCACATAAAAATAAAAAGTTTTTAAATTTTATCTGAACCAAGTTATTTGGGATCATTATGCGTTTCTGGGAAACTGCCCTCCTACCCCCTCTCTCATTTGTGTGTATTCGTGCTTTCCTCTGTTTAGTTCAATAAACATTGACAGTACGATCGAACCACGTAGCAACTAACTGTTACTCCCTGACCAAGAATAAACTATTCCAGGCGTTCAGACAGTAGGGAGCGACGTGAAATGAAAGAAGCGAGAAATTCGCGCTGCTCCCCGCTATCTAAACTCCTCCGGGCCTGGAACAGGTTAATTTTACGAGGGTATACAACTTAACGGTATAACGTTAATTCTACCATCTTTTCTGAAGTAACCTAGCATAAAAAATTTCAGAATAACCACCAACTGTAAGTGTGTTTAGAAAATCAGACGATTTATACCAAAAACGAAAAATCACACTCGTACACTCGTATTAAAAAAGGACTGATTGCTTAGCTTAATTACTAAAGAATCTATCATTTTCAATTTATTTACAAATGCAAACTGTACAAGGACTTGAAAAAATAAATATTTTACAACTAACTGCAAAAAATATACATTACGTTATAACAATGAATGATGAACCAGTGAACGTTTCAGTTACAGCACAAACCAACCACACGAAGGCAGGAACCCATCAAATGGGCTCCTGACGAAGGTGAAATATTACAATAATTAAATAATTTTTTTGTGACGCAGCGTCATCTGTAAGTCTTGAGTTTATCATCGTCCCCAATTTTATCCTTATTCTCGGATTTCGGGCACCAGCTTGTTTCATGGTTAAGGAAGCAGTGAACAGATTTGAACCTGCGGAAGAAAACAAAACAGTTATACAACTGTGCACATTCTACTAGGAAAAACTATTACGGCAGGGATCTCCTGCACGGCACGATGTAGGAACTGCTCTTGGAAATCCGCCACTTTAGCTTGGGACCCTGTGTACGAGCAGCTGTAAGCCGTCGCGCCACAATTCTAGAGCTGATTTAAATTAAATGGCAGGCGTTTACCCGTATCAAGTGATGTGTAAGCTAACCTCGTCCCAGGACTTTCCTGCCCCTACCATTTTCTAAGGGAAAAGCCCTAGGGACGAGGTTGGATCTAAGCCGACTCTTAAGCCACAGGATACCCACAAAGCTGGAATTTAAATCTTGCTTCTAAAGAATAATTACCTTTCCTTCTTGGAAGTCCGTCAATGCAAAGATTTCCCAAAACGATTTTTACTTACACATCAGCATCGAGACAGAATTACTGCTATACACTCACTTCGTGTCTTATATACTTCGTGAAATGGTTGGCTCATTTCATAGTCTGAGACTTTTTCCGATTAATTAGTTACTTTAGTTCAACCACCCTGGTGCCCGCTGAGTCGTTGCCAAAACATCGAGGAGATTTCGTCAGGAGGTTTAAACACGAAAAAGAAAAAGGAGACCGCCGCCTTTCTGACGACTGTCGATAATGCCCTACCGCAATAGTTTGACACGCGTCTAATCAAGGAAACGACGAAGCCACTACGTACCGACTTGGATCATCTACAACGTTAAAAGGTCCATCAATACTGATGCGATTGTAACTGCCACCCATGAACCCATGGCTGAAGGTGACCTGTTAACGGTTAAAGAAAGAAAAATACACGCAATTTAGTAACCTTACAGAGAGTAAAGATAATTGAACAAAGTGCTTGCTTTTAACTTAAGCCGGGTTAACGTTGGTGACGTCAGCTTTTCGATCGCTGAACGAGGTGCATTCCATTTTATCAACTCAGTTGGTTAAAAAAGTCTATTTATAAAAATCAAAAGCCCATTTCCCAGTTGCCGCAAGCCTCTGTTTCAGAGCGAGGCTAAGTTCGAAGCCACTGACATAAAAATGATTTTATATTCTCATTCAAATTACAATCATTAAAGCAAGAAAGGTTTTGCACTTAGCCTCGTTTTGAAAGTGAGGGTTTTTGGAACTCGGAAATGGCCAATCATATAGCAATCCTGAACTGGCCAAAGCTCTCGTAGCAAACCAGGCTGCTGATGTTTTCTTAGGCTTTCTTACGTTTTTCACTCAGTATCGACGATCAAGGATTTTCTTTTCTAACACTAAATTTCATATAAACATCCCACCTGTTTACTGAATTCACTTTGAGGTAAGAAGGGAAGACTTTCCAAGTGTGAGTGGAAAAGCTCTGATCTCTTCAATTTTGCTTTAACAAGGACTTCTGCAAAGTAGCAAGATCAAAAATGCTGCAGTACGTCTGAAAATGAAAGAAGCTCATAATAACTGTAGAACTGTGACAGAGTAGTTTAGCTAGCGTGAGGAAACAACCGAACATTTCGTAACCTGCGTAGCAAGCGTTTCCGTTTGTTTTCGAAACAAAGAAAGACCGAGGAACGGGAGTTTCGGTTTTGCTCCGACACCGCACGGAAACGCTTGCTACGAAGGCTAAACATTTCGTGACGTCACTACTGGTTTTCCCGCGAAATGACGTCTGAGAAACGATCGCAGAAATTCCATACTGATGACGCGTCACTACGTTGGTGAGGTTCGACTGCAGTACCAGTTAGCTGAATAGAGCTGAATAGGCATGGGCGAAAAAACGTTCTCGGTACGGAATCCGTTATTTCTTCCTCGCCGAATTTAAAGCAGCTGTTACATAGCTAGCCTGCGCGCAGACGAAATTAAACTCTGGTTAACTCCGTCTGCGAAACAGCGCCGAAATCCTTGTTCTGGACTTCCAGCTGTGTACCCAGATTTGAGTACGCGCCACGATTGGCCAGTTAAAAAAGGCCTTTGTTTTGTTTGTCGTGATCGCCAATCAGGTTGAAGAGGAATTCGAAACGCACTTCCGGTAATTCGTTGAGTCCGTTGGGGGTCCAGAACAAAGATCACTGCGCTGCTTCGCAGACGGTACTAATCAGAGTTTAGTTATCGTCTGCACGCAGGTTATTACATAGCCGGCGACAGGGATCAAGAAGGATTGGTTATTCAAGTCGACGGCTAGTACAGGCTTTTCATAGCACACGGATTATCTTATTCGGCCTCTGAACAGTAGTAGGAAAGAGAAAGCGTCCCCGGGGGATGAAGCTCGTGTGGAATTCCAAACTGTTACTCATACTAAACCTCGAACGCTAACTTAAATCTTAAGTTCGCTCGTTTTAGTTGACCTCACCCAACACGAGGTGCTTACGACATCATGTATGCATTAACAGCGTTACTTGTTTAATTGCGAGTCTTGCTGAACTATAGCCTGAGTAAAGAGCCGACATTTTGCGACTTCGCCCTTGGTTTCCCCATACTGATTGACGTGTTTCTAGCCAGATCTGTGTAGTGCTTTTGATTGGTTGAAGCAAATTTCCCTCGCGCCACGAACCTCTCTGTTACAGACAGTTCTCTTGGTCCTAACAATTCCCTGTTTCATACAATATTCACCTTTATCATAATACGGACACGTAATTTCCAGTTAGTGACCTCATTAAAGGAAGTTTGACTGTAACTCTGTACCACCTTGCCTTCCTTTTACACCTTAAAATGTAACCAAACAGTACTGACACATCTCAGTCTGCTTGTAATTTAAGACTGCGTCGGTGTCCATTGTAAACCCGCTTGGCGATTTCCGAAAACTCTCACCTGTGATCTTCGTCTCGTACGTCTACCCGCGTAAGATTTTCTGCGTTATTTCTTCTAATTTACAACAACTTTATTTGCATAAAAATAGATGGTAAATAATGGATAAGTGCAAAAAGGGCGCCAACAGAGACGAACTGAATTCTACGTAGTCGCTTATCACAGGTTTCTTTGTAAGTGTTCGTAGGAAAGAACCAAGTGAATCGAACGTCACTGCATCGATAAACTTACCACTTATGAACCCCACGGTGCAGTCATCGGGTAGTTTAATCCGGTCACAGCTCTCTATGAATTTACCATCACTAAAAAAAGGAAGACAAAATCCGATAAACAAAATAAGTCATCTCTTTTATTCACGTGTCTTTCAGGCGGCTTTCGGGCGTTTATCTGTAGAGTCAAACATCAGCCATTCTCTATGCCGATACCAGCTAGAAAAACAGCCTTGGTAGGCACAAAAACACCAGTGTCTCACTGACAGAAAAAAAGAAGTTTGCTTAAAATTACGAACGAAAAGATTGGTAAGCTGGCTTCAAAAAAATATTAAAATGCAGAAACCAAATGCAGGAGAGATACAATTTCCTTCTGTCTAGTTAGTAGCCAGTCACGTCAAAAGATTTGCTCCATTCTGACTGCTGTCACACCCAATCAAATAACATCATGAAGTGAACACTTCTGAGATAATTACAGCTGCAGTACCTTACGTAAGGCCTCATTTTGTTGACAAGAGCACGACTTAAGCAGAAACCTGCTCCCCCTGTGGCGAACCAAAACTTCTTTTGCTGAAATTTAAACAGGAGCATACTTGTCATGACCATCTCCATTATAGTATTTCAATTATTTCAAAAGCATTGCATCAAGTTTACCCTAGCCTGCGCGCAGACCCTTTAAACCACACTATATGCGATACGTGGGCCGGCTGCACCGCAGGCTAGTTTACCCTGGGTGCCAGAGACTTTTCTAGCGCGGTTTCCGGTTTCTGTCAAGTCTTTATACGGCCGAAGATGTGTCGGCCTTCGGCCAACACCGAAAATTCCCACCGCACGCGAGAAAAACCTCTGGTACCCAGGGTACATCAAGTTTTGATCGCAGTTAACAAGAATTGAGTCCAAATGAGTCACGGTGTTGCCACCTTTACTCGTCACCAACGATTCATGCTTGTAGACTGTATGGTAGACAAGTTTATTCCATTTCGTTTATTAGTCAATATAATATAGAGAGACGTACAGAAAGGTAGCGTGAGAAAACAGCCTACATTTCGCGCCGCCACCACGGGTTACTCCGCGAAGCAACGTCTGAGAAACGAGCACAAAAATTCCATACTGGTGGCGTTCACTGGCTACCCAGATCTTGGTTTTGCTTCTGATTGGTTGAAGAACATTTCTCTCGCGACTAACAAAGAAGCACTATCCAGATCTGGGTAGTGACCCGTCATCAGTATGGAATTTATGCAGTCTTTGCTCAGACGTTATTTTGCGGGAAAACCATTCGTGTTTTCGCTGAGTGTCGATTCTCAGGCTAACAAAAAGGCAAACTTTCTGACGTCATCTGAAGCGTTCCACTAGATGCCATCAAGAAGGGTCTAAGTGGGGTGGTAGCTTTGACGATTGACGGTTATATTTTTCAAATTTTCACGGTTGGCGGTTAAATTTTAGAGCTTTTGACGGTTGACGGTTATTTAGTGGAACTGATTTCGTCCACGAGTTACATTAAACGTTAACCACTGTATAAATTAATATTACTTGTTGTCTTGGCCTTTCACATATAAAACTTCGATATAAACAAGTTGCATGGTCTTGTAATGTCCAGGGAGAGTGTTTTTGAGAAAATGGGAACTGGTTTTTCCAGTTTAGAGATTCTTCAGGACATCAGAAGTCAGAAGTCCGCAAAAATCAGCTGAAATAATGAGATTTTAAATACCCTGAAACGTTAATACTACCCTGCACTTTTGACGGCTGATGGTTAAATTTTAGGCCGTTTGACGGCTGACGGTCAACTCCACTGGGACCCTCATCAAGAGGAGACCTCGTGATGCGATACTTAACACTCTCAGGCCCAGTTCATGCGTCGCGCTTCTGCCGTGACGAACTGAATTGTAACTGGGTTCAACAAAAGCACCACTTCGATTCAGACGTCGATTCAGGCGTCGTTGTTCGGCTTGCTTTTTCGAACTAATCCAAGAATTACGTTTGGCACGGCAGGAGCACGAAGAATGAACTGGGCTTCACTTGTTTTGTTAGCTCAAACTCTCAGTCTAAAGAAGGGGTCATAAAACACTTTGTTCGCACCTTATTTCCATCTAATCTGTCCCAGGCCTGCAAAAAAAAAAAAGATACAAATATGAAAATGAAAACCAGATTATCAAACAATATGTAAAACAAATTATAATTCTATCATTCCTGGGGCCAGAAAAAATACTTCTTCTGTTTACTTGCGCAATGACCTGAAGAAAACATTAAGGACCAGCAGATGAATTTTTTAAAGGCCAATGGTCGCAGAAATGTTGTAAGTGCGCGCTGATGCGTCAGTTTATTATTGTTAGCGAAAAGTAAAGAGAGTCATGCAGGCGAAAGTGGGAGACTGTATGTCATTCATCATAGCTAAAGCAAAATTCCCTAATCTGATTGGCTACTCCATGTTTTCAGCATAAAATAGGACCGTGTAATAGGATATAAAACGTCATCGCACCGTGCTAGGACAGTAGTTGTTAGTTCTTATAGTTAATGATAACTATAAGAAAAATTCCCTAATCTGATTGGCTACTACATCCCTGTTTTCAGCATGAAAAAGAATGGTGTAATAGGATAGTACGCTGTGCTTGGACAGCTGTGCTTGGATTTGATTTCACTTTGTGTTTGTGTCAGTTCATTTTCGAAGTCTAGCAAAATAAAACCCTCGAGAGATGTACCACAAATCATCTCAAATTATGTTACAGTCATGGTTAGACTAATTGGTAACGAAACTTAACGAGTGGTGCAACCGATTCCAAAACATGTGCCTTGCCGAGTGGAGCCCAGTTTAAAGAAGTGCAAAGGGATTGAGAAAACGTGTTCGCCCTTATCGTTAAAAAGAAGATACGCTATAACGGCCTCGGGGTCTCTTTCTGTGTCCGTTACATTTTACTGTAACTGGGGCGATGAGTATCATTCTTTTACTGCCAGGGTGAAAGATGTTCGTTTTTTAAAGGTTCCACTCCAAGTCCGTGGGCAGTATCGAGGCGCGCGCGGATAGTGAAATGATCATCCGGCGGCACCCAACGAGAATATAGTTCAAAACCACTTAAACATAGCATTGTTGAACGTATTTTAGTATTTAAAAATAAACGGTAGACATAGGCATATTTTTACCCCTCCTAGCTGAAAGTCTAGTGATCCGAAAATTATAGGGATCAAAACTTACCTTTTCGAAAATTTCAGCCAGAAAAAAGGCTCCCGAAAATTCTAGGTGACCTTTTTGGGGTAAAAATCCGTTAAGAATGGGCAATTATACCAGTTTTTAGATGTCCGAAAATCCTGGGAGAGGCAGGCAAGCAAGAAATTTTAGAACAAATGTTCCGAAAATCCTAGATCTTAAATCGTCTTCCGAACAGATATTTTCCAAAAATTGACGCTGGGTACCCCTGATCATCCAGTCTGGCCTAATATAACCGAGGTTAAATCCGCGAACAAAAATAAGGGGGGAACAAAACGAGCCAAACGTATGGCAATAAATACCCAAAACGATAGTTAGGAATTTTCATTAATAGCCGCAAACATGCAATTTTACCTCCATCTCTCGTATCAGGCTTGGTTTGCCAAGGTAAACATCATCTTCAGGATTAAAATTTTTTAGCGTATTTACAAGCGCTGGCACGTTGACATAATTGTCATCATCAAAATGGCAAAACCACCTGGTAGAAAGAGGAAAAAAAACACAACGACAACGTTAAGTGCAATGTCTTTTATTCTAACAACGAACTGGCTTTTTCGGGATATACTAACGGAAAATATGATTGAAATATTAAAATATATATATTACCGTATATTATCAAACTTGCTCAATTTAACTCTGCTTGAAAGTCAGCTGAGTTAGTCAGTTATATATCCTGGGAGATTAAAATTCAGCCCATTGTCTTGGTATGTGAAAATTCCTGAAAATTCATCATTCACTGCTCAAGGTGATTGCTTTTTCTAGATTACGGGATGTCCAATTTTCCAGTGACACAGAAAACTACAACAAAATGTTTTAACCACGTCACTTCTAGAAGTAGCCAATCATAAAAAATGAAGAAAAATGCAATCCAAATTTCACTTTGTGTAATCCTGAAAGAAAAAAGAAAGAGTTCCACAAGGAAATCCTAATGAAGGCTAGTCACACTATAGGATCCACTAATTTAATTTTAAGAACATGCTTATACACCGTCGATAATAGTAGGATGTAAAAGTACTGCTTAAGAGGTTTTACACCGTTGGAATTCCTCCCCAGACTGATTTTCTTCTTTCCATAGCTGATGATCTGGGAGTAGGAATGTTTAAGGTGTAAAAATACTCACTTTGTCTTCTTCTTTAGTTGCACAAAGAAGTCTAGCTCAGCCTGCATCTTACAGCACAGTCTTGTCCTAGTTTTACAGTAGTATTAACAAAAAGCAAAGTATTAGGAGAAAAGAAAACAAGACTTAAAAAAAAGCAAACCAAACCCTTTTCTGCTGCTAAATTAAATCTTCACATAACTGCAGTTTTTATGGCTATTCTTTATCCAACTAAGCAAATGTCTTATGTCCCTTTTCAACAAGAAAAAAATTTAGACAGCAGTATCTCTTGCAAAACAAAATTTAGTTTAAAAAAAAATGCGTTTTATAGGTCTGCAACGCGTACACGTAATAATTGACATGAACTGCTACAGGTGTATATGTTACCTCTGGTGTCCAGCTTCACACAGGGTATTTACAAGATGGCCACCTAAAAACGATGAGTAATTCATCAATGCACTGACAAGTCATACAATATACTTTCATTGTCACACAGTTACTAAACATCTTAAAACTGAAGTACATATACTGCCTGTGAGTGTATTACTGTAAAACTCTGAAAATAAGCCCCAGGGCTTATATTCTTCAAAGGCCCTTTCTGACAGGCTTATTTTTGGAGGGGCTTATATTCGGAGGGGCCTATCTATTGAGGGAAATTTGCATTTCAAAATCGATTGGGTTAGCCTTATAGTTGGAAGGAAATTTACTGTTTTTGCTTTGTTTTACTTTGTATTTGACGGCAATTTCCAAGTACAAGCCCCCGGGGGGCTTATATTTTTAGAGGGGATTTAAAGGACGGTTTTTTGCATTACGAGTGTGGGGGGCTTATATTTGGAGGGGCTTATTTTTGGAATTTTATGGTATCTCTTGCAATATGCAAAGATCAGGTCATATCCAATCAAAACCTATCCTATCTTTTCATAAAGATGTCCTAAATGTGCAGGAAAAATGGTGTTTGCATGGTCATCAGGGATGGGTAGTGGCCGTTATTACCTGAACAGGTAACATGAATGAGAATTCACAACAACTTTCAGGTAAGATAATAATAATATGAATCTCAATAATAATATTATAAGTATGATTAACTCAAAATAATTTGTCTGTTTTTAGCATTGCTTAATTTCTAATTCTTACCAAGACTTTTATTGACCTTGGCATCATCTTGATCTGTAAATAAATAAACCTACAATAACCACAAAAGCAAATTTAGTTCACCAGTTTTCAGTGTTTCCATTTTTCCTTCAATCAATATCAAAATATTTACAAGAAAAATAATCCTTAATATGGAAGTGGATACAGTATACACATGTAAAAAGTAGAGTACTGTAAAATAGGTCCTAATAGGTAATCAGATAACATCAGAATCAATGTTCCCATCTTGGGCAAATTGAACCCTTTTAAACTACAATTTAATCCCAATTATTCCTCTCAACTTATAAAATTAGCCATTTCACCAGTTAATATTTAAGCAAAAATAAAAAGCTGAGAAAAAAATGTGTTTAATAAGCAAACATAAACAATGCTATTCATGTAACTCTAGCGGTCATGCATGTATATCGTGGGCAATCACCCACGGACCAAAAGGTTTCAGAGACCAGTATTGTTCCATAGCTTATCATGAACTGAAAAGGTCAAATTGAACAAAGTTTATCAGACAAGTGGCCCAAAGTATGTGGCTGTCTCCTTTATACATAAAAAAATCTATTAATTCAAACTACTGTGTTCTTGGCCCAGGGTAGGACCACGACCACGACCTCCAAGGAACCAACACCACAATAGAAAGTGTTAAAGACACCACTTTGGTTGCTTGTTTGCAAACTGATCCAAATTTATGCTCCAAGCCAAATCTCTTTTGTCATTTAATACTTTGTTTGCCTAGCAGTTATTTTCAGCAGTTAAGCTATTTTTGGCTTAACAAGGCATTTTTTCTTTGTTTCCAAAGAGCTGGTTTCGTTGAAAAATAAGATATAGTACATGCAGGTAGTCACTTTGTTAAAGTGGAAACCTATTTCGTATGGTCAATTCAGTTAAAAAATGCTACCCCATCTTGAAGCACATCTCCAGACTCTTAATGGAGAGTAGCCCCTGGTGATTTTGATGGTAAGAAAAAATTCCTTCCCAATGGGTAAACTCCTCAAGATGTAAGCTTTCTAAGGTTACATGTCTACTTTTAGCAAAATCAGAACCTGATGTGTAAATTTAGCGAGCCATATTTCTGAGAAATAGCAGTAATTAGCAATTAATTTTAATGATTTAAAAATCATGTGTAAGCCAGAAGGGAAGGGGGGGCTTTCAAGGGAAATTTGGGTAAAAAATAACGTAATACATAACTTCATGGAATTAGATTTTTTGGGGGGAGGGGGGGAATTGTTGGAACCACAAAACGTAGATAGCTAAATGCTAACCTTCCACACTTTTTAAAAGCTTAAGATTTGTGCACGATGCTAAATAGTGGGATTAGCCTCAAGACCTTGAAAACCACCATACCCTCTCCAAAAGCACATACCACGGCCCATTTACACCAAATAAGGGAGTGCCCTCAGTCCCCCTCCACCACCCAACCCCCCTCCCCTTGGATGTGTTAGCATCCTGGGTAAGCTTTTTATGAAAGTCTCAAGAGGAAACTGGAATTCCTATAAGAGAATTTGCAGCTTCATCATATTCCATAACTGACTGTACCGGTCATATTCTCCACTACGGGTGACACTTGTAAGCTTATCATATTGGCAGCTTGGTGGAAAAGCAGATTTCAATTCTGGCATCAAAAAATTCTTAAAAAGAAAATATGCAAGACCGAAGGAATGATCTTAAAAAACAGATAAAGATTTTACCTGATTCTTCGCGTTTTGGATCCATGTATCAAGTAAAATTTGAACTCGTGTTTTGTGAAACTCTCCTGTTGTTTTGACAGATATAAATACATCTTTGATCTCTGTGTTCTTTGTCCTTTCTGAACTCTCTGTTCTAAATTCGTGACCAGCATTGTTTTCATTTGCATGTTTCAGGTCATGATGGCTTAATTTATGTCCCCTTCTTTCTTGATCACTTATCCTTGCTGATAAGTCATTATCTTGATTACTTCGTCTGATCTCTCCCGGCGAATGATGAAGCTTCTTTCGGTTTCCAGACAGTTGGAATGAAGCTGATTTTATCAATATACTTCTCTTGAAATCCACGCTCTCCTCTTTTTTGCGAGAGTGATCCAATTTTGCTCGAGCAATAAACTTCAGGTTTTCTTCGGTATGCTCGACATCTTGACTTTGAAGCCTGAGGCGTGTTTTGATCTCATTCGCGAATGTCTTTGTTGTCCAGCCGTGCCTAATTGGCGCGAAATTAAACTCCTCGTAGAGAAACATTGAAAAGATCGCTTGGCCAACAGCCACTAAACAAATCCAGACCAACACCTTTCTATATTTTCTTCTTACACAATACATCGCATCCCTTTCCAATAAAATTCGAAAATTATACACTTTGCATCATAGTGGTCTTCCGTCTATTCCTAAATCCGAATGTCTGAAGATATATGGCTGGAGGACGAACCCGCCAAAATCATTATACAGCACATAGCGATGCTCATGGCAGTTATTTGCTGCTTGAACAAGTCAATACACGCTTTTCAAAAGTCAAAGATCAGCGTGAGGAAGATGGGGTCGCTGATAACTTCAACACTGTTCCCGCAACACTCAACACGGTTCCACAGAAGGAGTAAGTTGCGTTGCAAATTATCACCCGTTTCGCAAGAGACAGATATTTGATATATGGCGTCTTACTTTTCTCTTATATCTTGTTAGACACTAATCCACGACAGATGGTGTAAAATTCTTCGCACACATCCTTAACTCTATAGTGACAGGAAATCCGAACTGGCGTTAATCACCGAACTCTCAACGTATTAACTGCTACAAAGTCCTCATGTTTGTATGGTAGGCAGCGTCTTCTGAATTGAAAGCAAGTTACGGTAACATTTCAAAACCGTTTTGAAAATTTACCGCGTTTTTTAGCCAGTAAAACATTGTGAATTGTGAAGCTCGAGCAGGTGACATTATTATCTTCGCGAAGCGTCACGAACTAATTTGCACGCGATAGACCGATCACTTTCTAGGGTAGGGTAAGAGCAGTCTAAACTGCAACGTTTGTGGAAAAATACCTGCAATAAATAATATCACCAAATTATTTGTGTTCGATGACGGAATGAAAGACATTCGTGTGTTAAAAATTCAGTTTAAAGGGTGCATTTCGAGGCTGAATGCAAAATAAGCTTTTCTCATTGGCATCTACCCCTCTCTAGCTAGGTATATTATTTTACCAGCGGTGACAAGAATCACGCACGCGCTGAAATAGACAACACGTGCAAAGTACAAAAGAAAATGGCGCCAATAGACTCTTCAATTGACTCTTCTAATTTGTCTTTTGAAGAGCAGAATAGCGGCAAAAACAAAGCGAGAAAACGAAAACATGACGGCATAGAGTTTACAGAGGAACATGAGCTTCCAAATGGTAATGTAATTGGATAATGTTTTCCGCATTGGCTGCTTATTTTAATGCCTCTTGTTTGATTTTGTTTAGTACAGTTGCATGATTCAAGCTTAAATACTTGCTGGGATTCTTAATTTTTTTTTTGACGTGATCCAAACAGGTGATTCCTGTAGCCAAATCCTGTCTGCCTTGCGAAACATATGTACTTGCTTTGGAGTGGAAGGTCTTTGTAACAAAAAGAAAAGGTAAAGCTTTATACCTTCCTGACAAGTTAAAACTAAGTTAAGAACCCAAACTGCAAAATTTGATTGTTTGCATTTGACGTCACGGCGGCCATGTTGGTGATCAAGAACAGAAGCATTTCCCTCCCTTGGGAACTAAACTCCATTTTCATGTAAATTCTGCAGAAAAAATTATCAGGGCTGCCTTGTCTTGTGGTCGTCTTAGAAATTTATATATTTTTTTTTTGCCCAGTTTTCTGTTGCTAAATTGTTCAGAAGATAACCACTTGTTCATTGTAAACTAAATATCATTAAGAAAATTATACTACCATGTGAGAAATTTCTGCAATTTGATTGGCTTAGAGCAGTGGTATTTCAGCTTAATTTGAAATACCTACATGTGAAAATTACAAACCTTTTAAGGGTAGTAGTATAAACAATTAATAGCATGATTTGAACATGATATTTTGCATGATTGTAACATAATTAGTATTCTATTTTCTAGTGAAAGGGTACAACATTTTTTGTTTTTAATGATGCTTATAAAAACATACCTATAAACGTTAATCAATAAAACCGCTAAACAAAATCACCTCAGTCTCATTTGATCTTGCTTAAGTATAAAATAGTAACAAAACAAAGTTTCTACTTCATTTATTTTTACTGGCTGTTGAATTGTGGCAGAGGCTGTTTGACAGCTGGCATGCACTTGATTTGCTTTTGCCATTATTTTGTGGAGATGCTGTTGTAAAAGTGATTAGTGCATTTACTGTCATAAGAGTGAGTGTGTGGACAGGGTCAAGAAAAGTGGCTTTTGTGGAGAGGTGGCCATTGTCAAGATGAAGTCATTATTAAAGATTCAAATGTACAATAAAAAGAGTGAAAAATATTCATCCTTCTTTGCTGAGAAGAATGAGACCTCCTTTAGGAGGGGTACATATGTGCCCTGTCTGAATTTGAAAACCCATGATTTCGCTTACTGAGGAGGAAACAATGTCCCTGTTGATATTTTACTGTATTATTGTTGCAGTCTCAACAGATCTTCTTTCTTCTTTTTGTTTGTGGCCTTTTTGTCTGTCTTACGTCACTTTTTCAAGGCCATGTTGCTTTTGTGATGTTTACTCTTCACAGAGCCTCAAGAATGTGGTTACAAAGGCAGTAAGGCCCAGTGTCCTTGTGACTTATGTGTTTTTGAGAAGCGTTGCTTTTTTGGTAAAAAAAAATTGGTAAAAAGCTCTGTGTCCACAAATTTATTTGCTGTCAAACAGAAATGTATTAATGTGCAAAGAAACATCATGGATTAATGCTTGCAACTGACAGTCTGTACATAGCGATTCTTTGTCTCGTTATGGGGAGAAGCATAATAATATTTTATTGTGTTGATGATACAAAGAATTGCTTAATGTGGGAGACAACTAGCTGTCTCTGCAACCTGCTTATTGTAGTCATTCATACTATTATTTTTGATTTCCTTTTTAGGAAAATAGAATCTAAATCGGGCTTACTGGTGCCCCTTAATGAGGGTAAGCTACAAAAGATGATGTCCACATGTCAAGTGGAAGCACAATGTGCAGTGGAGTGGTTTCACTTCATGTAGAAATTTATTTTGCTACTCCTTTATTGACAGTCAGCTTAAAGAATTTTAACCTGAATTTAATATTAGGTTGAGTCCCAATTTCCTTAGTCTCCCAGCCCTAATTATTTATAAATTAGAGTTATGAAATGGAGAATTAACCTATAGGCTAGGTGAAAGAACTTAATTTTGACCAACAACACACTTGATTGGATACTGGTGCATTCCAGAGATACTGCATTTTTGAGCTTGCTGACTTATAGCCAGTATTGCAACTGGAGCAGGAGACAGGACAATGTCCCAGTTGACATCTTTCCCCAAGAACCAACTGGAATAATAATAAAAAAGAATAACAGACCCCCCCACCCCATCACAAAACCTTAACCACCCTTTGCCCCCCTCCCCAGAAACAGACAGAGAATTTTTTTTGTCTAGGAAACGGTGAAATGGCCATATGATGATAGTAATAAATTATTAATGATGATGATAATAATTTTGCTTTATTAATTTAAAAAACAAATTATTATAATATAATATAATTATATTATATTATATTATAATAATAATTTACACTAATTTATTTGTATGGATCAGTTCACTAAAAAGTGGTTTCCAGGAGGCTCCTCTAAAATACAACAAATGAACAGCAAGTTAATTAAAATGCCACAAAATAAATAATGAAAAACAAAAAGATAGAAGATGGATATTTTTTGGGAAAAAAAAAACAATTTTGTATTGGTTTCTTGAGTTTACTCAGCAGTGAGGCCTCGTCAGGACTTGAACCAGGGATCTTTCATTGTTTCAAATACACAGTTCAGATCAGTTTTGTCTGCTAATTAGGTTAGGTGCTATTTAACCTTTATAATATTTTGAGTTTTTATGCTTGAGTTCTAGATCTTTGAATAATGTATTCATGTAGTTGATTTTTTTGTTGTTGTCTTTCAAAAATGACATTATCATGACATATCATCTTATTTATGAAATTTCAGAATGGAGCCCGGCAGAAATAATTCAAAACCTTTCCACAGAAATGAAAAACAGGTTTTGTTGCAATTTTTATACTATAAACACTAGTATATTAATATTTTGTAATTCTACAATAGGATTGATTTGATGAACAAACTCAGCAAAGCTATGCTTACAACCTGATCAGCATGGCAGCTGACTGAGTTCAAAATTTTGATGCCTGTGTTACTTTATAATCCATACTTACTGTGGATAAGTTCTATATTCAGTAGTAGAAAACCTTGTATTTTTAATTCTTTGCTCTGTGTTACAGGCAACCAAATACACTCACCACTTTTAAATTATTTTCTAAAATGTGACATTAATCTTTCAAAGTATTTTTGTTATTGGATGATTGACCCAAATCATCTAATAACAAAAATATTGGATGAGGGAGATAATCATTGACAGTTGGCTAATGTTTACTTTTTTATCAACAATACTAATGGTGTGGCTGCAAGCTAAGGTTTGTGGATGATAATATTATGTAATAAATATTGTGACAGTGGCTAGTATTTCCAAATGTTCTTATTTTTTTGTCTACAGATATATCAAGGAAATCTCAGAAAAATCTTTCCGGTTACTGGTTTTAATAAAAAAAGTTTCATCGCTGTTTAAAAGGCTGCATGAAGGTATTGAAGTGTATTTTTACCTAAAGAGTAAGGCCACTCAGTGGTGCTAATGGGAGAGGTTGTGAACATAGACTTAAAGTGTATTAATAAGAAGTTAACTGTAAGTCCATAATTTGTATGATCTTAAGTCAAGCCACCTTTATCCTGCAAATACAGCTGCCTCTCATTACTCCCCAAAGCTGGGACATACAAGAGAGAGGTCTGCATTCCCACACCACCCCCCCATCCTCCTCCCAACATTCCATACTCATGACATATCATCAGTATAATTGGTCCAGAATCTTGTCATCAGGAGCTCTGACTGGTTGACATAATACCATATTATAGAAGGGCTCCAAGCAAAAAATATCCCTTCAAAAAGGAAATGATCAAGAGGCGAGGGATTGTTTTCTGTGGAGCCCTTCAATTATATTGTACTCAGTTTCACCTGTTGTTTATGTATGACACGTAAAAAAAAAGGTTACAAAAATCAACTGTACAACATGCTGAATCTAGTGAAAGACACCCATTTCCTTGGGACATATTTTCTTAAGAAATGCCGATGCCAAAGTTGCACTGAAACTCCCAATTATTTTACAATAACTAAGAAGTGCAGGGAACAGAAACTGAAACAAATTCATATCTGCATGGAATCCACTATTAGCTGCAGATAATGACTGGCATAAACACATGTTGTTTGGCCACAAAATATGGTTGAGTGTAATCTCCATAATGTATTCTAAAACTTTCGCAAAAAAAACGAAGCAGGAGGCTTGATCTTGGGAAGGGATTCATCCGGTAAAATTAATTTTCCATTCCAAGTAAAAAATGTTTGCTACTTATTTCCATATATACAGTGCCAGAATGGGTTGGATTGTTAGTCAACAGGTTGCTGTTCTCAATCGTTTGAAGAAAATATTGCCTTTTGAATTGAGGATAGATATATATCGTGCTTTCATTGTACTGCATTTCAATTACTGCCCAGAGTCATGGCGCCACTGTGGTAAAAGAGGTTGCGCCAAACTTGAAAAAACAATGAACGAGCCCTTCACTTTGTGACCCATGACAAGTCAACCACGTACAAAACAACTAAACCTGCTGTCCCCACTTAATCAAAGAATTGTTAAAATGGCCACCGGGTTTTACAAAGCTATCCATGGGTATAAAGTCCCTAGAGGAGGAGAGCTATTGCATGAACGATCAACTAATTATAATCTTAGAGGAAAACACATTCTCGAGCTACCCAAAGTAAATACAACCACCTATGGACTTAAATCGAGGCATTATACTGCAGCTAAGATTTGGAACGCTCTTCCGGATCAGTTTCATGCCGCTAATAAAATTGGAACATTTAAGAACTTAATGTCTAATTAAAGTTGGATTTCTCAAATTTTACATTTTAATCGGGCAAATACATGTAAATACATTTTGCTTAGTTTTAACATCATTATGTAATAATCTCGTGATCTACTCTTAGTTTTAATAATTTTTAACTGTATATATATATTTTTATATAACGGTAGGTTTTTATGAGAAATCTTCTTTTTCTGTTATTATTTCTAGTTTATTTATTTATTTTTCGAGGCATGTCTGTAAAGTAGCTAATTAGCTAAGAACATTGACCACGTTAAATAAATGGTATTGTATTAATTTGTATTGTGTTGGAAACATATTGACATAGTTGTTGCACTTCATAGATGTAGACTCACCTAGAGGGTTTTCCAGTTTGACTCCTTTCCCTGCCCCTCTGAAAATTCGATTCACAACAAATCTTTCTTACACTCTTGACTGTAGGACGGAAATCCCTGAAGGATGTCACAATGGACATCTACCTTAAGGTTGAGTAACCTTTTTGTTTATAATTTTCTTCCCTTCAAATAATAAAATTAAATCCACTGCTTGTGTATGACAGTGACATAGAACTCTTATAATTATAATTGAAACATATAAATTGGATAATTCTTGGGCCAGCTAGCTATAGTATATTTTAGTGGATAATTTGATCTTGTAGTAAAAAAGGAAGTTTTATTACATGTATTATTAGTCAATGCAGTTCACTTGCCTAGACCCTGTGCAGCGTCTTCCCAGGTCTTCTCAGTCAATGCATTTTGGTGATGTAGCTGAGACAAACCACTCTAAAGCTCACTCAGATGTACCATGTGACTTGAATCACATCTTCTGTGCACAATAATGAGGCCTAGGGACTAGGCAAGCAGTTCACTACTTTCATTCCTCTTGATTTTGGAGTGTTAATTTTTTTAAAATTCTGTTGTAAACCATTGTCAGTATAACAAGGCTAGAGTATATAAATGAAGGCTGCATTGTTCTGAACCCTCTTTAAACATCAGTGATTTAATATTGTTGCTGCCTTGATTAGTAAGTAGTTGACGGCAATTTACAGTAATTCTTCAGCTGTAGTACATAGTCAAAAGAGAGTTAGCATTCAATCAGCTATAGTTGTCAGAAGACAGGTTTTGGCACAGAGCTTATAAAAATTATAGGCTATTTCCAAGTTCCCCCGGGCCTCTGTATCAAAACAAGGTTAAGTGCTCAGCCTTTAGGATGGAAATCATTTTTTTATTCTCATGTAAATAAAACTTTTTTTCACAACAAAAGGTTGTGCACTTGGCCTCATTTTAAAAGTGAGGGTCTGGACCTCCGAAGTGGCCTGTTATTGTGTGGGTGATTGCAATAATTTAATGTATTAATTATCATTAATTTGCTTGCAATGTAAATTTTTTTTGGTTGCTACTCAAACAAAATGGGAGATCATTCAAGTTTTTAATGTTACTTCAATTATTTCCTTTTTTAATAGGATGTGAAAAAAAAACCATCTCTGTCCCCTCCAGACCAGTACATAGAGATTGGTCTCTGGAGGCAGGTTATGAAAATTAACCAACAGCTTTGTCAGAAAATGGAGCAACCTTACCAGGATGAAGGCTGCAAAGTATGTGTGATGATTATTTATTTTTGGCAGGGGATCACTCAATTTGAGCAGTTGAAATTGAATTAAAAAATTTCAGGCATGACTGCCCTAAAATATTACTGATCTGCTCGGCCACCAGTTTCATTAAGCTATTACATTTAAGTGTTGCCTTTAGGCATATGTTATTTGTAACAAAAGTCAGGATTGCATGTACACTGTAGTTAAGCCTGAAATTTTTCAGTGTATTGTTTTTCAACAGTGTTCATTTCTTTTGAAGCATAACCACAATCAATCATTTTTTATTTGACAAATCTAATGGTATTTTATTATAAATTTATCCAGTATAGTTACAGGTTTCCTTATTTTACCAGTATCCTATAACTTTCAAAACGTTTTAATCCATTTACCTCTTTTGCAAATAGTGTAAAATCAAATGTCACTCAACTTTCAACCTTGCTATGTTTCCCACATGGGAAGAAGAAACTGATGATAGTTATAGGTCAATGGTTTGAGAAGTGCACAGTCACTGTCATATTGTTATTAATTATGTTGTGTTTTACTTAGTTCTTAAGGCAAAAAAAAGCTTTGTTTGATTGCTTTCTTTTTTATCTTTTCTTGAAAAGTTCTGGACGACTGTAACAAAGTACTAAAGTTATTCTTATTGTTCCAGCTGTAAACTAAAATGTCAACATTCTATTGCTATTCACTATTGGTTGCAAACTTTTTTTACCGAATATTAATATATTTTATAATTAATAATATCATTATTGGAAACACACATACACCTTTCTAACCTTTCTTCATACACAGTCCTTAATGTTGTTTTTGTTTTGTTGCTCTTCAACAGGAAAATCCAAACGCGTCAGCTGGAAATAAGCAAGCTCAAGATCATACTCAAGAAACTACCAATTTGGTTAGAAAACAATATTAAATTATTGCATGTTTTAACACTTTAGTGGAGAAACTGGAAGGTAAACTCTGCAAACAAACTTTTAATGTTCAAAAGAATAACAATTTTCTTTTCTTTGATCTTTTGTATTTCATCCCAGGAAAAGGATGTGACAAGTACATTTCATGATTACTATATGGAGGTGGTAACATCTAGCTTTGGTGATGACTTGGACCACATTAGACAGGTTTGACAATGATCTTTTAACCAATATGGCCAAATGTGCAGGAACAAAAATTTCTTGAAGTCTTTGAATTGAAAGTAAAATTACAGTTTTTAACCATTATTGTACTGGGCCGGGTTGTTCAAAGCTGGGTTAGGGTAGCCCAGAATAAGTGTGAAATTTGAACTCAGATATGAGAGCTTAAAAAGCAAATTCAGTTAAATTCTCTTTGCCTACAATTTGATGATTGGATACTTTAAAAAGAATAGAGAAAATTATCTGAGAGAGTGCTTTTGATAAAAAGAAAAAGAAACCCAGGTTAAAATTTAGCCCTGGGTTAGAGCTAACTGGCGTTCGAACAACTGGGCCCTGCACTATAACTAAACCTTCAAGACTAAAGCACTTTGTTGGAGGTAGATTTCAGTCAATCAAAATATTAAATATGCTGAAAGCAACATATTATAACCTACAATATGAGAACTTCAGTTGGCCGCTTAGCATATCTGAGCTATTTTAATTTGCTCCCTCAACATAACCCAAGTATCAGCATTATAATAATTATAATCATGACTATCACAACATTGCCAAATCTGATCAACTGCCGTGATTTCAGCATTAATAGGACAGTGTAATATGTTAGTATTCGCCATGCATGGACAGTATGCACCATTGCTTGCATGCTCACTTGAATGGATATTTTCCACTTTTTAGCAAAAGACTCTTGGACTATGTTTTATTTTAATTTTGAAAAACCTTAACCCATTCGCCCCTGAACCGCCCGTAACCGCCCGTGCGGATCCAGGTCCTTTCTACCCTTTGTGACGTCATCAGTTTTAACGGTCACGGACAACTTTCTTCGCTAACTTGTGTAGAGTGAAGAGATCTTTCAAACCATACCAGAATGAGCACAATTCAGTCAAGGACACCGGAGAAAAAAGCAAAAAACCACGTGACAAGGACCTGAAAATCTCCATGAAAATCTTGTTCCATTACCCACCTACCTTTCCTTTCACCTAATCCTAAGATCCTAAAAGCTTTCCTAAAAACTCTTCCCACCAAAATGAAGCCTACTAAATGCCCAGCAAGAGAAAAAAAAATGAGGCAAGAAAAGCGAAAAAAGAAGGGAGGAGAGAAAGCGAAAAGTAAAAGTCAAGACTGCTGTGTCACTTTTAAACCCAAAAACTATGTCGAAATTTTGCTTTCTGCGCGTGCCCGAACTTCGCAAGCTGATATTTTGCATCTGGATCAGAAGGCTGCCAAGTGTACAACCTGTAAACCGGTTTGTGGTAAGTTTTAGCTCTTTATAGCACGACAGTGACCAGAAAACCACTCGACTAGCTTCAAAACGCGTTTTTGGGCAAAATCTCCAGGAGCGAATGGGTTAAAGTATTACAAATTTTTTGATAGTTATGATTAATTTTGGTAACAGAACTAAGTGCCACCAATTCGGTCTGGTCTGTTATCATACTAGTGTTTGAGTTTTGTTACTCATTTGTACGATTACAGATCAAATTGGACTCCACTCAGTCCTATTAGGTATCACCATTATTTTTATACTCCAAATAAGAAGTATTTTTAAAATGTATGTCAGTGCTGGCTCTGAAGCTTCCCAGAAAGTGGAGATTGTTTCCTGTGAAGTCTAAATTGTAGCTGCAAACAACAGCACTAAGTTTTTTATCTTTTATGTAATAATTTTTATGATAAATCTTCATACCATCTTTTATTTCTTTTTTAAGACAAGTTTAATATCTTTTACACCCGTCTATAATGGACAGTTCCTTATTACTGGCCAGAAGATTAGATTCTTATTTCTGGTAAACTGATACAGTTGCCACCTCAGTAGTATATAAAATTATGTTCCCCTACAATGTTCTGTTTTGAGTCTCTAGAGTTGTTCATACTAAAGCATGTGTAAATAATACTGTAAATAATTTGCTGGCAGATAGTTCAAATCTGTTTTCAATTTAAAAAAAGAGAGAAATTCACAAGGTACTTTGAACTTGTTTAAGGCAGTAATTTTGATGTCCAGTGATGTCCTTACAAGTTAATAACAAAATAATGCTAGCTTTTACTTGTTCCAGGAAGGAAATTTAGATGCAAGAAAAGTTGAAATGCTGATAAATTGTCTGGAGACTGGAAAGGACATTTGGTCTGACTTGGAAAAAAGATTACTGCAAACAAAAGGAAGTTGAAATGGCATCATCACCAACACTAGCAGACTGGCCACAGGCAGTGGAGTTGTTAGCTTCCATGCCCCAAAGCTGTCAACAGGCAGCATATGCAGGCAACTCAGTGGGCCTGATGAGACTGCAATAATGGCGAGATGCTTACTGCATGGAATATGAGCCACAAATTTGAGTTTTGCACCAGTTTTTTTTCCTTTGACATATCTGTCGGGAATTTTCTCTCGCTGGTGTTTTTTAAAACCAAAGAGGAAAAGAGCATAATTAAAATAGTATTATCATTGAAAAAGGCCATTTAGACTCCTGAGGTCATCTTTTGTGTTTAACCAGTGTCTGTGCGACAAAAACATGTAACCTGCAATTTTTATTAACTGATAACAGGCTATTCTTACATTCTTATTGTAACTGAAGGGCTACATCAGACGATAAAAGATTTACTTGCTGAAAAGAAAAGCAGCAAACTGACCTCTTAATTCAGTTGTTCCATTGCTACTACTGGTAAAGCGATAAAAATTGAACTGTACTTGACTACACTCAAGGAATGGGTTCCCCTCTTCTCCATACCATGATAAGGGTCCTTGTATGAGTGACCTGACCTCATATCTCTTGCCCTCGTGTAACTGAAGTGGGGAATCAAAACAAACAGTGAAGCCAAAATACTCATGCTTCTCATCTATTTCTGATATGTAAGACCCTGTTTTCTTTACCAGTGAAAACTTATTTGTAGTATCATTAACTTCAGTAGAAACTGTGTACTGGCAACCTTCACGGCCAAAATGCTGAATACCGTGCAACTTAACAGACTTGTTCACAGAGAAAAAAATTCCATCATTAGTTTTACCAGAATATGCCCAGGAGCGATCAACTCCTGGTGGCTGGTAAACAGAAAATCTGTAGACTCTATAGCATATAAGCCTTGGGAATTTTATAAATGGTAAAGGAGAGGTTAACTCAACATCACTATAGTACTTCATTAATTCACTAATCTCTTGAAAATTAAGAATTTTGGAATCAAAAACAACGGAGACGAATTCCTTCTGTGACATCATTGGAAACCGTATGGCCTTTAAAATGTTCTCTCCTATTATTCTCCTTTTTGACTCGCCATCAGTAGTTATTCCTTTCCTGTCACTTTCTTTAGTCGCCCAGCGATCTACAGCTTTGAACAGATCCACTTCCTTTACGGTAAGTCTTTCCCTCTTCACAACACTCTCAGTAAGAGATCGCTCAAGCGTGACAAAATCATCTGACGTCACAGCTTCCTCTGTGTTCTCCTCGATCACTTGCCAGCATAGACCTTCCAAATCTTTATCCTCAAATTTCCGAGCGTGTGGAAGAATGGAGAACACATTGGTTGTTGATAGGTTTTCTCGTAGATATTCACCGCATTTCTCTGCAAGTGAAGGTACCATGTACTTATTCGCTAAGTACAGAACATGCATCACGTTACTTCCGGTTAGATTCGCCTCATCGCTGTACAAGTATCGAAGGAACTCCAACAGACTGTCGTACTCACAGTCAGGCAGTTCAATACAGTCTTTAGCCTCCGCCAGTTGCCCATAAAACATGGCATAGAAGACAGGACTGCTGATAGCAAGCACAAGCTTGTGGGCTGGAATCGTCTTCCGGGTTTCACTTTCAGCTTCCGAAACAGGAACCATAAACTTTACATCGCTCAATAACTCGTTGTTAAAAATAACCGTGGTTCTTTCCTTAATGGTTGATAGTTTCATCTGCCAGTTTTCTTCAACAGCAGCCATCCTTTCTCTCAGATTATCCGTCCAAATAACTTCTTTTGTGTCCGTAGTACTTGCAGTGAGTGATCTTACTCTCTCCTGGGAGGGGGAAAGGGAAAAAGAAATGGAAGACGGGCTTCCCATCATCCACCGCGCTTTTTTTGGGAATACCCAAGGGCGCTTTCCACCGGAATTTCCGGTTCGGCGGTAAATGGAACACGTTTCGTCAGTTCGTCCCACTGGAAAATTCCCAGAAAAAGTGGAAAATCTAAAAAGGTGGCCCCGTTTTCCCGGTTGGAATTTCCGAACGGAATCTCGTGTTCCATTTACATTTCTAGTAGTTTGTACCAGTTCCAGGTCCACGGTCGGGCACAGCGACGTACCGGGGTCTACGACCAAATGGAACAACTTTTTACCAGTCGGAAATTCCACTTTTGCTCCCACCGAAATTTCCGGTTTTTTTCCTAAATGGAAAGCGCCCTAAAAAGGTGGGCCCGCGCCCATTTTCCCGGTTGGAATTCGTGTTCCATTTACACGTTTCTCGTAGTTTGTACCAGTTCCAGGTCCACGGCAAGAAAATCTGTCGGGCACCGCGACGTACCGGGGTTTACGACCAAATTGAACAACTTTTTACCAATCGGAAATTCCACTTTTGCTCCCACCGATTTTCGGTTTCTTTTCCTAAATGGAAAGCGCCTTAGGAGTAATGCTGTCTCCTCCGCAAACACAGTCCACTTCGAAGGGGAGAGAGAGGTCGCCCAGCAATAGATCCCAAAGTTGGAGGGGTGCTTACCATTTACATAAACCACCCGGCTAGAAATCTTGTGCAAAAACATAAAACTGTAAGATTTCACGTAGTGGGAGAACAACCAGCTACAAAGTATCCCCAAATCAGCGTTACAGACTTGAAAGACTAGAAAAATGGATTCGCCTCAAATCACAGCCCAGTTTTATGAAGCGTCCCAAACGGAAATGCGCGAACCATTTGATTTTCCAACCGAAATTTTCATGCCTATGTGCGGCAAGAATTTCCCAGTTTCTCCATGTAAATTAGCTTAAATTGTAACTTAGTAGCCTGTAAAACCACTATTTTATGCAATTTGACTGTCAGTTATGCGGACAGTGATGCGGAATTTTAGAGAAAAAGGGAAGCGATTGATTCGAGACGGTCGCTTTATTTTGGCGAGGGTCTCGGGAATGAGGTTAAACGTCAGCTATAATTCAACGGTCAACCGTCAAAAAAGGTTACTTTTTACCGTTAAAATTGCATATTAATATTTACCCTCATAAAGTTTTAAGGTATTTCAAATCTCACCATTTCAAAAGAATCTCTTAACTGGAAAAAGACCTCGCCCCGGTCCTCTGCCCGCGGGGGGTATTCCCATAAATTTCGGATCGCTGTCTATTTACAAGGGTGAGACAAACGAAAACTAATACCCTCTTTAAGGTCCATTCCTCAAAAATTAGTCCCATTCAGGAGAGGAATCTTCCTACAATCGCTTTCCGAGGCGCGTAGGAGGGGGGCTTCGAGGGGTTCAAACGAGCCCCCTTTGCAGGTCAATGATGGACGCGGACTAAAAACACAAGCTGTTAATTTTCAGCTTTTAGCAAATAGTGGAGGAATGGAAAACAAACTTTGAGTGTTTTAGTTCAGTTTAAATTATACCCCGCAATAAAACGCAAAAAGTCCTAGGGGCACAAATAAAAATTGTTAGGACATGTTCGGAGTTTGGGTACAATCTATACAAAGATGATCTGCCTTCGCCACAGCTCTTCTTTGCCGAATTTGAGCATTGGAAGATGAAGGTGCAAGCTAGGATAATTACGGCTGATTTATGCGCTGCGTCCTTGAAAGCATGTGATCCTGATGATTTCCCTAACCTGTACATTCTTCTCAAGATTGCGGCTACTCTTCCCGTGACATCGTGCGAGTGCGAGCGTTCAATAAGCAAAATGAGAAGGCTAAACAATTACATGCGACTAGTGTACCATGGGCGAGAGTAGGCTCTCCTCACTGGCCATATGCATATCAAGTACGATAAGCCTATCAGTCTGGACAAAGTTGTCTATTTGTTTGAAGGCCTCCGCGCTTGGATGATGCAATTACAAAGTTTGCCTTACGAAACGGAATAGTCCTGTTGTGAGTTGATAATTACGGTAGGCCATGTTTCGACATGTTGTTGCCCCAATATATCCTAGTGACCTAATATTATATGTAGTCAAAATAATCCCACCATGATTGAAGATATTTCCTTAACAGGCGTTCCGGATTTGACAAATGGAGTTTCGAAAGACGAAAGGTGGGGAATACGATTTTTGGAGACCTAGGTGATACGTGTTTAATACATATTGACGTTTGACGCTGCTTTCAGTACAAAGACGGCGGAGCCGGGGAATTTGGGGGCCTAAGCTTTTGCTTCGAGATACCTTGCGGCACACTTCGAGTTTTGTAAAACGTTTCGAGTACTTAGCCGGTATGTATCACTATGTATGAATGCACCAAGTCAAACGGAATTATTGTTGTTATGACTATAAAAAATACTTGTTATTTTAGACTTGATCGAGATTGAAATATTCACGTGGAGACTACTGAAAATAGCATTTCCAGGTTTCTAGATTTCAATATTTTCTGGGGGAAGAAACCCCTAGAGGCTCGCGCCTTTGGCACTCGCAGTATTTCCTGCTGATTCCTATCAGTACAAACACCCCTCCTTAAACCCCCAGTTACGCCCCTGTTTCCTAATACTTTAATTGTATAAAAGTTCAGTTCTTACTGGGTTTATTTTTCTTGTAGCTGGGAGTTTACATGCTCTTGAATTTTAGCTTATATAATAGATCACACCGGGAACACACCGCCAACAAGGCAACCAACACGGGCGCAAATGACAACTCCCAACATTGTTGGCCAACAATGTTGGGAGTTGAATTTTCTCCTCCCCTCGTCTCTCGCTTTGGGAAAAATGCTTTGTTATCTCCCAGGGAGGAAAAAGAGGTTTCCCTCTTGGGATGGAGCTGAAACAATTTGCAGTGGATTTGAATTTCGGCGAGAAAACGGCATTTTTGTTGCGACTGGTTCAGGACCCTGCAGCCAGATAGAAATGACCAGCCTTGACTTCGTCTTTTGAAGGGAGTGTGGTTATGCAATAAAGCCTAAAAACCAGAAACAAGACAAGGAGACACCAAAACACAGTGAAACACATCGTAGGTAAGGGTTTTTATTCATTTCATTGAAGGAAAATTAGATTTAAAATTAGTTAGCCTTCGCAGATCTCAGTAAGCTTTTATTTTATTTCTCATACAAAGTCTCTTATTTTCAACGGTCGCCTATTAAGCTATACCGGCGCGTCCAGCAGAAAAGGTCACGCATCACCTATGGTATGTACTTTACACCCTTTCCTCGTAACTTGAGTTTAGGCGGCATGTGAAAAGGCTATAATGACTGCCGCATTGCAGTTACTCTGCAAATGTCTGAAAAAAAGTAGTGTTATCATTTAGATTCCCTGGCATGGTAAAGAGGTGCAAGCGTTGTGTCCAGCCCTGAAATTCAGCCCCCAGAATTTGTAAAGAATTTTGAACATGTCCAAATTAATCTACCCACCAAAATAAAGACAGTGTAAAAGAACTGCTAATGAGCCGGATTCATTTTTACAGCTATAGCAAAGTATTTTCAGTATTTTATTCAGACTCAAAAGTTAATGTACATAAATTATGACAATTAAAGTTAAATTAATTACCAATCTAAGTATAATTGAGGTCCAACTGATTTTTGTTCCTAGTTATCGAACAAAATTAAGCCAGAAATATGCAACTTTTAACTTTCTGAGCCTGCTATATAAATTGCAATCACAACTTAGGTGTGAAAATTGACACCTCTGCTATCATTTATTTTCCGTAGTCTTGATAGCCTTGATAGCCCTATGTAATTTTGATTCTGGGAAATTTTTTATCATTTGAGTAATACATTTTTGAAATAAATGTGTTTATAGCAGATCTAATACCTTAAGTGATCTAAAACCAATACTTTTGGAGAAGTTGCCTTTTTTTAAGTCACTTGTAAAAGAGTACTTTGTTTTGTTGAGTGTTCTCTGACATCTTCACTCCCAGGGTAATCAGTGAAGCACTGATGTTATAAATTCCCAGCTTTGTTCATCAGTTTTTCCTTGAGACACAGAGGTGGAATTTTTCCCTTATTGCTAGGAATTTAAGACGTTTACAGCAAAATACACAAATTTACCGAGGCCTCTTTCTGCCATATGCCTTGTGGCTTAAAACATTTTACAAAGGTTTGCATCGGTTGTTTTAATTAACTCATATAACCCACAGACTTTTGTCAGTGGCCTTTATAGTTATATAAAACGTTTAACTTAAACGTAATTACTAATAACTATAACAAAATTCCCTAATCTGATTGCTTACAAGCAACCATGATTTCAGCATTAACAGGACATTTTGTATGCCACGCTTAAGACACTGGACAGTGCATGCCATCATAGGCACACTTGAATAACCTGAGATCTCTTTCGCCTTGCCTGCCGGAATGTAATTTTCAAAGCAAAACGAAAATAGAGCCTGATCTCAGGTTACACTTGAATGTCTTTTCTAGTTTTGTTGTCTAGAAAAACTCTTTGAAGATATTGTGTCTATTTTTAATCATCGTAGACTTGCCACAAGTCAAGCTCAATTTTTTACTACCAGTACCAGAAACGAGAAGCGATGGACTTTGAGAAAGTCTACACCCACAAATGTTGTCCTATTACTGTTTTGATTAACTGGTAACAGAACGTCTGTTGTCCAATTCGGTCCATAAAATACTTGTTTAAAGAAATCGGACTCCGTCTATGCAATCCTCCAAGTTTGTTGGTCACTCCTAGGATTACAGAGACTACATTGGACTCCACTTAGTTCTATTTATACCATAATTAAATGTCCAATTATTACCGTATAATCAAAGCAAGTCATTGTTTGACTTTCCAGGAACTGTGGCTGATTGTAAGGACATGAGGGCCTGATCATTGTGGTATGAGCAGCCTATCCGAAATTTTAAAGAAACTTTTCCTTTCACTCTTCTTTCAGGGATTTTCCATATACCCTTCTGTTCATACAAAGGGCACTATGCAGAGATTTTTGCCCGTAACATATATATTTTTTGGACAATGTTTTGAAGACCAAATGGGAAAGGAGCATAAAAATCAAAAAGGCTTTATTTAAAGACCCTCAACTTCTTTTGTATGTCGCCAGTGATCAACAGAGTTGTAGTTATTAATATTATTGTTATTAGTTTTGGATAACTGGCAGGGTGGAAAGAAGGTCAGTATTACAGACTGCCATTCATGCATGCAAGCCGTAGCTGGCATGTACTAGCCCACAAGTCATTTTAACTAGCCCCAAAACCCTTTTTGATTGGTAGGATTGATTATAACCCTTCTGTAATTTGAATTTTCCCAAAAAGCAGCACTTGCCCGTTGGGCAAATTACATTGTTTTGTAAGAACAAAAATTACTAGCCCGAAAGCAAAATCCACTAGCCCCGGGCTATTAGACACAACTTTCTTTGCACGCTGAACTGGTTACTCTTTCATTTCTTATTTTGACTGAAGGCAGCTAGTGCAAACATACAAAAAATTACTTCTTAAAAATAAAAGCAGAGAACTGGCCCCTTGATTCACTTGTTCCATTGTTATCCCAGTTTGAGCTGTAAAAATTGAACTGTACTTGACCACACTCAAGAGACGTTTTCCCCCCTTCACCATACCATGACATGGGGCCTGTAATGAGTGACCTAACCACATATCTCTTGCTTTTATGTAAACAGAGAGGAGGATCAAAACAGACAGTAAATCCGTAATAGCCTAGCTTCTCATCTTTTAATGATGAGTAGTACCCTGTTTTCTTCACCAGTGTACAATTATTTGTGGTATCTTTAACTTCTGTAGAAACAGAGTACCCATGACCTTCACTGCCAAAATGTTGAATACCATGCAAGTTAACTGACTTATCAACAGACAAAACAATCACATCAGGATTACCAGAATATGACCAATACGCTTTTGGTGAATTGTAACTTAAAAATCTGTAGCATTGATGGAGCTGTGTGCTGTCAGTTCTTGGGGTCTGTATAAATGGTAAAGGGGAGGTTAACTCAACATCATTATAGAACTTCATTAGATCACTCATCTCTCCAAAATTAAGAATTCTCGAATCTAAACCAACAGAGACAAACTCCTTCTGTGACATCAGTGGAAACCGTATTGCTTTCACGATGTCCTCTCCAATGATTCTCCTCTTTGACTCGCCATCAGCAGTTATTCCTTGCCTCTCACTTTCTCTTATCGCCCAGCGATCAACAGCTTTGAACAGATCCACTTCCTTTACGGTCAGTCTTTCCCTCTTCACAACACTCTCAATAAGAGATCGCTCAAGCGTGACAAAATCATCTGACGTCACAGCTTCTTCCGTGTTCTCCTCGATCACTTCCCAGCATCGATCTTCCAAATCTTTATCCTCAATTTTTTTAGCGTGTGGAAGAATGGAGAATACATTGGCTGCTGATAGGTTTTCTCGTAGATATTCACTGCATTTCTCTGCAAGTGAAGGTACCATGTACTTATCCGCTAAGTACAGAACATGCATCACGTTACTTACGGTTAGATTCGCCTTATCGCTGTACAGGTACCGAAGAAATTCCAACAGACTGTCGTACTCACAGTCAGGTAGTTCAACACAGTCTCTAGCCTCCGCCAGGTGCCCATAAAACATGGCGTAGAAGACAGGACTGCTGATAGCAAGCACAAGCTTGTGGGCTGCAATCGTCTTCCGGGTTTCAGTTTCAGTTTCCGAAGCAGGAACCACAAACTTTACATCGCTCAATAACTCGTTGTTGAAAATAACCGTGGTTCTTTCTTTAATGGTTGATAGTTTCATCTGCCAGTTTTCTTCAACAGCAGCCATTGTTTCTCTCAGATTAACTGTCTAGACAACTTCTATTCTTTCCCCTCTGTGTCGTAGGGAGGCTGGGGAGAGGGAAAAAAGAAAGCGCCTGGGGATTGCCTGCGGACGATGGGAAGCGACGGAAGCGATTAAAAACGAGGAAGAGAAGCTTCCCACTGCCCACCGCCCTATTTTTATGGAGTAGACTTTAAAGCCACTTGTAAACGTACGCAACAATATTGCGTCCGCTTACCCGGGGCTAAAAGTTTGACCGGCTTTAAACTTTGCCCAACAACATTTAACAACATGCAACAGCGTGTGCAAACGGACGCAACATGTAACATCTTCCTGGTAAGGGAAAGTTCATTTGATATGACAAGGGGGGGGATGAAGATATTGAGGGGGGGCTCCGAAAATTTTTAGACACCCGAAGGGGGGGCTCTGAAAAAATTGTTGCGCTAGGAGGGGGGGCTCCGAAAATTTGTATACTTCTAAACCAACACAAGACATCATCATACAGATCGGATGGTTTTCAACTCAACAATTTAATGACCTGTGCAACTCAGCTATATCACGTGGTTTACAGATATAACAAATGTAGTCTCAGTAATTATTACACTCTTGTTCATCCTAAAAATGCTTTAGAAAATTGTATCACAACTGTATCTCAAGTTTGTCATAGTATAAACCATTGAAGACAATAACGGTAAATATATGTAATACAGTCTAGCGATCTTTTTCAGGGGAGCAAAGGAATTGAAGGAGGAGGGGGCTCTGAAATTTTTTCGACTACCAAGGAGGGGGCTCCTAAAAATTGAACCACTAGCGAGGGGCTGCTAAAATTTCAAGCTTCGAGTTTCAATATCTTCATCCCCCTTGTCATATTAAATGAACTTTCCCTAACATCCAACAATGTTGAGAGTTGTTGGCCAACAATGTTGCGTCCGTTTGCACCATAGTCTCTCCAAGTAACTTTACTCCGGAGGAAGGAGAGAGGTTCCCCTGCAAAGGATTCCAAAATGTCATAAGGTTGCTTGCCATTAACACAGACAACCCGGGTGGAAATCTTGTGCAAAAACATAAAACTATAAAATTTAACGTGGTGGGAGAACAACCGGCTACAAAGTATCCCCAAATCAGCGTTACAGACTTAAAAGAGTAGAAAAGTTGCATCGTCCCAAATCACAGACCACATCTTCTGAAGCTTCCCAAACGGAAGGCACGAACCATTTGATTTTCCAGCCGGAATTTTTTCCATGTAAATTGCAAGTTAGTAGCCAGAAACCACTATTTTTTGGTATCTATAATTTGACTATCATTATGTGGGCAATGATGAGGAATTTTAGAGAAAAAGGGAAGCGATTGATTCGAAACACTTACGTTATTTTTGCGAGGCTATCAGGAGTGAGGTTAACTGTCAGCCGTCACACGTCCTAAAATCTAACTCTCAACAGTCAAAAATTTTTACCGTTAAAAATGTAGATTAATATTTACCGTCTACTTTTCAAAGTGACATAGACAAAATTTCAGATTGGTGTAAGATGAATAAGATGAGAATTAATACCAAGAAATGTAAGATCATGCGAATAACCAGGAAAAAGTCATAAGGCCAACCTTTGGAAAGTTTTAATGTGTATAAAGATATTTAGGATTATTTACTGCTAGTAATCTTTCATGGAACCAACACGTAGATAAAATAACTGCTAAGGCTTATAGGGTTTTAGCATTGGTTAAGAGGACTTGTATGGACTTAAAGGATATTGATACCATGAACACACTTTATTGTAGTCTTGTGAGACCTTTATTAGAATATTCATGCGAAACTTTGTAACCCTTATACTAAACGTAACATTGATAAATTGGAGGCTGTTCAGCGAAGAGCTACCAGATGGATCACTAGGTCTGATGATGATTATGATACTAGACTATCTAAGCTAAAATTGTTGTCATTATCTAATAGAGATGTTACATTTTTTTTAATGTAATTAATGGGCATTATGATATTGACATTTCAAATAAGCTCATATTTTGTAAGGACAGAAATACAGGTTATAACTTGAGGAAAAATGACACACAGGACCTTGTTCCAAATTTTAGTACAACTGACGGTTTTAAATATAGTTTTTTAACCGTGTTGTAGATGAATGGAATGGTTTACCCAATCATATTAGAGAATAAAACAGTAATGCAACTTTTAAAAGAAATGTTTTAAGCTTTATTAAGGATAACTAGAACATTTAGATTTCTATTTGTATATATTTTTGTTATATTTAATTAGTGGAGGCATCCCTAGTATAGCGCATTGGCGCTTTTGGTTGCCGTCTCCTTCTCCACAACTTTTTTTTTTTCTTATAGTAGTACTAGCTTATTTCATTTCATTATTTGTTTGTAATGTAGTAGAGTGAATCTGTAATAAAAGGTGTTTCAAATCTCACTATTTCAGAAGGATCTCTTAACTGGAAAAACCTCGCCTCGGTCCTCTTCCCGGGGGGGTATTCCCATAAATTTCAGACCAATCCTCAAAAATTCTAGCCTCCCACGCAGGCTTTTTAAGGGAGCTCGTATTTGGTCCCTCCCCACAAATACGAGCACCCCTAAACCCGCCTGCGTAGGAGGCTACAAAAATTCAAGAGGGGAATCTTCCTACAAATCGCTTTCCTAATATTTTAGTTGGTATTGCAGTTCAGTTTTAGCCGGATTTATCAGTTCTTGTTACTGGGCATTTACATGCTCATAACGGTACCCCATCTAAGGATCACACCGGGAACACATCGCCTACAAGGGCGAAAAAATGATTGCCTTCTTAACACATGATTTTAAGGATGGAGCCCACCACTGCCAACAAGGATGCTACAACTCTCAACATTGTTGGGCCAACAATGTGCAACAACTCCCAACACTCTTGGGCCAACAGTGTTGGGATCTGGAGTGCATCGTGGGAAGGATACAACCCTTAAGTCTTTGTAAACTCCACGGAGACCATGTGAAATGCGTGTGCGTGGCCCCAACAATGTTGGAAGAGCTGCCAAACAGATCCAACATTGTTGTGCTACGCTTCGGCGGGAGTTGGGGGTCAAAAGTTTGACCGGTTTCAAACCGCAACAACTCCCCATGAGCATGTAACAAACGGATGCAACATGTAACAATGTTGCATCCCTTTGCACAGGACGAAACTGAGGATTTTGCCTTCTCAACCAACTTATTTTACTTTTCCTCGAGTTTGCTTGTCCTCTCCTTTCCCAATGTTGAGATTCGCGTATATTTGCAAATGGGTGATACGTGAATCAACGTCGGAGTGGGCGTAAAGTGACTAGTGTTTCAACAAATGTGAAGAGTGTTGTACCCAGGCCGAGGGTACCAGAGGTTCTCTTTTCTCGCATGTGATGAGGAGCTTCGTCGGCCACAGGCCGACATGTCTTCGACCGACTTGACCGAAACGGCATCCTCGGAGTCGAAGACCCAGGGGCAGTTAGTCGGGTTAGGAGAAAAGGCGCGACGAAAGTTTTCAAATACTTCCGTCGCGCCTTTTCTCCCAAGTGCGACTGACTCATGCCCGTTGCTTTCCGAGGATGCCGAAACCGGAAACCGCGCATGAAAAGCCTCTGGCACCCAGGGTAAGAGTATTATAACCCACATGTGGGAGTACCTCCTGGGCCCTCTGTATTTACATGGTACATGTAATCCTAAATATTTTACCAGGACCGTATTAATCTTTAGCGCTTGGCATGTTATGACGCGCCGCGTCTGTCTGATCGGTACTATTATTGGCCAACAGCCAGAGTTTTTGGCGTGATTTGCTGCGACCATTATGCCAGCCTGTACGGGTTTTGAGCTTTGCATCCATGTATGCATCCTGACATCCTTTCTAACATCAGGTACTATGTGTTTTCATCAAATTTGTACTTCTGATATTTTATCTCCCTTTATTCAGTTAATATTTTAATTACTCATGAACGCAGTGACGCAGAGATCTTAGGTTCGCTAAATGGCCTCCTGTTTCTTTCCTCCTATTTATTTTAGACTGATATCGACGTAATTTTAGAATTAAATAGTCCATAGTGACCACTGGTAGTAGACATCGAGGAAGTTACGAAAAAAATCATCGAACCATTGCTTAGAAATGTAAAAAACGATTAATAAATAACATGACATCTGCAAGAGTACGCTGAGAACATGGCACTGATGGCAGAATTATACAAAACAGCCATTTCTCTAACCTACGAAGAGCAAAGATTTGACGAACGTAGAACAAACTTGAACTTGTGTAAATCGAGACTAACTTTCAGTCAACTAGTCATGGTCAGATCTAGATAAACGCTTCCCGCAAACCCTCACGAAAATTGGTGTTGCAAATCTACAGAAAAAACGCTGAGACCCACCTTTGATATTCTTTCCATTGATAAATGGTACCCCTTTTATTTCACATACCTTCAAAAGAACACTGCATCTCTTTTAAGATTTAACTGCTGTAACTGGCCTGTCTTTTTTCAAGAATGAATAGATTTTTTTGTCATTTCGACAGTCTAAGCCAGGAAAATTAACTCTTTTTAAAAACCCGAATGACAGATTTTCCAACACTTACATAATGACATACTACCTTTAACTCGTAAAATCCCTTGGCCATTTATAAAGGAAGTACTCATGCATCCTTGGATATCGGGTATTTATATATATAAAATAACTTGCTGGTCCGGGCAGAATGTCCCGGGGGGTACTCCCCTATATAAGCCATATAGGTATGTGCTGCCCCAAGGGTATGGTTTTTGCGCCGTTTTGGTCTGACGTCGGGTATGGTTTTCGAGAGAATTACGGCAGTGTATGAACGTATTTATCGTTTCAATTTAAAATAAGTAAGGAAGAAAGAGAAATATGCGAATTGGAAATGGAATTCAAGAAATCTTTTTTGTTGCATTGCTGCTCTATCTAAGTAATGGTGACATGATTAATTAGATCCCAGGTCCGAAAACGGGTATGGGTTTTACAGGCCAGGTCTGAAAACAAGTGTGAAAAATGACATTTTTTGGTCTGGAATAGGGTCATGATTTGGAGAACCGGGCGGTACAGCTCCACCAAGAATTCCCAGAAGTACCCCCCCGAGCAGAAAGTATGAGCAAGGGTCCTGCGTGAATCGTGTGTTGGCGAGCGGGGGGCAATTAAATACGGCTTTTACAAGCGTAAATTACATGTGTAGCCACTGTTTTAAAGTCTGAAAACAATGGCCACACTTGTAACAGTTTTATAAAATTTACCCCGGGACTTTAGTTTTTTTGTGTCTTGTATCTTCCCCTACCAAAAACGACAAAATTGAGCTTTTTTTTTGGTGAGATTTAGCAAGTGCGGAAGGAGTTTTAACTAGCGAGAAGGGCGCAAAAGTCAAAGCGAAAGCAAATAAGGTTACCCTCTTTCGCTCTCACTGCTCAGTGATTGCGTTTTGGTCGCATCCAGAAACGCTTGGTATTATCACCCACAGCAAAACTCGCGGTGATGATGGACCAACACTCTTAGTACCCTCAAAGCTCTCAAGTGTATCTGTTTTTTACATCATAGGTTTAAAATACTGGCCCGATGGTCTGTATGGCCTTCCCATGGCTGCTAGTGGCTGTCCAAATGATCCCTCTGTAAACTGGAGATTGGGTACCCTGTACCAAGACTGTGAAGACACAGACCCGGAAACCCATCATTCATTCAGCTTCAATTTACAAGCTTCTATAATACAAGGCGATGTTGAGCGGTCGTTTTGCATGAAAACTACCACTTTCTTCGATTCAAGAAGAAAAGCGTGGCCCCCTGGAAAATACTGCATCTATCTCTCAGGAAGGTCATGTCCCTTGGGAATGACTGTAGGTTGGATTGTGTGGGATGACGAAAATGCTTCTATTCCTGGAACAAGCAACAGAAACCATCACAATGGTACATTGCCAGCTGGAAAGTACGACAGCAATACGTGAGTACCTTAAAAATAATATAGTCCCTCTCTTTTTTTCTTTCCTCCCAACCTATTTCGACGCCTGCTAGAGTTAGGCTAAAAAATGGTTTTAAAATGGTACTTACAGGTTTTCAGGGCGTCCTGGCAGAGTACCAGAGACCGCTTAAACTGGGTAAGGTTTTGATCATGCGTTTGGCATAGGCACAGGTAAAGCAAATAAATGTGCGAGTGACTTAAATTGAAGTAAAGCAAATTGTGCAACCGAACTGTGGGCCCTACAAACGACTACGGGACACATATTCAAACGGCTCTTGCTCAAGTTCCCCTCCCGTGGCCCAGTAGACGGACGCTGCATGGTAGTTTCGATGCCGATGGTTTCAGTACTCTTTGAGTTCGTGTAAAGTTGACTGTTTCACAATCTTGTCTTCAAATCTGACTTGTCGTCCGCAAGTTATTCCTGCGCCCGTTCCTGCAGGCGTCATTTCACGGGGATACCAAAAGTGGCGACGCGAAATGTCGGTTGTTTTCTCAGGCTGCCGAAATAGAACCTTGAAACTGAAATCCAGGATTCAACTATAATGCGAAGAGTAGACGAACGCCCTATACAAGAGAGGTCCAACTACAGCCGGAAGGTTTTTTGATTGTGAGCTCGTCAGTAATATATGATGATGTTGGATGATGATTGAAAGTACCAGTTAGCTTGTGAACAGCTTCCCGTTTTGGGGTAAGGGGTTGAAAAGCGCGAGAAGACGGCAAGGGAAAAAATGAAAGAGAGGATGTGTGGCAGTAATGTCATTTCCCACTTCGTAGTCCCTCGCTCTATAATACTTTCCCTTTCTACTGGTATGCGTTACAACAGGGTACAAACAGTAAACTCCAAAACCCGTGTGCGACCAAACCTGGACCCTGGTCAGGGATGGATTCACAGAGCAACGTAAAAAAATGACGCTTAATTTATTAAATGCTTTGCGACTCTTCAGAGTGGGCAGATCTCAATGCTAGAAATCAGTTTCCGGGACTTTCGCTCGTCCTTCTAAAATATAAGTCGTTTATTAACGGCTGATAGCCCTCGAAGACTGACCTTGCCTATGATCTAAGTCAAAGCTCTTTGCTGTATTTTTCATTTCTTTTCATTCGGCACCATATTAATTGCAGTTAATACTTTTAATCAAACAGCCTTATCTACTACTGCTGCAGTACAAGTGGTTCGGCCCAATACCCTATCAGCCTTCCGCTGGAGTCACCGTTCTATCTTATAGCGTACGGTACAAGGACATGCCAGGCGGTAAGGGGGGCCAAATCAACCTTGGAGTATATTTACTACGAGACAGAAATTTTCACACTCATGTCTATGGACGATTACGGCGGAGCACATCCATATGGTGTTGCAAAGGGCGGGAAGGGACATGTGATTTTCTACTGTTATTATACCCGTAAGTATATATTTTTTAGATAAGTTAATGGCCTCAACCAAGTGAATATATTTTCCAGTGAATACAATGAAGCGAAGTTATGTCCAAGGTACACCCGGCCATCGCTAAGGACGCATCGACTATCTCCTCGGCCCTATTCTAATTAGGAACCTCAATATGATATCTTAAAACGTCCTTTTTTCTAGACTACGCGCAGTTTCTCTTTTTCTTCAGATTTAGTAAGGCGAGTACACGCGCGCCGAGTGTTGTGCGGCGAAACCGCGAGACGCGAGAAACGAGGGCGCCAAGAAAGTCTTGGATTCTGGATTCCAATCTTAATCGAGATTCCAGATTCCTTGAGCTGAATTCCAGATTCCAAAGCGTAGGATTTCGGATTTGACGAGCAAAAATTTCCGTATTCCGGAATCTGGATTGCCTAAAAGGCGGCGACTTTTCAAATTGGCCGCGATGAAAAGTGAATAAACTTACCTTCACTACTCAATTTGTGCGCTGATTTAAGGTCCTAATTACAGCTAGCAAGATTCTTGGACTTGCTTTGTAGCTCCGCCTCAATCTATCTTATCCCTATTGAGACAACTACATACGCTATGGAGAGACATTGGCCGTATTTATACTAGAAGACGTCTTAGACGTCCAGACGCATTAAACGTCTGATTTTTAAGTGCGTCGTTAAGTGCGTCCCGTTTTTATACTAGACGTCTTAAACGTCTGAGACGAATAATTCATCTGTTCGACGCACTTAACCTCAGACGTTTTATTCGCCTGACGATTAATGGCCGTTTTTATGCTTGGACTTGCTTTGTAGCTCCGCCTCAATCTATCTTATCCCTATTGAGACAACTACATACGCTATGGAGAGACATTGGCCGTATTTATAGTAGAAGACGTCTTAGACGTCCAGACGCATTAGACGTCTGATTTTTAAGTGCGTCGTTAAGTGCGTCCCGTTTTTATACTAGACGTCTTAAACGTCTGAGACGAATAAATCATCTGTTCGACGCACTTAACCTCAGACGTTTTATTCGCCTGACGATTAATGGCCGTTTTTATGCTACAGACGTTAAAGTCGTCTAGACGCATTTAACGTCTGAGACGTTAAAGTCGTCTGTTAAGTGCGTCGTTCGGACGCACTTAACAGAAGACGTTAAAGTCGTCTGCCTTATTTACCGTTTTTATACTAGACGTTAAAGTCGTCTTAAGACGACTTTAACGTCTCAGACGACTTTAACGTCTCTAGCCAGGCTCCTGCTCTAGCATAAAAACGGCCAATGTGTCTGCCTTATCTCCCGTATTTATCCTAAGTCGTCTAAGACGTTTTAAAGGTTTGAGATGTCTTAGACATCCTCTAGTATAAATACGGCTATTAAGACTCCGTTATTTGTTTATTGTGTCTAGGTTTACTACCTTCTACACCTATTAAACTGTACATTTGTTTTTCTAGGGTAGAGACTGACTCTGATCATTATCATACTTTTAATGATTTTTCCTTTTCTTTTTGTTTGTTCTTGCTTTTTGTTTCCTGGTGAAGCTATTTACTGCCCTCCACTGAAACGCCCTGATAATGGAAAGCTGAAACCCTTTCGCTGTGGTGAGAGAAATAACAACAAATTCAACGACACCTGTTCATTAAGTTGCAATCCTGGGTACATACCCGAAAATCCCGCGGGCCAAGTAACCACGTGTTTAGAGAACGGAACTTGGAGTAACCCATATCTCACTGGTTGCAAACGTAAGATAGTGTTCATTGTTATATTATATGATGGACTTAAGGGGTAAAATCAACACCTTGTTCTGATTAGTCTCTTACTGTATGGGTTTTATTTGTACCAGACTTTCGCCTATCTTGAGTTGACAGCCACTCATTTTAAAATGAACTTGAAATTGATACCTTTCTTGGAACTGATATTAATTTTTCTTTGAGCGTTGCTGCGTACCGTTTTCGTTTGGCGATGATCATCTTTGTATTAACGAAAAAGTCTGGGAAACGAAGTTGTGAGACTACAAGAAAGATTTAAATATAGTGATTATCAGAAGAGCTTTTTGAAGAGGGCGGAGGTGATCCTGTTACATTGCGATGATAATGATGATGATGATGATGATGACGAAGACGATGATGATCAGGGTTGATGCTAATGATCACCGTTATTGTCATAGTTTTATTTCTTATAACTTATTGCTTTACTGAATGTTTTTCAGGTTCTTTTCAAAATATTACAGCATCACCAGTTACAAAATACCTAACAACGTCTTCAACGCCAGTTTTGAGTTGGACACAGTCACGTTTACAGCAGACCACAGCGTCCACACCGCTAAATCTCAGTACCACGTCTTGTTTTGTATCGCCTCCCAGTATCACTGTCAGTTCAAGCGTCATTCAAGTTTCCCGCGCTTCATCCCTGTGGAGTAGCACCACACCATCTCCTACCCTACCCTCTGTTGGTAGTAGTATACCACCCGTGGAGGAGGAGGTTGGGTCATCGTATAATACCCTACAAGACACCAATTTCTTGATCGGAGCGATAGCTGGCGGTGCACTACTCTTGGTGATCATAATCCTATCGCTTGTTATTCGAAGGAGAAGGTAACAAAAATTTACGACAAAAATGTTAAAATTATTAAACAAACATGTTTCTTGGAGAGCACTTAGGGACGGACCATTAGATGGAATTAGAAAAGTTATAGGGGGAGGATTTTAGAGCCGCATGAAATTTTTTCGTTTACATTTCCATTATATGATTTCTATTAGACCAGTGTATGGACATTTTTAAGGTTTACTGGGCGTGCATAATTTTTTTTTCACTGAATTTTCCCTGGCACCAATGTTTTTTTTTGTACTTCGTCCCCCCCCCCTCCATAACTTTTCTAATAGTAAAAACATGTATAGCTTAAGGCCACTTTTTAAATCAGAAAGATGTGAATACCATTATAACATTTACTTTTTCTTATTCTTCATAAATAATTCTCATAATTCTCTTGCAGAGCCCAAAGTGCCACACCGCGCAGAGGAACGGGTGTAAAAGTGTATATGAGGCAAGTACAAATAATTATAATTCAGGTTTATCTATGGGACATGTATAGTGTGGTGCCTTCGTTTCAATAGTGTTCATTTCCTTTGTTTCAAACTCGTCATGTTACAATACATATGATGAAATTTGAACCAAAATGAGAATTGAACCACAACAAAAATGTTCGTTACCGTAAATTTTTACTAAATCTTAACAGGCGGTCAACATTCATAGGTATGATACAGAGTACTTTTACCCTCTGACGTCAGAGGTTTTCCAATGTCCGCCCAAAAATTTACAGCGGTATTGCGATAAAAAGTTCATTTTTAGGCGTCACGTGACCTGGAAGTAACCAATTAAAGGGCATGGTTTTGGGAGAAAAATCCACTATTAAAAAAAGTACTGTCTACTTAGTCATTGCATCTTCGAATTTGCTGGACTGTACACGACACATTTGGTATTTTACTTTGGTATGGTTTGACCAAACACCAGGACGATAGCCTGCGTGGCTGGCGCTTTTCGTTGGGAAGGGACGGAGCTATAGAGGGAATCGCTATTGATCGCCAGCAAGAGGTGAAGCGGTGAGAAGAATGGGGCTGAAATCAGCTTCCCCGCTTGTTTGCGTAGATTTCGTGTGCCCCTTCCGTTAACTCATTCTTTTCCACTTTTTTGTTTTCTTTTAAGCGAGATTGAAGAGACGTTTACGATGAACAATCTATATTCTGATAGGTTTGTAAAAACTCAGTTCTTTAAAATTGCCCGGCTGCACGCAGCTTGAATAGTAAATTCAGTCCAGTGTGTTCCAGTTAGCTTGTGGTTTCTTTCTAGGTCGCGATCTCCCTGTAGCTTCGAGCTGCAGGAATAGTTACCTTGAAAGTGCTTTTTATGCCGTTGTCAAGTATATCAAGGACCAGTTCATTAGTTCGCACGTCTTGTTCCCGCCTTTTATGTTATTTAACTCGTCTGACACGTCTCAGCACTCAGTGTTGTTATAGAGTCAACTTACAGATGCTATTTGTTTTTCTTCAGCGAATTCATTCATAAGCGATCTTCAGACGAAAACCTACTACACGATAGGTCAGTTATTGTGCTTATATTGAATTTCTCTTTTTCTTTTTTCCCTTGAGCAATTAACATATTACTAACATTACCAGCTAATAAAACATTCCCTTTTTTTCCAGTTGTTCTGCAAGAACAGTTGAGTACGAAGACAAGGCCGCAGAAAATCTGCTGTACGAAAGGTACTTAAGTTCTGCATCAAAGTTATGTGTAAGAAAAATGATCCGTCACGACTATTTTTAAAAAGAAAAGAAAAACTGGTAAATCGGCAAAAAACAACGAAGGATACATTCACACTACAAGGGGCGAATTTTTCGATCGATTGACAAACAACTTCGTGCCTTTAGGTGTTCTGTGTGAACGAAGTCGGGTCCGCCGGTCAAAGCTTTTAGCCAGTCGAAAAAATTCATCCTGTACTGTCGCGTGTGGACGTAGCCTTAAAAAAGGATACAAATCAACAAAAACCTAAGAAAAGCACAGAAAATTGTGTCTAACACAAACCGAGTTTTAACAGAAGAATTCTAGCCTGCGTAGCTGGCGGGATTAGCGGGCGTGCTGTAGCTTTTTGGCGGCGGAGCCGCGTGAAGATTGGAAGCAAGTGTGGTCAAACGCGGATCTTCCCTCGCGGCATCGCCGGTAGCCTGAATTTTGTCCGATTGCTTTGAGTCGTTTTCTCCTCTCAGTTACTGAGGGAGAAATAACGACTGAAAGTAATCGGATGAAATTCAGGCTACATCGCCGGTCGCTTCGAGTGGCGGCTCGGCCGCTCAGAAAGTTAGCACCCCGGGCAAAAGAATGCCGCTAGTTACGCAGGCTAAGGGATTTCACACATTTAAACTGCGGGTGAAGAACTAAATGCAAAGGAGATCAATGCAGTTTAAGAAGCAACCCTTACCGTGGGGTAAAATAGCAGGAAAAAATTCAGGCTTGTCAGGTAGTCTAAGGATTCGAACCTTGACATCTGCGATACCGGGGCATGCAGTGCGGCTCTAACCACTTGAGCTAGCACGCTACCGGGAACTAGTCATATTATTGGTTCGTAATATACCCGGGAAAGATGAAGATGAAATCGATGAATGTATGAATTTCTTATATTATTAACCTGAGAGATATGAAATCTATACATAACCTTATAATGCATGCGCAAAAAAATTAAACCAGATGACAAGGAAACCTTGTTACTGATACAGTGCATTACTATAGAACTCTCTTTTTGTTGAAAAGGTAACGGCTCAAATTGTTTTGATATTATTAGCTGTGGGACTCGCTTCTCTGTTACAAAAGTTGAAGATAACGTTCTTTACGAGAGGTAAGAAATACAAGTAATATAATGTAAGCTTTCATCCACTAAAAAGGATCCAAAACACCTTCATTAAAATATTGAAAACGAGTGGGACCATGCAAAAATACTCCAGAGAGGGGTTTCATTGGAAAGCAAAAGGGTTTTTTTTTCCAGCTCAAAATTAAGAATTGCCTAACATGTTTCCTAAATTGACTTTGAGATCTCCCATTGACCAAAAATAAGATAAGAAAAACACCAAGTAAAAATCTCGACATTTGTTTCATTTTCAATTTGTGACGTAAAACAAGTCGAAGAATTATTACGCTTTCTTTAACGCAGCTTGTTCCACTCAGTCATACTAAAAAACCAAAATTTGTGGCCGTGATACAAGTTTGTCAACAAGAATAAATTGCCACCTTTTAACTTCTTAGACTTCTAAATCTTAGAGGATATTCAACAATTAACTGATCCTTTCTGAATTCAGAATACTTAAGTATATGTTGTTGTTAATTGTTTTCGTAGCATGTCATTCCATGAAAGCCAAGACGAGAAGGACTCGGAAACACTCCATCATCATTTCTATAAAACAGTCACATGATTGAACTACTCCTTTGGTCTTGTGTGAAGAGCGTCAACCTTTGGATACAAATACGTCATTTTGTACTTAAATATATTCCTTTATACAGATAAACATTACCAGTTGTTCCGTTTCGGATCTGTGCCATACTTATTGACTGTTTTCATAAAAAACGAAAATACAAATGCTAGACGCGCAGAGGTCAATTTTTAAGAATTTCTTTTCTCTTTTAACTCCACCTAACTTTATTCTTTTACCAGACTTTACTTTGTCACAATTATCTCCCAGTCACTTTGTCCCTGGAGAAAGAAAGCCCTTACACTTTCTCTAAATTCAACCTGCTAAATACGGAAACCCCGTTAATACGGACACTTTCTATGGCCTTCTCAGTGTCCAGTGTCCGTATCAACGGAGTTTAACACTGTACTGACTTGAAAGGCTTTTCTAAAAAGCAATATCACACATAATATTGTATTCAATGGACGTAAAATATTGATGCAGGATGACTTTACATTAGGATATTATCTTAAGTAAATCTCAAGTTCCCTGATTAGATGAATAAGACAAAGGTTTCTTTCTGTTTAAAGAACTTGAAGTGTTTGGTTGTTGTAAAAGAGAAGTAGTCGTTCCAGACTACTTTGTTCACATGTTTTGTAATGCTTTACAAACAAGGCATGTATATGCCAGTAAGATGATGGGTTTTTTATATGCATTATTAAGCTGGGGCATTAAGGCCAACACAATGGTTGCAATATACCTGTAATATTGCACAGGGCATAATTATTTCCTTTGACTTTCCTACGGTGTATTGCATCATTACATACAACCTAATGTATAAAATTTGCTGAGTGGCTAACGGTCATTGTTACGTTTTTTTTTTTGAGCCAGCCTTACATTTGATGAGAAATTAATAAATTGCTAGTTAACATTGAAAAACATTGCTTTCATTGTGAAAGATAATAATTGTAGACAAGGGAAAGTCAAAGACTCTTTTGCTGCAATGTTGCACAGAATATTATCAGAGGTTGGCACACAAGGCAGTTTAGCTGTATCATGCGATATTACCCCAATGATTAACTATGTGTCTGGGCCTATACATCAACTGAACTCTGCCCATGAAGAAATAAATACTCCTCAAAGTGCCGAAGATTCATGCTCCTATAAACCAAGTTTCTCAGCTTCTTTAGCCTCAAAGAAGGTGTATGACAGTGTAATGGTGTCCACTTTGGCCATAGCTGGGTCCTCTGTAAATTCAGGGTCAATGTAAAAAAACACAGGCATGTCAACCTGTCAAGACAAAAAAAAGAGAAACAAAGAATATGACAAGTAGAAAATGAAGAAAAAAATACGATTCCTGGACCACTTTTAAAGCAAGGAAGTTACTATAATTTCAACTTAACTGATACAGGCAATATTATTATTAGTAGGTGAGGAATTGTCTAGCTAGGAAATTCTTTGATTCATTTTTGCTTAACCCTTTATGCCCCAATATCCAAATACAAATTTTCGACATCTTCAGATCAATTGATCGATCTTTGTGTCCTACGCAGGGTCCATGCATGCCATGAATAATTATTTTGCATCTTACGGAATTTTTATGCATCAGGGACACAGGATGCAGAGGTAACAAAATCACTGCGTTACTTTTATCCTCTTTAGCTTTATATTTCATTAGGCAGTGATGATTAAGAAAAGCAAGACCAGCTCACCAATCTGGCTTAAAGTTAGATTCTGGTTTGCTTGTGTTTCGAATATCCTATTTGTGCAATTTCTGTGGCAGTTAGTATGGATGTTGTTTACTATTGTTGTGCCTTAAAATATAGTAGAAGGACTATATTTTAATTTCAGTATGCTGCGATACGGAGTTTTGGAGTCAGTCTTCATATTGACTGTCTGGTTACATATAGGCCATGAGCATGTTGTTGACTGGGACTCTTGATTTTTTACAAGATCAGTCCCAGGACTCACCATAACTTTTTGTAACAAAATCACTGGTAATGATCACCCAAAAAAGGTCTGTTCTCCAGTGGAAAATGGTTTACAGTCAAACCAAGTCAAGCATACCCCCCAAGATTCTATCAGTGAATTGATTATTTGAAAAATGAATCCGTTATTCGTTCCCGTAACTGGTGTCAAATTCAAAGCGGCATTTCTGCATGCATAATGAGCAGTGAATATTTTATGAGCACTTCTCTGTATTTGGTCAGATTGGAAATCTTTGAATGGATTAAGCTTCTTAGAAGACATTTACATCAATTTCAGGAAAATGGAGGTGGTAGAAATTTCATAGCTGCCTCACATGTGAATTCATGGCTCATTACACATACAAGAATGCAGAGATCAATCTGAAATCTACAACTAGCAACGGATTCAACTTTTGAATAATAAATTCATTAAGGGATTTTTGGGGGGTACGCTTGACCTGGTTTGACTGTAAGGGTTAAAATGGCATGCAAGGGCTGTAGCGTAATAGTTGGGAAGACAAGTGATTTTCGTTTTCAAAGTTGTACATATATGTGTTTCATTGTGGTGGCATACTCCTAGACCAACTGCCTTCATGCCTTTGCTACTTGCAACAATAAATTGACCTGTCTTTTCTCAAAGTCTTTCTAAAGCCCTGCATTGCAAGAGAAAAGTTTTGTTTTACAACTGTACAATGTACCTGTTCATGCGGATTAAGCCTCTGTTCTTCGAAGCAAAAACACTGTGAACATAAGAACACATTCATGAGTAGCAGGTTTTAACTATTAAAACCAAAGTTAATATTGAGATGCTTCATCACAGAAAAGGTCTCACTTAATCACCAAAAAGATCATAAAAGGCAAATATACCTGTTACAGGTCAGGTTAAAATTATTTAACCTAGGTTGAATCTCCATTTCCTTTGCTTCCTAGCCTTATTTATTCATGCATTAGGGCTAGGAGACAAAGGAAATCAAGAATCAACCTTGGTGAAATGATCACATCAAAATTAACCTGAAATCAAATTTGACCCATAAAATATCTACTGGTACATTCTTTTAAAATGATGATAACTATAATAATTATTATTATTACGATAGTGTTGATAATGATGATGATGATGATTACTATTATTATCATTATTCACAAAAATCAACTTAAACACGATAACATAAAATGTCTTACTTGGATTTTGTTGAAATATTGCCCAGCCTCAAAAGGAACCACATTGTATGTAGAGACACCAGTTATTGGCTCATCAGTTGGATTTGTAGCAGTGTAAAAAGCAAGGGCTGTCTCTCCTGGGGCAACCTGCAAGAAATATCATTCAGTGAGATCAAGTAAATAATAGCCAACCTGGGAACTCCTCCAGATTAATGAGAGTCAAACGGCAACAGCGACAGTTGAGTACGTGTCAAAAAGTGAGAAAAAATTTATACATTTCCTGGGAGCAGAGAAAACACTAGAAAACTAATATTTTCAAATAAAGAAAGAAGAAAACAGCTGATATTATTACTTATGACAAAAGGAAGAAGGGATTTAAGAAAAAAAAAATCACCCAAATAATATTAACAAAGACATTGAGCAAACCAGATAGCCTGCATAAAATTGCTTTTTAGTAATAAATAACTGATTTAATATTAAATTATTGGATGCCTACGTCCACAACTCACCTTGACAGCAGTCTGTTGAGGCCTAAAGTTCCAGCGCATTGCACCACTCTTATCAGCATTAAACCTGATAAGCAGCTCTCTTTCAGGTATTCTCTCCATTTGTTCGATCTTCTCTCCTGCCTCTTCTCTCTTTACAGTTCCACCTAATCCTGTTGCCTACACATACAGAAGAAGAATATCTTCATCTATTAATTAATGTTAATTTTTATCTTTTTATAGTGACGATGTAAAATTATTTAAATATTAATTTTGTTTTTATGTTTTCTAGAGGGCCACAAGTTTATCAGTTTTTTCATAACTGTCATGTGTTTATCCTCTTTAAATATTTACCTTACCTTACCTTACCTTACTGGTCAATTCAGGAGAAAATGGGATGACATATTCAGTTAAAACAAATTTTCCAACCGGACTGAAGCATTCCATTTAAGTTTTGACTAAACTTTTGATTACTTCTCAGTGGGACTAGAAGCAAGAATATAATTTTTGGACATGAAACGGTAATTTTCAGTCAGGCCAGACCAACCAATCAATTAAAAACCACCTCCCAGAAAATTTCCACCAGGCCCAAGTTTTTTAAAAGGTGGATAACTCTATCCACTGGATAAACCTCTACCCAGTGGATCACGCAATTATTGGTTTCCTAATAATTATCTGCTGGATAGGGATTTATCCAGTGGATAGCTCTACCCAAGGTTTGATTTTTGCAGATCAATTATTTGCCTCAGCCTTCGACTTCGGCAAATATTATTGATCGGCGCGCCACTGACAAATCACGATATTTTGCTCAACCTCTTCCAATAATTGCTAATTATTACATAACTTACCTGGCAAAAGAGGCGATAAAGAGGAACAGCAAGGTACGAGAGTCCCACCACTGTTATTACCAATGCAATCACATATATAGCTGTTGTACTGTTCCGTGTATTAAAAGCAAGCGAACTCTTATAACCTGCACGTGTCCCTACAAAACGCCGTGTTTCGTAGTGCACCAAACTTGAGTCAAGTGTTATCAGAGGTAGCTTGGCTCCATACAAAGTACTACTCGCTTTATTGAGATGCTTAAAGCATCTGGAAAAAATCGTTCTTTGTTGAAGACCGAACTGCAAAATCCGCGATGAATTGTAAACATATCGTGAACTTGAACTCCATGAAAATCTCGCATTCTGAAGCCGAAGAAAAGAGTTCTGATAGAGAGTCCTTTGAGACCGGGAAGCAACTCGAAGAAGCGACCACAGCATGGGAAGATTCTGGGATAATTCACTCTGCATAAATCAGTAAATTAAAAGCATCGATGACCCTTCTTACGGTGAGTGTTCCTTAATGCGTTCTTGAACAAAAAACCTACAAACATGTCCTAAAATGTGCTGTAACGACGTAACGAAGAAACTCGTCGGCCATCTTGCCTGTTAGGGTAAAGGAGACTGGGACGAGAAAAAGTCCATCCCGTACCCAGAGCCCACGCGACTGGGCCAGGGAATACAGGAGTAACAGGGTGACCGGAGTAACAGGAGCAAACAGGAGCAATTTACAGGAGTAGTCTGAAATGAGTAGTCAGCCGTCTCTCTCCCCGGCGCCCCCCACAAGTTAGGGGAGGAGCCTGGCTTATATCAGTTTCTCTTCTTTAGATTTTCCCTGTATTTATTTACTTCTTTGGGGGGTTAAGTAGGTGGGGATAACCCGAGAGCAAGTGGGGTTTGTGCCAACTAGTTGTCACTGTTTTGGTGTAAACTGCAAACAGGGCCTTCCTGATGGGAATGAGGCGAAAAAAGCAAATCAAGGGAATGGAACCTGCAACAGCAAATGTTAGGCCCAGTCAATCAAGTCTGAGTATCAGGTTTTGGGGGGGAAAGGGGAAGAGGGAAGTGGGGTGTGGGCAGGGGTGTCTCTAAAGGAAGGCCTCTGATACTTAGGCTACAGTCAACCAACTCTTGAACTTTAACTTAATTTTGGTAGTTAAATCCAAAGTGAAGATTTCCTACTTAGGGTGAAATAAAAACAGAAACACAATGCATTTCATAGACACAGTTTTCCCACAAAAAGCTTTAGAATTAACATTGGATGGCACAACTCTTCGAACATCTTACTTGAAGTAAAAATAATGCAAATTCTGCACTTATTTTTAAACACTGAAACTTCACGTTTTTAAGTCTGACCAATCTGCAAACCAAAAACAAGCTTATGAATATCATTTTAAATTTTTAAAATTTAGCTATTTACATCACAATTTAATTCAATTTGCTCCTTTTAATTTCTTTTTTAAACAGTAGTCGATACTTTACTCGATAATAATACATGTAAATATACTGACACAAAAAATAATCAAAACATTATAGCGCCATTTATAGGAGGAATATAAGACGTATCTCATAGAAAGGCAAAAACATCTTGTCTAAAATGGCACAAAGTGATGTCACAGCTTTCATAAGATGTAACTTATAATATGCAACACAATATCCTTGTGTATATAGCACAGTTTGGGTCTTATTAAGATGTGTCTTACTTTTCCCTATATGAATGGCCCTAACAAGAAGACTTTTAAGGTTGCTAGAATGTCATCCCAAGAATAAACACATTCCAACAAAGTTTAATATATGAAACTTTATTTACAAGTGAATATACTATAATGCAATTTTAATAAATACAATATTGGCACTACTATTTTACTTATGGAACTATGCAACTTAGACTGGCTGAGGTGTGGTTTTGTTTTGTACAGGGATAAAATGGGGACATATTTTCTCCTAGCTAGCCATCATAATAATAAAAGCTGTAATGCTGTCTAAAATTCAAATTTAGATTACTTTATAGTATTTTTGAGAGAACTGAAGTTATTATTTATAAAACCAATAGAAAATTTTTTGTTGTGACAACGTTTATTTAGCCTGGCATAAACACCAAGAAGTTACACAAACCTTGACTACTTCTCAAGTTTGCATAACTGTCCCCAGATAATGAGGGCGAGTTATTTCAGCTATGAAATATTCTCTAGAACACTACACATAATTTCATCTTCTCTACTGAACTCTATCTCATCTGCACCATGCTTTTTTGATTCATCAACCTGCAAGGACAAAGACATGATATCAAGTATTTTTTGATTGTTATTTGCAATAATTTCATGACTAGACTCAGTCTGATAGCTATTTTCATACTTAAAGAGTCAATTATGCAATTTAAGATCCAGGGAAAGAAAGATGATGACATCGAGCGACATTTCAACAACCTGTGTGGTAGTCATCGTCAGAGAATATTGACAATGTAGACAATGACACTGGGAGTCCTCCCTACCCTATTAAGCCATTATCCATTAAGCTCTTTGATATTTTGAAATAAATCCCAATCAGTACTGTACCTCCATTTGTTCATATGAACCGTCTTGTTGGCAAGAGGCTAACTGTAAGGAAGAAGCACATGACTGCAGCATTGCAGTTACTCTGTCCAAATGTCTGAAAAAAATGAAGCGTTATCATGATTTCGATTCCTTGTTTAAGAGGTACAAGCATTGTGTCCAGCCCTGAAATCCAGCCCCCAGAATTTATAAAGAATTATAAACATGTCTAAAATGGGACGGCCTAAATTGTTCAAGGTAGATACCACAGCTGTAGGTTATAGAAAGTCAAACACTACATCAGTATAATATTCATCTACCCCCCCCCTCCCCCCCAAAAAAGACTGTGTAAAAGAATATTCATTTTTACCGCTATACCAAAGTATTTTATTCAGACTTAAAAGTAAATGTACATTATAACATCATTGCTTCACTTATTACCCTGGGATTGAAGGTGTCAAAGAACACTCAGCAAAACACGGTACTCTTTAACAAGTGACATAATAAAAAGAAACTCAAAAAGTATTGGTTTTAAATCACTTAAGGTATTAGATCTGCTATAAAGCCGTTCATTTCAAAAATTTATTTCTCAAATTATACTACTACATGAGAAATTTCTGCAATTTGATTGGCTTAGAGCGGTGGTATTTCAGCTTAATTTGAAATACCGTCATGTGAAAATTACAAAACTTTTGCGGGTAGTAGTAAAAACAAATAATAGCACGATTTGTACGTGATATATGACATAAGTAACACTCGTGATATTTCAAAATTGTCTCAAATTTCACTCGCCTAACAGCTCGTGAAATTACTTCTAACAATTTCGAAATATCACTTGTGGTATTTATGCCAAATATCACTACAAATCATGATATTACCTATACTAATAAAATTAATAATTTCCCCAATAAAATTACATAAAGCTATCAAGGGAGACCTGAGCTTTCAGAAAATTGATATCTGAGTGTCAATTTATTTAAAAATGATTATTGTACTTTACAGTGCAGGCCACAACTAAGCGAACCAAAATATATGCGTAATACACGTCGGGAAAGACGAGTCAATTGCGTCAGGCCGGATGCGTCCATGCGTCTGAACTGACGACCAGACGCATCTGCTATGAAATGCATCAGTGCACATTAAGACTCATTAGTATGTATGAGCTAACTCTTCTTTTAGAGGTGTTATGTGTGGGTGAATGATCAATAAGCTTCAAACTGGTGGATCGGTGCGGCACATGCTACAAAAACGCAATACGCCAGGCGCAACTTTCTCTTTCCATTGAAACTCAAATTTTTAAATACCTGATGCACATCCGTACATCTACATGTATTTCAATGACATATTTCAAAAATCGAGGAAACAGTCATGTTTCACACAATCAAAACCAAACTAACATAACAATAATGAGGAAGAAAACATCGCGTCCATTGCATCAGTTTGGCGTCTGCGTTGTTCGCTTAGTTCTGGCCTGCACTGTATTTGGGGAAGCAGAATGTAAAAGAATTTTGCTATAATTTGCCCTAGCTTACTTGAAACTCATAAGGCAATATCACGTGTTGGGTTGTGAAAACTGCAACACTGTCAAAAACTGAAAGTATTGTGTCGGATTTCAGCCCAGTGATTATTAATATTTCGAGGATAGCTCTTTTAGATACAAACTTTGGCCTCTATTTACCTGGCTTCCATGGAACGAAATTGCTTCATTTTTGGAATTTGTGTTCAGGTTAAGAGTACAATGTTAAATAAATGATTCTATAAGCATGGTCAATTTTTTACCATATAGCAGATCTAATACATTAATTTAACTAGGTTTCCAATTAACCAATGATCTCTGGAACCATGTTAACAGAATGGATTTTACAGTAACCAAGAACTGGAAAAACGTACTTGTTTAATTTGTCAGCTGTTTCTAGTCGCTGTTGTTTTTGTCTTTCCATCATGACTCTTAATGTCTCTCTAGCCTGCAATGAGATAGACGCACAACTTAACACTACAAAATAAAACCATCTCTTCTATTACAAACTAAGCAACTTACAGTAGTTAAACCATGGAATCCATGGAATGCTTGGTATAAACTCCTTTGGACTAGATAGATGACTTCAAAATATTCAAAACCTTTGCAGTGACACCACTTGCTTGCAGCCCATGATTCCACCTTTGACCTTATTTCTATGCCTTATTAGAGTATAGATCATGGAAAATGGTCATACTTTTGTTGAACAGATCAATCTGTCTATCATGCAGAGCATCCTTTATTACCACACTTTTGGGTCACATCAGTCCTTGAGTCCCAGGGAGAGAGACCATGGGCTCTTACATTTTTAAGGCAGTTTCAGTAATAATATATAACAAAACTCAAAAGAATACAGTGCACTTCGTTCTATCAACCTCTCTCCTCCTCATATCTGTCTGTTTTACTGGAAAATATACCACTCGTAAAATTCATAAAAACTACATCCGGGTCCCGAGTGGTTTATTTTCCATAATCTCACACGTGAGTTTATCAATGACATAATTTCGGTCATTTCCCTCTATTATTTTATCGATGTCTTTTTGTCTATATAATAAAAAGAACATTACATGGCGGCTCGAAGATATGAATTTTATTTTCTCAAGGCAAAAACAATATTTTACTCACTTGCTGCGCTCGTTCGTAAAATATTGTTTTGCCACTCGAAAATAAAATTCATATCTTCGCGCCACCGTGTAATATCCTCTACATCAAGTTTTAACGATAAAAAATATTTTACATGTACCGTAAAAACTCGTGTATAAGCCGCACCTTTTTGCCGAAATTTTGAGTCAAAAATCGCGGGTGCGGCTTATACACGAGACCATTGCTCTCAAAGGGAGTAAACTGGCTTGTAGGGGTCACAAATTGAACTGAAAACCTTCAGTAAATGAAGATTAAACATATTGAAACGTGTCGTTGATCATTGCTTTCAGTAGAAGTGGTGGCTCCTAAAGGAGCCATTTGTTTGCATCTGCAGGTTCTATACCTCAATCTTGCTCGCCAGTAGTTCTTTTAAGCGTTTCATCTGCGCTTTGTTTGAGCAGTTAAACTCTAACTGGCACGGAATCTCCATTCCTCCGCACAGCTGCTTACAGTGTCGTCTGTGACCGTCACTTCAACGCTGATTTCCCCACTACGTGCAAGAAAACACCACGCTATTCGAGAGAATCCGCGAGGCAAATGGCCGACCGTTTCGTCGTCCTTCACTACTTTCACGGCGTGTTTGTCCATTGGGTTGTTAAACTCTCGTTTAGCAACAAGCTTTTCCCCGATCGATGGTTTCCATACGTCAAATAAACGTCAAATAAACGCGTGGTTACTAAGCAATCGTTTTGTAGCATTCTCCAGCGCTTTATTTTCGTTCCATCGTTCCATTTTCATTTCAACTGTGGGCTTTAGCAATGAAGAGAACTGTTGTCTTTCGCAGGAAATGGGGAAATTGATTAAAGAGAACCTTTTAAAAGGTATTTTCAGAGTTGATTAACTTATTTAAAATGTCACTGGTTTTTTTTTTTCCAAAATCATGCTTGAAAGTTGGGGGTGCGGCTTATACACGAGTGCGGCTTATACACGAGTTTTTACGGTAAGATAAAAAAATAATATTACAAACCTGATGAGGCCTGAGCTCGTTGATCAAGTGATGAATATTGATAAATAATAAATTTAAATCCTCAAGTTTTTCTCCTCTCTGAAAAAAAAATAAACAATACATCCAAATAATACATAGGTATGTATAACTTACTGGGTTTTTCAGCTCTTTTCAATTATGCAGAGTAATACAGATTAACAAGAAAACACGCTATTTTTTTGTTTATCTCAACTGCCTTCACTGAAAAGTTAAAGGTAGGATATTAGAATAATTTTGAATTTTATAAGGTAATAATATTTATTAACTGCATTTCCAATACAATACAATGCAGTGCTCCTAGCTGGGACCGTTTTGGTCACCAGGACCAGAAAACATTTGGCAACTTAACTTTATTAACGATATAATGCAATACAATTACTTTTATTATGCAGGTATCATTTAGTGAGCTAATAAGCTCATTCAAAATACCTTTGCAAGAAATATTACTTATTTATTTATTCATGGTATTTAGAGTTTATTTACGGTATTGGTTGCCCCTTTCTGGCAACCAATACTTTAGGTTTGGTGACAAGTTCATAAAATAAATTATTATATAAGATGACTTTAAAAAAAGTTAAGCATGGATCACTGCAATGGAAAGAAACTGACTTTTTTGGTACCTTGGATGATGAAGGTGACTTAATTAGGATGTCTAGCAGCTCCAAAAAGTTGATAACAATAGAATGATTAAGTTTCTTCAGTTCTTTTATTCTATCTACAAGGAAAAGAAATCATTGGTATAAACAAGGGCTCAGTTGTTCGAAGACCAATTTGCATTAACCCAGGGTTAAATTTTAACACAGGTTTCTCTCTCCTTTGTTTAAAAGTATCTTCTTGGATAATTTTCTCTTTACTTTTAGAGCATCCGATCATCAGAGTTTCGACTACCAGAAGAATTAAACTCAGTTTGAATGAAATGCTTTCAAATCTGAATTCAAATTTGTCCCTAACCCTGGGTTATCTTGACCCTGCTTTGAACAACCCAGCCCAGGGGTTTAAATGAAATGGTGAAGACGACAACAATGATGGTGAGGATGATGATGAGGATGATGATGACATCCACAACAATCAATCAACAACAGCCTAACAGTTGCAAAAAATAACCAAACAAATTCATCAGCAAAAGATTTAATCACATACCAAATCTGCCTTGCTTTGTGTAAAGTCGAGTTATTCCCTGTAGTTCTAAAGGTCGAATAATGGATTCCTCAGTCTAAAAGGCAAGGGAAATTAAAAGAGAAAAGGCCTGCAATAAGCTTGTGTTTATAGGCATTAATTTTTTCATGAAGATGGACTTTCATAATAATTTGAGAAACACAACAAACTAATAACTACATCAGTGACCTTCATGAGAAAAGTAAAAAATTGAATTTTAGCCGTTTGTACAGCTAATAGCATGATTTGTAGTGATATTTGGCCAGGGTTTGCAAATTTTATTGATGAGTGGAGTCATTGTGACTTCTGCTTCACAAATTTTGGAGTCATTTTGGAATATTTGGAGTCAAGTACCACAACGAAAAAAGCCATTTTCAGACTTTCCAGCACGCGGTCCTGGCATGTATACACTATCGTGAGGGATACACGAAGTAGCTGTGGCGGTCCGCTGACCTGGAAAGCTCAAATCCATGATGGCGGTCATCAAGTAAACTTTGATCGTAATTTACCCTCTTGACTTCCTGTTTTGTCGTGCAGTATAATTCTTTAATTTCGATGATTTAATGAAGGTTTACAACGTTTACAATTAACGTGAATTGTATTTGATGTGAAAAAGGTAAGGACAAAACTGTGCTTGTTACCGCAAATTTCTGGAGTCCAAGTGGCTCCCTGTTTCTTAGCGAAAATTTCTGGAGTCGAAGTGACTCCCTCCGTAACCTCCGTGGAGTCATCTGAACAATTTTGGCGTAAAATACGCCAAATTTGGCGTATTTGCGAACCCTGTTTGGCATAAATACCACGAGTGATACTTCAAAATTGTTACACGAAATTTCACGAGCCGTTAGGCGAGTGAAATTTGAGACAATTTTGAAATATCGCGTGCAATTCATGCTATTATTTGTTTATACTACTGCACGCAAAGGTTTTGTAATTTTCACATGTAGGTATTTCAAATTAAGCTAAAATACCACTGCTCTTAACCACTCAAATTGCAGAAATTTTTCATGTTGTAGTATAAAACATCTTATTATCGTTTAATCTCTGGGTTTAATTTCACTTTGCGAACTTAAAAAGGAGATCAACTTAGATGTTACTTATCAAGTCTACGTCAGTTTACCTCGAAAGAAGCCCCAAACATTGAGTAAGTCCCCTTTAGTGTAGGTGGTGGATCAGGAGCTGTTTTATTCTCCACATTTTCGTCAGTATACAGTTTGAAATACTGCGATGGAGGAAGAGGAAAGGGACAAACTCCTTCAGCAGCAGCCATATTGAATCCTCTTCCAATAACGCCGAAATGGCTTGTGGGTAAAGCATTTTTTTCGTACCCAGTCTTTCACGACACTTAGACAAAGACAAAATGTGTTGATATGCAGCTCTGTTAATTTCCGGGCTTTTTCTTTTGGAAAAACATTCTCTTCTTTATTTTTAGAAATTCCAGAACGCTTTTAAGCTCCAGCAATAGTATTAAGAAGTATCAGCAGAGATCTAGAGTTCACCCAGAAGGTCAGTCATAAAATAGCTCATACCCCACTTGCACATTTCCCATAATGTGCCTTATTTGCCCCCCCACCCTTCAAATTTTGCACAAGCATTGTTTTCAATTTCTCTTGGGGTGGCTGTAATACCCAGGAGAAGTGAAAAGCAAAGGTTATGCAAAATTTTGGGGGGCAAATAAAGTGCCTTATGGATGATGTGTAAGTGGCATATTTTATAGATACAAGTGATTGTCGGTCAATGTGGCCATGCATAATCAGCCCCTATAATATACCTGCTAACTCTCACACATAATTTATGCATGAGTCTCATGCCTATGGACTAAAGACATAGATCTTACACATCAAGGACAATTTCTCATGCTTGACTCAGAAATTGTTCTTTAAGACATGATAAATAATGAAAATTCAATCAAAAAAGGCGTTAAAGGATGCATGACTTTGTGTCCCATTTTGTGTTTTAAGGAAATCAAAGCACGCTAAAAATGTCGTCTTTTAAGTGCTCAAAGGGCTTTGGAAAATCTGCAGACATTTTAGGCAATGTTTGGAAGGCCTTGGAAATCTTCAAAAGTCGCCGGGACATTTCCGGAAATCCCAGTCATGGCAAGGTGAAAATGTCATGCATTTGATGCAGAAAAAGTTTGCAAGTATGCTATAACCCATCAGTTGACAGTCAGTCATTACTTTGCCAATTGCTCACTGACATATCACCAACATGCAGTCAACACCAGCCCCTGTCCACCATCAGTTCAGAGGCTAAAAGTTTCAGCATAACAATTATTAGTTTTGTTGGGCATAAAAGAGAAATTTTCTCACTGAAAACTATGGCATTCTGTTGCAGACAAAACATGTTCTAGAAAAAAAATGTTGTGGACGAGTTGAGCAAGACCAGAAAGCCTGGGCCTGAAAGGTGGATAGTCGCCTTTGTCTTTCCCACTTTGGACAGTAATTATTTTTTTTTGGACTCAGATACAAGGTACAAGATAAAAGGTTTGTCTCTTCACTCAATACACCACTGATAAGTTACCGATACTTGACCGATGGTTCACCGATGCATTGCTGACACACTATCGATACTATCACGACCGACTGTTGACCAACGGTTGACCAATGATCTGTCGATATGTCTGTAAATATTCGACCAATACAAGACCAACACTCGACCGATACGCGACGTATCCTCAACAAGACTCAATAGACATATTGATCAATATGTCATCCAAAACTCAACCGATATGTTGACGGATACATTGGTCAACACCGGCTATAAGACACAAGACCCATATTAAGGTGGCTGAACACAGTTTTGGCAGTTTTTGATTATATGTCATTTGCCAAATCATGGCAAGAGAAAGGTTGCTGCTCACAAGCTGAAACTTGGCAAGTGAAAAATATACTGATTAAAGATTTTGATTGACAGGTAAAAATTGACGTTTTTGTAGTTTCCATGGCAACATGAAGGATTGAATACAACCTTAAATTTTCACTTTTTCTCAGTTTACATAAAACTTGCTCATTAGATTTTCCTATTAACTTGCACACAGCTTACTATAATTAATCATCACCATTCGAAACTTATTTGACCAAATTTTAACAGACGGGTTTTTAGATAATCAATAATTTAATTGTACTGTAATTATTAAATGTGTCAAAAAATTGGTCTGTTCAACTTCCATTTTAAAGTTCTCATTACTTAAAATATAATGAAAGGAAAGATTCTGCCAAATATCACAAAATTCTAATAAGTAGATTTTGAGAAATCGTCTTCTGTGTACCATTGCTTTTTCGCCGCCATGTTTGTTTGTCTAATTTAAAACACGCGCCGTCACGCAAGTTACCGCTGACCATCCGCAAAACTGTGTTCAGCCACCTTAAGTGTAAGACCTAGTATTAAGTTATCTTATGTTGACACTAATAATTCTTTGTTATAGCCATGGCATCAAATGCTGTTAATGGGTGTCCATCCATCAGAGTAATTATACAGCAGTGTCTGTCAGCTAAATTACAAGTCCAGCCACCAACAGAAGACAGTGATGCTCAGTGGGTTGAGGTGCGAAATGAAATAAACAGTGGGGGCCCAATCATCCAGACCCTAAGAGAAGAGGGGGGCTTGTCCTAAGCCCCATGGGCTCAGTTGGGCCTAAAAATAGGGTGGGATCCCCATGCTCCCCAACAGCCCCCCCCCCCCTTTCAGTAGATGTGCCACAGACAAAGAGAAACCTGTCCATGGGATTTATGCTGCTCAACCCCTTGCCTACCAAGGATGAAAATATACGGTACCTCCTGTGTGAGGTCACTCAGTGACCCAGATCATATATATAAGTCCTCAGACAAATGAAATCGCCAAAAGTGAGGTCGTTCGAGTTGCCTTGAATAAACGAACACCAGTCGTTGAGAAAGGTCACCGGTTGCTAGGTGTATTTGGCTCTGGTAGGCAAGGGGTTAAGCAGGCTGCAAACCCTGACCAGCATTTCCTGACAAATTCTACACTTTTCCCTCCATGTCATATTAATTTACTGAATAATTGGAGGAAAACACAATACTTTTAAGGAGACCCTGTTAGAGTAAAATTCTCACAAGGAACATGGCCTTGAAACAGCAAAGATGAGTTGAAACTGTGACGGGGACAAAGAAAAGCACAAATACTATAGTAAAATACTGACTGCGACTTGGCTTCCTCCTCAATACACAAAACAGCAGGTTTTGAAATTAAGGGCCTCTTTAAGCAATGATCTGTGATCATGAACAGGTGGAAGGTACAACCAGAAACTCTTCATAAGGGCTTTGTTTCAGAATGCTTTTGTGTGTGTTTACAAATATGTATTTTTCCTTTGCAGTCCAATGTAGATGAATCCTAGATGTTAATACATGGCAGGCATGCCCTGTAGGCTAATAACACCCTCCAGTTAGCAAATGACCTTCCAGATTTTTGCATACCATACATGTACATTATCAGCATACTGAATACTGGTAAATTATATCACTTATAGTGAACTTGCTTTCAGATTAGTAGAGGCATCATTGTCTACCTTTGTTTCCTCAAAGGCTCAAATCTGGACTTTATACCAAAAGTTGGTGAGTTGTAATGGCTTGTCCAGCTCTCCTGTGCATAAAGTCTATTTTTTGCAGGCTGTCAGCATGGCATTATTGGTATTGACATAAAGAATGGCTATATCTTCTTGCCATGCATTGAAAATTGTTCTTTCAGCTACCATAAATAATAAGCATTTTAAAAAATACTGTATGCTACCAAAGCTCTAATAAGAGACACTATCATAAGTAGACAGCTCTACTACATTATACTATTAATAGCTACCTTACGTGTAAGTTGACAGAGCCTTGTTTGAACTCTCTACTTAAAAAAAAAAAAACTATTCTGGTAAGCAGCCATCTCCAGTTGCCAACAGTTTTCCTTTTTCACAAAGGTATCAGCTTAAGAACGCTTTGACTGTATTTCTAACCGATTTTTTTTTTATCAAGCTAGTTTCATTTATCATTGTCTTATACAGAAGCAATAACAATGCACATTTCAGAATGTTTCTTTTGGCATGGTATATTTATGTATAATGTGGACATGTACTTTTTTAAACATATTGACTCGTTATTTTATTTAATTGAGTTGATTTATTAATGTATTAAAAAGGATTATTTTGTATTTCCTTTTTTCAGTAAAATCTATTTTAAATGTAAAATTAAGTGAGCCCACAGGCAAACCATCCAATGTGTCAGTTTTAGATCTTCCTGGGGATGTTCTTATAGTTCCACAGGTAAACAATATTGTATCTACATAAAAGCATTTCATTCCTGTTAAATCACTTTCCATTCAAACGTCTGTCATGCAAACTATATAGATATCTTCACCGTGGCAGTATTAGCTCAGTCGCTAGAGCACCTGACTGCAGAGCTGGAAGCCTGCATAGCATGACGGTTTTGGTTGGGCGCGCTAAGTAATAAAGGTGGGCGAGTGCAGAGAAGCCGCTCGTTCTCTCACGCTTTACGCGCGAATTTCGCGGCCCGCGGCTTCGCCGCTCGTGCGCTCGGCTCGACAAAACCGCCATGCTACGCAGGCTACAGAGCTGGAGGTCGCGGGTTAGATTCGCCGGGCCGGACCAATACTTAACTTAAAAATAGCGGAGAAATGCGGGTACTGCCTTTGCCCTGCAAGCGGCTAGACCTTTTTGCGGCTCGGATGACCATGTAAAATGGCGGTCCAGTCTCCAGAAGGAGACGGATATAAAATAGCGTCCTCGATTAGAACGTTCATGTTAAAAAGAGTGGGAAAATTTCATCACCCTAAATAGCAGTCCATGATTTTCTGAAGCTTCTGGGAATGTCACGAACCATTAAATTTTCTCAGTAACCAAAGTTTCTTGTTTTTCCATGTAAATGGAATAAGTTTAAGTACCCCAGGCTTTCAGTCCTCTTGTTTAACCTGATAGGTCTCCCAAGAATTAACGTGCGGCATTTTTACTGAAACTTGAATTTTTTTCTTTATTGCTTTTACAGGCCACACTGGGTGGAAAGATGAAAGGAAAAAGTATTCAGTATCATTCAAATATTTCAAAAGAAGAAGGAAGGCTATTTTATGAAAAGTTCGTTTTTCTTTGCGAGGTATAACTATTAGATGGATGAGCCATATCACATCAAGTAATTTTTATAACTTCGTCTGTTTTTGGACCATAAATATAAATGCTACCAGAAACTCATAAGGGGATGAATCAACCCCTTATGAGTTTCTGATGCTACTCAATTCATTAACTAATATCTTCGAGTCGTCTACTCAGTGTCTGGAAGCATATTTTCGGGATCCGATATTTAACAATTGAAAACAGTGCGGGATTCGGGAAAACACAAAAATTCCTGACGGATACGGGATTTGATCGCTACTTGGGAAGAATGGCCGAAATCTTGGCACGGGGTGTGGTATTAGGAAAGAAAACGGTCTTCAGGTTAGAGATTACAGAGTCATTACAGAAATTTAGGATGCGGTTTTGTCGTGAAAAAGGAGCAAGAATGCGTGTTCAAGAACCCCCCTTCCAGGCCCTGTCTACTCCCTCAGAGACGACGTCTCTGAGGGAGTAAGCGACTTGGAGATATGTCTGAAATTCAGGCTAATATTTGACCAATTAGCCATTGAGGGATCTTGTTTAAGAGATTTATAACTTACAGAACTTGGTAAGATCTAAAGATCCAACACTTCAACATCCGGTATGCCGAAAATGCTGGAAGCAAGGATTGGGCGGTGTGATTATCGAAAACGATGCATAGTGTACCATGACCAAACGCTTTAACACTGTACGTTTTTCTTTGCCCAGGAGACAATTCAGTCTAGCTCACCAAGCTCATCCGTCAAACATGGTAAGTTCGTAAATTGGACTCTGCTTTCTATTGAGTAATTCCTTTATTAAGTTACATTTTCCTGTACGCTTGCTCTTGACTATCACTCGGTACATGCTGACAGAATGATTTCGGTCTTACAAACATGTCTCTCCTTATGAATACGTTCATAACAAGAAAGCCGCCCCTTTGAATTCTTACCCTGCCTTCCTCTTTAATCCTGACGGTTTTTGTAAAGGGAATGCTTTACTCTGTTGACTGTCGTCTATCTGCATACAAACGACAGTCTATTTGCATATGGGTGAAACCTCCAATATGAACCTCCCGTAAGCGACCACCCAAAATGCAAAGACTGAGTGGTCGCTTACGGGAGGTGGTCGTTTACAAGGATGGAACCACAGGGGGTCTCTTTCGAGAAGAGGTCCAGGCACATCTTTATGGAAGATAATTTATTGCATGCAACGTCTAAGTTAGCACATGTATAGTTCCATGTTGTTCTAAGTAACATAGTGCACACAGCGAAAATAGAGGTCAGGGAACGTGTCAAGTGGTCGCTTACAAGAGGTTAAAAACAATGGGAAAATCGATCTTATGGAAGATAATTTATTGCATGCAACGTCTAACTTAGCACATGTATAGTTCCATGTTGTTCTAAGTAACATAGTGCACACAGCGAAAATAGAGGTCAGGGAACGTGTCAAGTGGTCGCTTACAAGAGGTTAAAAACAATGGGAAAATCGATCGTTAACCGTCAGGCCAAAAAAGTGGTCGCGGTCGCTTACAGGAGGTGGTCGTTTACTAGAGGCTCCAAATGTAACGCTTTGATACCCTGCGAACAGAGTCTCCTTCGAGACCGACTTATCTAGGAAAGATCGAAGCGACTCTGCTAGCAGGGTAACGCTTTGACTTAGAAGACTTTGGTGTTTTGGATTGGCGGTCGCTTATTGGAGGTGGTCGCTTACGAAAGGTGGTCGCACATGGAAGTTCGACTGTACGTCTCCTTCCGTGCTGGGCGTTGGCTATGCGTAGAGAACACCCTTATATAACCGCCCATTTCCTTAGCTCCCGCCCCATAAAGAAAAGCAAAGCCGATCCTAACTTTTTTAATTGCACTTCAACTGTGTGTAAAAACCTGTTAAGGACCGTACCGATATTTTTCAATCGCCTTAAAAGTGGTTTTATCCTTGTCCGATCGCTATAAAATTTTTACCAAAGACAAAATGTAGTTTTAAGTAAATATATTTCGAACTGTATCGGAACACTTAAAGGCTTTAACGAGTTTTATAATTTATAGAAACCCGAAGTATATCCTATGATGGTGACCTCAATTGAAGTTTATCGGATTCAAAGTTTCGATTTGATTCAAATTCTTATGGATTCATTTTAGTTCATTGGACTTTGTCGTGATTTGGGTCAAGATTTTACCGCCAAGTACGTGTCTAAAGTACTTCTAATTAATGGTTTTCATTTTAGGTACTTATGGAAACAGACAAGTTCTGAGCGTTGATACCAACGGACCATTTACACACGTCTTCGACTTCTAACGAAATCGTGCTCTATTTATTTCGGAGACATTTTGAGTCTGTTTAAATCAATAAAGTGTTTTTTTGTTTTGTTTTGTTTTGTTTTGTTTTTTTAAAGTCGTTGTATGTTTGCCCTTCAAAACAAAGTCTCGCACTCAATTTACAAAAGGAACTTATTTTATTAAAACACTACGCCAAATACAAGGTCTCCGGAGGGGCTAGACAGAGGGGGTTTTTAAGATTGGAACAATTCTTCCTTTCATCTTTTCCAATTCATGGAGAGCCACCTTTCCGAATTTAACAAGCTGTAGCGACAATGCAATAATCAAAAGTTTGGTGCATTACTGTTAAGAAAGGATAATAGTTTAGATTCATTTTAGACATTTTAAAACGCCTAAACTAAAATTTCCCCGGACCGCTAAGTAGCTCACCCTTACGTTCTCGAAATACCCTCTCCCCTCCCCTCTCAACTTTGCTTTGCGTCCCGAATTCCTTTGTGCTTGAGTGGATTTGTTTATCAATTTGCTGGCCTGTGACCTAGCTCTCTCGGCTTTATGCTTAGCTTGGGCTTGATTGCCGAGAGACCTTGCACGAAGGCTAGTAAATTGGCTCAATAAACTGTTACCGTCCCTAAAGTGAACTTAAGCGTTAAAGACATAAATTGAACAACCGCCTTTGTGCTGGCCTGGCAGTCGCACATTAGGAGGATTCGATGCCGCGTGAGCCTTAAAGGGGAAAATGCCGGAACTTTTGTAGACTTTGGTCGTTGTTTTACAATCTGTTAAACGACCTTAATTGGTGTAGCAATTCATACTAGATCAGTATGTTTTGTTTACAACGTGGGGTTGCTCTCCTCTTACTCGCTCCGCTTCGCTCCCGATTTTAGCGCTTCGCTGACATTTTCTTTATTTTCGGTCGCGCGCAGTCCTTTCTCGACAAGTGGACAAGTCTTGAAGGGAGAGAGTAACTCACTATTTGTATTCAAAGATAAGATCACAAGATATCAGCGTAAAATAGCATTTAGTAGTAAGTTAAAGGCAAGTACCTTAAGAATTCAAATAGTGGGGAAAAATCACACAGTCTAAGTTCCCTTTTTTGTCTAATCCAAGTAGCTTTATTTTCTTTTTAAATTTTGCTTACATTACAAACGGTTTAGAAGTCAAATCCCCAGCTAGCCTGTTTAAGTTGTGTCAGTGACTTAAAGGCGACAGTGGGAGAAATAGGCTTTCACCTTACACCCGCGATAAAAGTATACTACAACAGCTTTAATTACTTAGCCACTTGGGTCGTCGCTGCTAAAGGGCAGCAGCCAATTAGCAAGCCCATCTGCAGACGTTTCTGCAGCTCCTAGAGCAACCACTCCAGCTACAACTGTACGAGCATACTCTATTACAAACTTTGCGGCAAACTCCTCTTCGCTTTCTGGATCCTGCAAAGTAATTCAAATAAACGCTGGGTAGGAGTATTTGTTGTGATGAACTCTTACGGGCGTGTGAACCCTACACTCTTCGTGCGAACGCGACGCTAACGCTTTGCTCCTCAACTGAAACCGATTTTGAGAAAAATATAACGACTGTTAGTCTTTTTGCAATTTTTATTACCTTTCCTTATTTTATTAAAAGTACTAGAATGGACTTCTTTATGTGGACGCATCATGCTGCCGTCAAATGATGCACAGAGCCGTCTACAGAGAAAAATCTCATTCCAGCCTGAATTATTGCATGGGGTGTAATGCTGGTATGACTGAATGATTGAGCAAATTATACTAATAACTTTTTTTTTTCCAGTTAATCATTTCCTACTTGCGTTACGTTTCTTTTTACCCCTGTAAAAATGTGACCCCTTCAATTCCAATTTGCCATGGCCAAGTGGTTTTTACAACCAAACAGTAATTAACACATTTCCAGTCTGTGCAGTTCATTTTTTTCCTCACCTTCCGCTGGCATTTCAGCGACATTGGCTTCTGCTTCGTCCCCCAGTTCCTTTGTATCATTCTGACTCAGTCTTCCCTTGGTAACACGGTAAATTGGCAGATTTGCACATAGATCCGCCATCTCGGTGCTCAGAATTGATCGGTCTTGTAGTTTGCCGACAACCTTGAAATTTTCGACGGTCTGAGGCGTTATTTTTACGTCGGCTTTACTCAGCTAAACAAAAGGGTTAAAAAGCTTGAAGTTAGCGTAATTAGGGACTGTGCAATAACTATCAGGAGGGGGGCTCAAAAATGAGCCTTACATAGAGTAATATTACGTAGCACCAAAGCCAACAAAGGCAAAATAGCTGTACTCCCCCTTCTGGTCACTTGAAAATTATGACCACCCCTACCCTCCCTTGAGTTACATTTACATTTATTCACTCCTTTGGTAATGTAAAGTTTTTCGACAACTGCGTCTGGAACAGTACCTCAAAACTACGTTCGACAAAAGTTGAATTGTGCATCCGTCTTCTCAATCGAGAAGGCAGGAAGCGTATTCGCACAGTCTTCACGTGTGCTGAGGTTTCCATGTCCTGAAGGTCACCTGACACTCCCTTTGGGCTTAAAATGTCGACGTAATGGTATGTAATTCCTATAGAAGGGACACTAACTCCATTAGTCACTTCTCTCTTAGAAAGGCACTGGACACCTCTTCTTTTGATCCTGAATACACCCTTGTTCTGTTAAGCAGTAATAATCTGAACGATCATGTGACCAGAATTTTTCATGACGGCTTTGGGTACTACAGTAGAACCCCGATAACTCGGATTCCCCACTAACTCGAACTAACTTTTCTTTCCCTTGATCAAAATTTCACTGAAATTTACCTCGATAACTTGAATTCTCGCTAACTCGAACTGTTTTTCGTTTCCCTTCACAGTTCGAGTTACCGGGGTTTTCTACTGTAATTATGACTAGTTCTTTATATTTTGATCACATAAAAATCATGTTTTGTTTTTTGTTCATGTTGTTGTTGAGATAGCTTGTCCACTTGAAAATTTGATACCACCCCCTTCTTGTAAGAGAAGCTTACATGTTCAGCTCCTCCTCCTTTAGGCTATGATTTTACAAGGTCCCCCCCTGCAACTGTTTTAACAGGCCCCTTCTGTCTTGAAGTTTAGCTAGGTTGACCTGGTGCAGCTAGCCTTAAAAGGGAAAAACTTAGAACTCCTGTCGTTATTTTGAGACGTTTTTGATCGAGTATCTAAACTATTACTGGGAAAATGCGTGATTACTTTAGTTTGCATCATCATGATTTGTGATTGGCGGAAACATTTCCCGCTAATTTTTCAAACCAATCAGTACGGGCTTGGCCTGCGCACAGACGTCTGAAGCAAAGGGGATAAGAGACGTCTACACGAAGTCTTTACCTGCATTGCCCGTGCGCGTCACTCGTTTGGCACTGGCTACGTTTATTTACTTTGAGTTGTGTTTGGTTTGTCGGATTTTCGGTGTTTTGGCGGTACAAGATTACCACTTCTCTGAAATACCAAATCATTGTAAAAAAAAGATGTATCATACCAGACGTTTAGTGGGTATTGTGAACAAAAGTGCTTCAAAACTAATAAAAGCCTCACTTTTTGTTTGGCTTATTCCTCACTATCTCGTCCTCGGGTACATAAATTTGGGCTGTGACTAGAATGGATACCCCCAAATCAGGCTGCAATCGTCACTTAAAATGGATGAAAAGTCTTAAAAGTAGTAAAATGAAAAAAGTAGTAAATAAAAGAAGGAAGAAAACGGAGTATGTCAGGCTTGAACCCAGATAATTTGAGTTATTATCCACATCCATATCGACTACACCATCAAGGGCAAAATGCCGATATTGGTTATTTTAAAGGTACTTTACCCAGCATTGCTAATTATCTGAAAGCTAACGGGGTTTAATCAATGTACTTCGATGCTAAACCCTATACTGTTTTCCTTACACAACTGGTTCTCGGAGTTTCACATTTTTCTCATTAAATGTGCCCAATAAATGGTTCTCTACCAGGGTAGAAGTGCGTTTTGTAATAATCACGAGGTTTCCAACTACCCATAAAATTGTCTGCGGCTAAGAAATACAGTCAACTCCCTCTAAGACGGACACCTTTGGGACCGGCAATAAGTGTCCGTCTTAGAGACATGTCCGTCTTATAGAGAGTCAAATAAAGGGAGTAAAGAAAGGCAGGGACCAACTCCAGGTGTCCGTTTTAGGGAGGTGTCCGTCTTATGGAGGTGTCCGTTAAGAGAGAGTCGACTGTATGAGGCGATGCGCGCGCCGCGAAAGGAGTAGAAGCACGCGAGGAGATTCATGACTACAGAAAATACTTGCCGCATTTAGAAGTCTTATTAATTCCTTTGGCCGGGGAGCATTTCCAGTCGATTGACTCAAAAAGCAGGATTTCGCCTCTGGCAAGCGGGTCATCACCAAATTCTGCCAAAAAAATGAGAAGGATACGAGACGCAAATATTTTTAACAGGTTTTCTAAACAAGTCGGAAAATTGCCCTGTTTTAACGATATAGACTGATGGGCATAATTTTCCTAAGCCGCACATAAAAAACTTTGGAGGCAATCGCCTAATTAGCAAAGTGACTGTCTTGGGACAAAATTCTCTAATCTAATTGGCTATCAGCCGCCCTAATTTCAGCGTTTTGAAGAAGGACATTACGCGCCATCGCGCGCGCGCAAACGCGGTAGCTGGGATAAGAAAACGATGGATTTTAAGAGAAAATGCGGACTGCCAGCAGTCTATGAATTCAGTTTGGCACCATTGAAGACTGATAGCAGTGTTCATGTACCCACCCTTTGGAAATCGTAGATGGTATCCCCCGCGTCTTTACCAGTTGATGCTTCTCGAACCTGAGAAGTTTCAAGTCTTCTCCCAGCGTCAACTTGAATCCGTTCGTTATAATTTTTCCCATCTCTGCTGACCACCTTTAGAGTGTAACTCTGAAAGATCAGAAAATTCAAATGTTAGATGCTTGTTAGTGCTTATTGCATGATATCATTTTGGCTCTTTCTACATTATTAGCGACCTCTATAGGTAATAGATTGGACTATGAAATATCTCTTTCGTCTCTGTTTGTCTTTGACAGCAACATGAAAGAGCGAGAGGTCTGGAAGACTTCGTTAAACAAAACAAATTACTCACAGCTCTCTGTGCTGCATGGGAGACTAGAACCATCGGAGCGACCACCAAAAGAAGCAGCGACAAATGACACATTGTGAATGTATTCTGTTCTCGGTCCTCTTTCCAGTGTAAGCTTTTTTAGAGCTCAAGGGAATGATGCTTCTGAGTGAGAGAGTAGCCTTATTTAAGCTAGTCTGACCCATTGTTATGAGAAACATGAAAATACTCGGCGAATAAATATTATTTATAGCTTGATAGATATCTCGCTTTGTCGACCTCGTTTCAGCTTGACAAGATATTTTTGGCGGAAAAATATTTCTTGTAAGTCAATTTTTCATGCAATAATTGCGGAAGCTGTTTCATAATTTTTTTGCACTGCTTAGCAAAAAGGAGCATCTTTTTCATTGTTAAGTAAGTTAAGGACTTTCAGCAAGTCGGTTGTAATATACTTATATTTATTTAACAAAGCGTTTATCAGAGATAGAGAACAAAATGAAAGGGCAAATACAACTGTCAAAAATACTTTATAATCGCAGGATAGTGTTTCCTTAAAAGCCGCCTCGAGCAACTAGAACCTCTACTCCGGGCGTACTTAACTAAAGCAATTTAAAAATGAATTTGGTAAAATAAAAATTGGATCAAAATTTATTTCTCGTATTGAAATCAGCTTTACCTTTTTATCATATCATATTATTGCAAGATTTTACTCAGTGAAAATCACATACCACTTATGCTTATACTATTTAAAATAGGATCCGTTACTTCTATTTCTTTTAGGGTTTCCTCGCATATACAGTTGTTTGTCAGAGTTGTATAAAAGTAAAACGCGATTCTCTCCTAAAAGTCTGTCACACACAAGAAAGAAAACAGCGAAGATCAAACTTTCTATATATTCATATCGGAATACTGATTTTACTTCCTTGTTCACACACCGGTTTTTTTTTTTTTTTTTTATTTTTTATGGAGAGAGGTAAAACAACGCTATGGCTGTAGCATGGAGGGTTAAAATTCACATAACCGTCATTAGTTCCGAAATGAATAAGCATTCTGCAGTTTCATTTTATTTTTTAAGTTCCTTTCTTCATTCTTGTTTTCTCTTAATTAATAGCAGTTCTCGACTCGACTCGTTACGATCGCGATTTTATGTATTACCATAATTAACCGACAATTTTAAACCTCCTTTTTTTTTCCTCTTATAACTTTTCTATTTCTTTCATGATATCGGCCGTCATTATTGTGGATAGTATTACAGCTTTCTAGCGAAACTATTCCGTACTTTTAAGAGAACTTCTTACAAGGTTTACACCTAACCTGTTTACATAGCCCTTGCGAAGAATGGTACGTAATTCATAGCACGGGGTAAAATTACGTAAAGTAAAATTCAGGTAAGTAGAAGCTTCATCAGGCCTTTCCCGGAAAACGGATAAGAAAAATCATATTTTTAAATCTTTGTATTCTGCTGTATAACTGAAATTTAGTGAAGTTTGTCATTTTATGATGAGATTGCTAGTCCGACCTTCAATTTACTGCGGGAAACTGGTGTCACTCATCTTGAAGATGCACTGCTTGACTTCAGGCTACGAAGCTAATTTTCAGAAACGACTACATCAATGTTTGCTGTGGAGTCAGTACAGGAAACAGCTGAAATGTCGTCTAAGTACGCAGCTAATCTGGCCCTGACAAAGGAGGGTCTCCGGCGATGATGGTCCACCAGTTCATTCAGTTATAACACTTGTACTAAATGTCTAGCCACCTCAGTGACAAATGATCACAAATAATTTCAGAGACTTTAACACCCCGAAAAACTGAATTCATTGTTCGCTGAGCAATAATCAATATATAGGAAAGAAATTGATTCGTCTGAGATTTTCAACGTTTTTTCTATTAATTTACCTTCGTTTTAGGAAAGTTGGCCTCTTTCACATTGCACTCTTATATTTGGCTATTATCGTCTTGAAAGAGCCTCTAAAATTTGAGTTTCAAAAATAGTTGCGGAAAAAAGCATCAGGAATGTCTCGTCAGTTAGCCTTTAAGTAGCATCTAAGACTGAATTTCGCTGGGGAAAAGTACATTTTTATAAGTGAGGGTGATCAAAACACAATTTTCTTTAAACTAAATACAATTGAACATTCGCTAGGCACATAACGAGAAGTAACTCATGTGAGCTCAGTTTTCCATAAAGCGCATTAAGAACGAACAAAGGTATGCTTACTCTCGGTCCAGTCATGAGGGAAGCAGTCTCCGTAGAAAAGCTGATGCAAGATAGTCTTGAGCATCATGTTCATTGTCAGTGTTGTCGCGTCTGTAGTCCAAAATATGAAGGTTTTTCAGATATTTCAATTATTGAAGAGATTAGACCTCTCGATATCTCACGGAAACTGCTTTTTCTTCTACCCTAGCTATTTTGTAATGCTGGCGTTCAGATAGTATTTCAGATTATTGGCTACGAGATTTGCGTAATTTATTGGCATCGTCCATAACGTACCTTTTAAGAGCTATCAAGATCGAAGTGCACCTGTGAATATGAGTGGTATTTTCTCAGTGCATCGAGTGGGGAACGTGAAAACAAGTCTCCACTTCTTAATAGCGAGAAGGTTTTTTTTGGTAGAAAAAGTTTCCATAGCTATAACTCAGTTCAGATGGATATCACCACCGAGAAAATAAATTTGCATGAGGAAGCAAAGGGGTTGAAAAAGTATATTCGTGCATATTAAATACCCCTATCCTCATTTAACAGCAGGAGAAAATTTAAAAGCATTAAAACAAGCGCCACGTACGTTTTTTTTGCTGAAATTTTACAAGTATAAAAGAATAATGGTGACCTAAACAGGCTAATCGGAAACTTATAATTAATGGTGCGATACTGCGAACTTTTAGGGGACAAAATTAAACGCACTTACACTTCCTTAAACTGTATTAGCTGAATAAAGTAAATACTGATCACTTTGTAAGAAGGACAGTCACTTCCTTGATATTGCTGGGCATAAATTTTACATTTTGACGCCCATGAATTTGTGGCATCAGGAATCCCTTTCATTGGAGCCCTAGCCAAACAAAACTTCTTAATTTTCAAAATCAGAAAAAAAAAAATTAATTCCTATCTATCCAAATCCTTTGTAAGGCACACATAAGGAATTTCAAACTTTTGATCAGCCCCCCTAGGTTTACCAAGTCCCCCGGTTCTGCAGGGGGACTCCCTGTTTTAAGGAGTTTGGAGTTAAGAAGTTAGTCTCAGGGAAACTGACAACGTCAATGTTTGAATTAAAAAAAAAAACACATACCGAAATTTGCCGACACTCACAAAATTCTTTTCTTTGTGTAGTATGAATTCTAAATTCATTTTTGTAGCTCTGTTTATTGCTTGAAAATGACAGATCAATGAGAAAAGCAGTAACTCTCTTCAGCCACGTCGTTCAGAGAGTCGCACCTCTTTTTCAAGTATTCATGATAAGTGTCGGCCAAATATGGTCATAGTTGATCACCTGACAAGGTTGGCATGATTCTCCCTCTTGACTTCCTGACCGATTGGATATCCGGCGAACTTATTCCTAGGGGATAAATAATTCATTTTCCTCTATTTATTGAAACATTTTGTTCGGAAACTTCTCTTCCTTCTGATTGTGTAAAATCTCCAGCTTCTTTTCCTTTTTTTGCAGGTTTTTGAATTACATCCTTGAGGTTTTCCTTATTTTCTGGTTAAAAGGCTATGGACTATTTTTGAATCCTCGATAAAACACTCTGTTTGCCCACAAAATTTTGCAAAAATGCTCTTGAGAATATGTAATCATCCCAAGAAAATTTGACAACAGTTTATGCAAAAACAGGGTTGTGGAAGGGGTGGTGGGGGGGGGGGGGGGGGGGGTGGGAGGCTGGCAGGCAGAAAAAGTGTCTTATGAGTGAATCTAAACGAAAGAATTGTGACCGATGCAAAATCAGAAAATTTTTCGGCTCCTGATCGCTGTCATATAAACCAAATACTTTTGCGTAGTGCACTCACATGCGACTTCTTCATTATTTACCCCACCACATGACAGTGGTAAGCTTTGATAGATATTGCTCGCAAACGTAGGATATGCTCCTACTATGAGTGCTCGTATATTTGTAAAATTATGCCAATAATTATGCTAATTTTTTTAAATTATGCTGTAGCTCTTTCTCTGCCCACGCCAGTGTAAAAATTAAAATTCAGTCGAAAAAAAGACTCGGCTTTGTTGTTATGTTTGCTCTCTTAAAAATCGGGTGGTCATGCGATTTACCGCTAAAATGCGCGGGTGCTTGAATGTAAAATTCCACCCACGCTTAAGGGACGGATCCGACCTACGGTCACGTGACCACCAAATTTTCTCGATAAATTCAATTTCTAGCAAAGGTAATGTAGGCTTCTCGCGCGAGAGAGAGCTCCGCTATTGACCATATAAAGGTGTTTAACAATGTAGGCAAGAGGAGAGATGGCAAGCAAGGGCAAGTTCCCGAAAAGAAAGGACTGAAAATCGTTTTATTTCTCAAACCCTTTTATTTATTAGTTGCCTTTGAGTTTCATTATTACTCTTTGAATAACCGTTTCGAGTCCACAAATATATCCAGTTCAGCCACTCAATTTTTCTTGTTCCCCTTGCTTAGAGCGATACCTTCGGCGGTACAGTTTTATTTGTTGCATCTTTTGCCTAGTAAGAAACAAAACAAAATTGATTTGAATTTCAACATTGTTGTATTGGTCTTTTTCTCTGTTTTGGCAAACAAAAGTACAAAAGCTTAAAGTAAAGGTTGACTGTTTCTTCTCCAAGGATTACTCGTTTTTTTTTTCAAGTCTCTGCATACTACCTTGCTCTTCATGGACGCTCCCGCCGCCCTGAGTTTATACGAGCGCTCTTATTTAAAGGTTCCTGAATAAAAAAAAATAGTTCATTCTGTTTCTTAAATGATTGAAAACTTCATAGATCTAGCTGACGTTCCATCTTGAGGGCCCACAACTACATGCGTACAAGTACGAGTGGTATTTGCTTCACCCCTGGTGTAGCGGCGGTCCTTGTTGTTCAATTATGGTTTTATTTCTCTGTCACCGAGTAAAAACACAAATCATACTTCTGGTATGCATGTAAAGCTTAAAAAAGAAATTTTGTTCAAATTGTAGTAATTCAGTCGAGAAGCCGGTACATATATATTTATATATTATATATTTTTGCCATTTTCTCCAGCTCGAACAAAACAGCTGATCCCGCGTCTTTCACCATCCCTTTTCCTTAAGGTTAACCATAAAAGAGGCTCAGTTTTAAGGGGTATCGGCAAACATCTTTCAAATGTGGTCAACCGGGAAGCTGGTTATGAAGGATTAGCATATAAGCCATATAGGTATGGGCCACCCCGATGGGGAGGGGTTTTCGGCCTTTTGGTCTGAAAACGGGTATAAATTTGCCCATTTTGGTCTGGAATCGGGTATGGTTTTCGAGGGAACTACGGAAGCGTATGAAAGTATTTAACGTTTCAATTCCAAGTGAACAAGAACGAAATAGAAATATGCGAATTCGAAATGCATTTGAAGAATTTTTTTATTTGCGCTCTAATCTAAGTAATAATGACATAATTTCTGCCTAATGCCAGGTCTAAAATGGTTTTTAGAGGTCTGAAAACGAGTATGAAAAATGACATTTTTTGGTCTGAAATAGGGTCATGATTTGGAGAACCGGGCGGTACAGCTCCACCAAGAATTCCCAGAAGCACCCCCGGGCTTAAGCCAGTCAAAAAACTGATCTGAAAATTAATAAGTATAGTGTAAAGACAGGTCCACTGGCGGATAATTACTCACATTGGGTCGCAGCACTTGGGTTTGTACCTGGGGCATAGCAGTTCTAAGCCTGAACAGTTGCATCCAAGTGGTACGCACTTAAAACCGAGCTGTTCACACTGACTATCTGTAAAGATATGGATTTTTCAAGCCGGCTGTGTCAGTTAACCTATGTTATTATTGATTCAGTGTTATTCCTGGTTCATCTTTGATTTCCTTAGTCTGCTGCACAGCCGTTTTTAGTGTCTTCACGCAAGGGGCGTTGTATGACGATACTATAAACGGCTGCTGAAATATAATTCTCAAACTCATTAATAATTCATAAAGAAAATTCAAAGGAAATTAATGTTTAATGAGTGTTTGGATATCAGATGAAAAACTGCTCATTTTTGCATCCTTAATTTCTCCTTCAAAAATGATTTTGTTTGAGAAGAAATATCAAACATTCGACACAGTGTTTCATCACCAGATGAAACACCTCGAAGTTCGTCAAAAATACTCCGCTGCGCGTCGTATTTTCAACTCTCTTCTTGGTGTTTCATCTGGTGATGAAACACTGCATCTCATGTTTGATATATTACCTGAAGAATAGGGAAATCTGTCATTTGGGTCGGTAAAAAGGTCCAAAAGGGCTATCAGATGCAATTTATGGCAGTGAAAAGTCGAGAAAACGTTAAGGTTTTGTGATTTATTCATATTTTAAAGACAGTACATCTAAAGGGGTATCATTTGTCAATAGATGGTTTTCACCGTGACGTCATCAAATTGTAAAGTCCAAATAGCGAGGTTTTACGAATTCTTATTTACACTAGGTTGAAGATAAACAAAAAGTAAATTTTTGCACAAGTTTCCGTTTCCTTAGCATGTTTCGTTTCGCAAATACAGAAATTTGAACTTCCGAGTTTTCACAGTGCGTGACACCAGAATAGGAATGCTGTCTCGTTGAAAAAAAGTCTCTCCTCTTGATTTTCAACAGTATAATCACTTCAAGTATTAGAAGATATGTTTATGTGTACGTGTGCTAGTTCTCGAGTGAAAAGAAATAGCTTTTATAGAAAAAGTGAACTCCAGATGTTTTTGTTGATTTCTGGCGGCCATATTGGTGCACCAAAACGGTGCACCAATATGGCGTCCCCATACAAAGCTCTACAAAGGTGCGTGAAACATTTCGGCAAATAACTCAGAAACTATGGGCCACAAAGACCTGAGACTTGGACAAATTGTTTATATGTTAGTCTTTTACAACATTTCATTTTCTTAACTTCTTCCACTGGACGGTTCTACTAAGGTTGGAACGTTCCATACCATATTACACCCCCCATATCAGGCCCCAGGCAGGCCCCGACCTACCATATCAGGCCCCGAACTACCATATCAGGCCCCATGTATATTAAGCTAGGTTTCCGGTAATTCACTTATATTTCGATTTTGTTTCACAAAAGAGGCGGGTTAACTATCCTTCTTGACGGATAACGGCAGACAGTTAAGGTCAGACAGATTATTAGTCCCAAATTTAATTTAAGTAACCGTTCCGTTTTCACATCAAGACAAATTATTTGTCTGACGCCATTTATCCGAATCATCCGCTCGTCTGCCGTGTGAGCGGCCAATAATAATAATGTCGAGAATAACAGGGAAATTTTAAAACGTGTTATTATTTTGTTAATAATTGGGGAAATATGTACCAAAATGTTTAATATTAACAATCTAACTTTCATTGCTTGTAGCAACATATACAGAGTGTCGGGTAAGGACGTGTCAAGGTAAAGCAAAAAAAAAAAATCAAGGTCAGGGAATTTTCTACAAGTCGAGAAAATCTCTTATTGGCATGTTCAAAATTATATTTTCCTTGCGCACAAGATCCGGTGTAATTTAGCTCAAAGACTTTGTAAATGAAGACAGGAATATTGATAGTTTGGAATAAAAGGGCCCAAGCAAATTTAAACGTGCGTTGTTTATTCCACTTTTAATCACCACATAACATTACAACTCTTTTGTGTCCTTTTCAAACTGTTCATTGTGTATCGATTTTAGCTTTTTATTTTCCTGCTTGGAGCAAAGGTCAAATCAGTTCTGGTCACGCCCCCAGAAGCTGTAACACCATGGTTTGTTACTACTACGACTTTGTTACATGACACCACTACTACGCCGCGAAATGTAATAATCGCCGAAAATTGGAAAATTAAACGAGACTTACCTGTAAGTTGAAGTTTGATTGAGATTCTATCACATGACATCAGAAGGCAAGAGATCACATGAGATAGCACAGCGCTTGCGCAAGTCATAATTAAAAGCCACGTACTGGGTGCATCAAAAACAACATAACATGTAGGCTAAAGACACCAAACAGAAAACCCAAAAGCAACCAAGTTGCCTAAAAACGGGTGGGTGTTATGTGGAGGGCATGTGATCTCTTGCCTTCTGATGTCATGTGATAGAATCTCAATCAAACTTCAACTTACAGGTAAGTCTCGTTTAATTTTCCAATTCTATCACATGACCAGAAGGCAGAGATCCCATGAGACTTCAAAGCGTGGATGCACCCGTACGACATGCGCTCAAACAAGAGGCATGAAATCCAACAAACAATAGACCAAACATAAGCAATGATAAACATGTTATATTAAAATGGTCTAACAGTAACAAATTATGCAATAAAGCACACATGGAAAAACAAAATATTTCACTGGCCAAGAATAGCGGCAGTTAGTCTGTTTCCTTGAACAACAGGTTTGTTGTAATATTTACGAAAGGTCTCTGCGGACTTCCAGCCCGCGTTAGCCATGATCTCGTGGATAGGGACGTCCTTTTCATTTGCTTTGGAAACAGATGCTGACCTTGTGCTATGTGCAGTGAACACATTGGTATCAATCCCACAAATTCTAAGAGTTTCTTTAGTCCACCTTGAAACCGTGTCCCGAGAGACAGGTTTGTGGGGCCTTACATAACTAATAAACAATTGAGTTTCGCTATTACGCAAGTTCTTTGTCTTGTTAATATATGCTTTCAGACAGGCCAAAGGGCAAATTGTACTGTCTGGCTCATAAACGGAAATGTCAATCTTCGTGTGTGGGCTCCTGGGAGTACTAGTCTTGATATGCTCAGCGAGGTCAAAGGAATAATTATCTTCTTCCATGGTAACATGCTGAAGATCTAGCAAGTGTATCGATTGTCCCCGTTGACTGGAAACTAATAGAATAAGCATAAGGGCCTTGTATGTCAAATCCTTTAAAGGCAATGTTTCATTGGGGTATAGGGAAGATAAATGTTTCAGAACCACCGAAACATCCCAAATTTTGTCGTATTTAGGTTTAGGTTTGCGGGTTTCAAATACCCCTTTCATAAAACGTGTAACAACATGATTGCTGCCAAAACTTTTCTCCCCGTCTATCATGACAATGGTAGATAAGGCAGAGCGAGCTGTATTAATAGTGGAGTAGCTAAGTCCTTGATTAAATAGGTCAGTGAGAAATTGAGGGTGTCGCTCAGTGGTGGTGCATAACAATCAATTTTCCTTTCACGACAAAATGCCATCCATTTTTAATGTATGTGGCATACTGTTTTTGAGTGCCTTTTCTCCAAGATGCCATGAGAATGTCGGTAACCTCCTCTGGAAGGTGGTAACGGCTGAAGGATCCCCTGACACAGGACAGACCATCAGATGAAGATTTTTGTGTAGAGGATGTGGGCCGCTGCGTGACGGGTGTTGTAGAAGGTCTGGGCGTGAGAGCAGAATCCAGGGCTGATCGCATAGGTGCTGTAGGAGGACTGGGAACCACGTTTGGGTTGGCCAGAGAGGGCAATCAGAACTCCCTGTGCTCGGTCGTGACTGATCTTCTGAAGGCATCTTGGAAGAAGGCTAAAAGGTGGAAAAGCATAAAATTGATGCCCTTTCCAATTCATAGTGAACGCATCTATATGTGAACTACTAGGGTCTGCATGCCACGAGCAGTAACTATTTATCTGATTGTTTAGACGGCTTGCAAACAAATCGAAATCGAGTCCGGGGTGGCGCAACATGATCTTGTCAAACGAGTGTTTGTCTAACATCCACTCGTGATTATCTGAGAACACGCGTGATTGTTCATCAGCGCCAGTGTTCAGCCGACCAGCTATGTGCACAGCCGAGAGCCAAATGTTGCGTGCAGTACACCATTCCCAAATTTCAACAGCTAGTTCATTAAGTTGTTGTGATTTTGAACCCCCCATGTTGTTTATGTAAGCCAATGCTGTCGTATTGTCGATTTGAATTTGGATGTGGCAGTTGCCCATATGGGTGCAAAAACACTTTAACGCAAAAATGCTGCGAGTAATTCCAATATGTTTATATGAAATTCCTGTTCCAAAGGGGTCCATCTCCCCCCGTTTTCTGCGTGCCATAAACAGCTCCCCACCCCAGTGTTGACGCGTCTGATTGAATTGAAACGCTTGGATGATCTTGGTGAATATCTCGTTTAAGAGTGTCAGCATTATTGTGCCACCACTGAATCTCTGCTAGCGCGGGAGGGAGATTTGCATTTTGCCCGCGAAATCACCCTTGTTAGCTATGAGCGCGAGATATTTATCCCGTTCAAGGTGGCGGTAGTGTAGGGGTCCGTACTGAGCCCCGGGAAAATTGGACACCAGAATGCCAATGACCTCTGCGACCTGTCTGATTGTGGGCATTTGTGTTTGTAAAAGCGTAGCACAGACAGACCGAATCCGTTGCGCTTTATCCTCCGTGGGCGTAACTGTCATGGCAATAGAATCCAATACAAAACCTAAGAAGGTCAGTTTCTGGGAAGGGATGAAAACTGATTTCTCAGGATGGACATGAAAACCTAATTGAGTAAAAAGCGTGACGGTGTCAACGACATTTTTATAACATTCCTTGGAGGTGTCTCCTTGTAGATAAGAATCATCAATGTACCCTGAATTGAGATGTCCCATACTCCGAAGTGTGGAATACACGGGCTTCAATAATTTTGTAAATAGGCGCGGGGCACTAGCTAGGCCATTCGGCAAACAGGTATATGTGTAGAAAACACCATCAAAATAGAACTTTAAGTATTTCTGGTGAGATGGATGGATAGGGACGGTATAATAAGCGTCCTTTAAGTCTACCGAAGCCATAAAACAACCTGGTCTCATCATGTTTACGGCAGCCTCTAGTGTATCCATTTTAAAATGATGGTAGGCTATATATTCGTTAAGGGCTTTGAGGTTTAAAATGGTGCGGTGCGTGCCATCTTTTTTCGGCCGCAAGAATATTGTGGATACAAATTCTCCTGTTTCCTGTGCCGCGGGGATAATGACCCTTTTTTCGAGCAGTGTATCAATTTCCTCTGTGACAATTGAATGCTGATAAGCGTTGAAGACACTAGGTCTACCATAATGTTGCGTGTGTTGTAATAGTTTGCCACTGCGGCAAAAAGTGTTTAAGTTTCCCGGCTTGGAAACTTGGTTGTGAATTTACCAAACTATTTACAATGTCAATAGACAAAGATGTCGCATCTGCGTTACATACCTCAGGCACCTTTACGGGCGCTGGCTCGTTTCGCCGTCCTTTTTCTTTCTTGGCGGCTTTGAGAAACGGCTTTTCCCTAAAAAATCCGAGGTTTTCCCTCTAGGGTAAGGCTGAAATCTTCTCTGCGAGCCATACGCTGGGCGCCCACCGTACTTGTCATGGCCACGGGAATTCCCGGAATGTTGTGGGCGCACCTTTTTGGTCAACTTGTTGGCCTCGGTGATGTCTTTTGCTAGCTTTGTCAGGTCGCCAAAAAGGAACTCTGATGAGCCATCCACAGTGGACACATTACAAAGGGCTGCATAGTCTTTATGCATCTCTTTTTTCATGGCCAGGCGTCGGGAGTGATTAACCTCATGGTTGTACTGAAGTGCCATTGCAACGGAATCAGTCAACAAGGTGATCAGCTCCTTATCTTGGCTGTATTTTCCCAGAGCCAAATCGGCGGCCTTTGTCATGGCTGTTATTGCGCCGATAAGGGTGCTTTGTCCTTTCTGCGATCGGACATCCTGTGCTTTCAGGGCAGTGGAGAGCTGGCTCCAAATCGAAGGGTTTACTTTGGGTGTGCGCAAACCCTGTACGTTCTCTGGACGGGGGTATTTGTCTAGCTTTGCCTTTAGTTTCTCCTCCCCCATCTTTTCTGATAAGAGATTGTTGAAGACGGCCGCCAGCCCTTCGCGAAGGGGTGGGGAGGTCTTCTCGCTGACTGTCAGGTCCTGTGCGAGTTCTTTTAGAAGTTCGTCACCCGGCATAGCCTCGTTGTTTTGATCTGTTCCCGCAGCCGCGAGGAGCGCAGAGACATCTGCATCCATGTCCCCAGAATTGGCGGGCTCGTCAACAGAGGCGGTTTCACCGTCCTCATCTGATTCTTCGTGCCCGCTCTGGAGCACGGTGGTGACGTTGTTGTTTAGGCTGCTTAGCTGGCTTAGAACTGGAGCCAATGCAGTCTTAAAAATATCCGCGAAAGTGTTAGCTGAGGGCATATTTTGGCTGGTATCTTGAGCGGCCATTGACGTTCCAGTGTCCGCGCTCTCTGTGCTGTTTTCGGACATGATTCCAATATCGGCACCCAACTACGTTAGGGCCTAAGCTGGACAAACAATTGAGGCAACTACGTTGGCCTCTCCAGCAGATCGTGTTTCGAAGATTTTAAGCTGAAAAACTGGAGCTTAAAAATTCGTGACTTAACGCGTTAAACGCAAATCGTGCAATGACTTGCGCAAGCGCTGTGCTATCTCATGGGATCTCTGCCTTCTGGTCATGTGATAGAATTGCATTACTAACGCAAGATGCACTAAGAATCGCCCCAAAATGTAATAACATTTTTAACGCAAAATGTAATAATCTTTCAACGGAAAATGTAATTCTAACTTTCTAACGCATAATGCATAATTTGTTTCCTTCCCTATCAAACTCAGTTTTCATCCCTGTATATTGATAAAGTTCTTTTTTGTAATTTTTTCTTAAATAAATATTGATCTGTAATATCTTGCTTCCCTTTACGTGAAGTGTGTATGATACTTGCATTCCGCCCCATCTTTGCATACTTTTATTGATCATCAACTGTCAGTTCCATGGACCTAACATGAAACGGACGACGTTAACCCTTTATTAACATTTCTTGAAATTGACTGAAAATATAAGGACTGTATGTAGAGTACTCCTAGGAATCTTAACCAACAATACACGGAGGCAGCGGCTGCTACAAAATCGTCACTCAAAAAAGTGAAGTCGCGGCTTTTACAAAATTTTTTTCTCGCTTTTTCGACTTTCCCCCGTTCAATTAGTGAAATGTTAGCATACTTTCTTTAAGCTTTGAATGAAAGTAGGCGCTTCCTAGCGCACGTCATAGTCGTGCAGTAGCGGCAAAAAATGCACGTACAAAGAAGCGTGATACATGACTCATAATGTTGACAGGCCATACACGACTCCCTTTGGCCAACTTGTTGTATATCTTTGACCTTTAAGCTTCATAGTTTGAGTTGTTCATAATGTTGACAGGCTTTTCACGTCTATCTTTGGCTCAGTTGCTGTTGCTTTGACCTTACCTTCATAGTTTAGCTCTTACGAGTATATCTTGTAGTGACTTTCCTCTTTTGTAAGATATTATGGGAGGGTCTTTAAAGATTTCTCTAAGCAACGGTTGGTTTTCTATAAGATACCATTCGTGCATGATGATTTTTTTTCGATTCGGTACTGAGGGGCGATATTCTGTCACGAATGGTATAGTATTTTCTTGTGCGTTTTTGTTTTGTTTTGCAAAGCCGACATTCTTTCGTGATGCTTGACTTCTGATAGTTGTTTATCTATCACTTTATCTCTATAACCCCTCATAAGGAGTCTTCCCTTGAAATTAGTTATGTTCTCTTCGAACATTTTCTCAGAAGAGTTTGTTCTGAGTAATCTTAAGGCCTCGCCTTTTATGAATCCTTTCTTTACCCCTGGGAGGTGACATGAAGAGAAGTAAGTGTATTGATTGGAAAGTTTCTGTCGGTTTGAAGTGTGTACGCACATCTAGGATTGATTCCTTCTTAAATCTTTCTCCTTTGTAAATACATGTATCCAGAAAGGCGGTTTCTGTTTCTGAAACTTCAGCAGTAAATTTTACGGTCGGGTGATGGTTATTTGCTTGTTCGATGAATGAGTATATTTCTTCGTTGTCTACATTCCACAATGAGAATATGTCATCGATAAATGTTTTCCACACTTGTGGTTTGTGCGGACTTTTGTTAATAATTTCTGTCTCTATTGCAGACATAAAAATGTTAGCAAATACAACTGCCATTTTTGTTCCCATAGCTGTACCTTGTACTTGGAGGTAGTTTTTTCTAACAAATTGGAAAGAATTCTCCCTTAGGATTAGTCTGTGAATATGTGCGAGGTATTGGCTGGGTATTGGAAAATTTGTTTTGATAGAATGTTTCGTATGCTTTGCATATAATGGTAATTCCTTCCTCCTGAGGGATGTTTGTGTATAGGCTAGTTACATCCATAGAGACTAAAATAGCATTTTCTACGACCCTGGTTTTCTCTATCAAGTTGATAAAGTCTGTCGTATCTTTAAGATACGATTTTTGTGATTTAGCAATTGGTTGGAGGAGACTATCAACAAATGATGAGATGCTTTCCGTCGGGCCTTCGCAGCCTGATATGATCGGTCTTCCAACTGGTGTTGGTTTGTGAATCTTTGTGAGAGTGTAGAATTGTGGTATTCGCGGTGGATTTGGCGTCAGGGATAGCCATCGTCTTCTCATCTCGCCTATATGTTTCTCTTTGTAAAGCTTATCTATCAATTTCTTGACCCTTTTAGAGGTTTCTACTACCATTGGTGTTTGTAAGGGTTTGTAGTTTTCTCTGCCATCTAATTGTATTTGACCTTCTTTATTTTGTCTTCTTTGCTGAGAACAACAATAGAAGAGCCTTTATGATCTGCTCGTTTAATGTTGATGTCCGAGTTTTGTTTCAGTTGTTTAATGGCAAGTTGTTCCCTCTTGGGTAGATTGTTTCTAGGCGTGATTGTATTTATATTAGCAAGTTCTAATTTAACCTCTTCTAGGTATGTTTCTAGTGCGACTGATGGCTGAACTGGTGGCTCCCAGTCTGACTTTACATGAAAGGGGTGTTGCTCTTTATCTTTTCCATGAAAGATATATAGTAGACGCATTCGTCTAGCGAAAGCGCTGAAATCTTTTAATAGTTCTGCTCTAACGTGACCTGTGTTTGTCACTGGTGTGGGGATGAATTTAAGACCCCTTGACAGAACATTTATCTGATCGCGTGTCATTTTGTAATCTGAGAGGTTTTTGATATGTTTCTTTCTTGCTTCTGCTATGTTCTTATCACGCGCTATTTTTTTTTCCTCCGTTCATTGCGTTTTTTGGTTGACAATGACCGCTTTTTCTTTCCTCTTTCCCTTTTTAGATAATCTTTATTCTCAGAAAACACTCTGGGATAAGATTCACTTTGTTTATTCTCTTTAGCATTTTGTAAGACATACTTCATTTTGTTGAGTTCGTCTATTTTCGTCTGGATATTCTCTAGTTTCTGTTCGTGACTGCATTCTAGAGTATTAGATGGTACCTTATCTGACATGTCTTTCCTCTTTTCTTTGCGTGATTCCTGCTCTAGTTTTACAAGTTTAGATTTGCTTCTTTCGACTCTACGGTCGTGAAACTTAACGAGTGCGCCTAAAACTTTTCGTTCTGCGTCTTTTCTAATCCAGCTTATGTCTCGTTTGAATTCTTCGTCCGGGGCAATGTTTGCCCTTGCGTTATAACGCAAAGTTTTTGGACATGTATTATTCTCAATATGTTTCTTCAGTTTGGCGATGGATTCTTTGGACTTTTGTATCTTGTCCTTAATGGTGTTTTCAAGCTCTTCTGTAGTAAGGCGCTGTTTTTTAAAAGGTATGTGTTCTTTCTGTTCACGAGAGTCATCATGATGACGTTTCTGTGGACCCGTTTTGCGTGGTATTTGGACTTGGCGCCATTTTCTCTGATCGTTGGTGTTTGGTTTTTTCACGTTTAGTCTTTTGGCCTCTGTGGGGTCGCCGTTTCTTCTCACAGTATTGTTAGTCTTTCTGTTTCTTTTCAATGGCTGATCCCCATTTTCTTTAAGGTTTGTGTTTTTGCGCCTTTCCTGTTGACATTTGTCCACACGGTATGTCTTCGTCATCCGAAGCTAATAGGCTATCTTCTGCAGGATCGTTGGCTATATCAGCGAGTATTGAAGGGCTTGTTGTAAGAAGTCGTTCTTCGTTTACTAGTGTGTTTTCTGCTATGATGATTTCGAGAGTAAATTCTCAAGCAAGACTCGAGTTTCGGTCCTTTCAGTGGACCTCATCAGTTGCTACTATGTTAGGTTATGTAGAAATGGCAATGTGATGGTGTTCGTTGCTCAATTTGTGCTCGTAGGTAGGATCGAAAATAGAGGTTTTCTGTTGGTCAATATGATTTGACCAATGGGGTAGTTGTATGCTTGATCCTAGTTAGGTTGTGTTTTATGCGAAGGTCTTTGTTGCGATTTTCTTGTTAAAGGAGCTTCTGTTCTAAAAGGTCTTGTTTTTGCCATATCTGCATTAGCTTACTCCTCCTTCAGTTGAAGGATGAGGCCTGTTCTTTTATTTAAGGCCACACAATTTGTGTTTTATCTCTCTCTAAGCGTGGGGTTTGACATTGTACGTACACAACGTACTTAATTAACATCGGGCATCAGGGAAATCCGGGGAAGCTCCCGGTGACAGCCTTTATGGGGAGGCCTTAACCGAACCCAAAGGAGTTCGTTTTTAAGTCTTCAGGTATATGAAAGGATATGGGTTTCACTAGTTGAAATATATTAAAGGGTAGGCTTTTCAGGCAATGTTTACCGCAAGGAAAAAAATGACAGAACACTGACAGAAAATAACAGAAAAGAAAAGAAACGTCTGATATCTAGTGTGGTTTCGAGGGTCAATTTTTCTCGATCTCCTTTCGTGCGAAAGCGGGGGCCGGGCAAGGGTAGGGCGTAGGCTTGTTGAAAGAATATTGTACGTATTCAGGAGCACTTAGGAAGACCTTAGATAACAATGACCTCAACCAGGTCGTGCGTCCAGCCGTTTTAGTGAAGACAAGGATTTGGCTGGGGGCTTAGTCTTGCATGCTAAAAAAAAAAAACCTGGTCTCGCTCATTCTTATTGAGGGATTTTCGAGCCCATAACACGGCCGAACCGGCTACGGGACCGACATAGGACCAACGTTATCAAATCAATTTTATTTGCTTCTGACGTCATTGCAATTCCGTTGCAATTAATCTTTCTCTCATCGGTTATCGGGTTATCAGTGTACAGCGAGTGTAATTTATCATGCAAAAAGCACGTTTTAAACCCAACCAAAAGGTTTCCACCACACGTTCCCCACTGACCGTAATAGCTTGTCACAAAAATAAAGTAATTTTTTCTTAGGTCACAAGGTTCAAACGAACTGAACCGATGCACCTTTTTCTACAAAATTGTTAAGTCGAAAATAATTAGGGCCTCTCTAGTCTTTCAATTCTGGTGCAGGTAAAAAAACGATTATAATCCTGTTAACAGGGTATCAGAGTGACGTCCTCATCTACAAAAGATTGATTTACCTAGAACAGAATACAAATAGGGTAGCACTTTCATGCCTTTTTGCAAAGCAATCACAAGGCAACTACTAAAAGCAACAACAACAATCAAAATAAAAAAAGAGAGAACAGAACAATAAATACTCGGCGTTACGCATGGCGCAAGCATAACATTTTTAAGTAATGGTCCAGCTAAGAAGCAGGCAGAAAAACAATAGCCCGCGGCAATAGCGTCAGTTATTTTTCAGGCGCTAATTTCTCTAATCAAATTAAATCTGAATGCTCTGATTGGTCAATACAGCGAAAAGCGCGAAATTTGAATTTTAAAGTTGAATTAAGATAGCTTAAGACTCATTCGAACAACTTTTTATTTCGTCTATTGCTTTGTTATGTTGAAAAATATAACATATCTAAAATTTAAAAGATTTCTATGCGCCAAACCCGAGGAAGTTAAACTGATATGAAATTACACGAAGATGAGCACAGTGTTACATCAATCAGCGACGTTGGGAACAACATTTACGTCGGCTCTCACAAAAGAAATGTCAAAACCATGATCGTAAACAGCAGCAATTCACTCTCACGTGGCGAATCTGGCGAACGCGCCAATGTCCCGCGTTCATATTTGGCCACCATACAGAACAACAACACGTACACAAAATCAAATCTAAATGTTATCTAAATGTTCTGCTTTTGGAAAAAAAGATGATGTTGCCCAGATAGAAAAAATTCCTGCATGTTCGGATAATTGGGTTTCAGAAAAAGCTCTCCTACAGTTTATCTGTTTGCAAGGTTATGATATTACTCTATAAAAATCCTTCTTACAATCTCTTTCGTCCTTGGAAAAAATAAAGGCAAGCTACAGTCATGCTCGCAAGATCTTCCGTACCAAAAGAAACTCAAACGACAGTGACAGCTATTTATGATACCTAAGCGGCTTCCGTCTAGGTATTCTCCGTCTCAGAACTCAAAGGTACAAAATGCAAACGTGTCACAAATTTAAATTCGCTCATTTTAACTTAAGCTCCACGGCGAACTTCCATTTCGCTTGATGAAGCAGTCTAGAGAGAAAAAAAATCGAATGAGAGATGGGTAAAGCTACACGGAATATGGAAGTTTCGAAAAGGGCAAACACATGAATAACACATAATGCGCGCGGAGGTGCGAAAATCTATTGAATTCAGCTTACCTCAAGCTCAAGTGTTCTACATCTCTTCGAGAAATAAATTCATCCTTATAAAAACAGCAAATCTTCCGCTTTCTCCTTTTATGCCCAGCTGTACTCCAATTTCTAATGCCACAATCATTCCGATCTCCTCCTGATCCGGCCTGACAACGAAAACAACTACGCCGGGCCCAAATTTCCACATGGCGACTCGGCATGTCGAGGACGGCAGCAAACCATGTTTAAGAGCATTTTGACGATCACTCCGATGATAAAATACAGTAAATTTGAGATAAATATTCAATAAAGAAAAAATGCAGATTTTTCACGAAGAAATTGACGAGATTTCTTCGGGTAAAAGACAAATTTCCTAACATCTCAAGTGTCACACTAAGATGGGGTCACAACAGGGTCGCGCGTGTGTTGCACGTTTTCCGCTCTAACTTTTGATTGGCGCATAGAACAATGCTGAAACTTGGCCGTGAGGTATAAGACAGGGGAATGGGGAAAATAAAGCTAAAAAAAGTTGTTTTTGTCACGTTTCTGACTGTTTTTTTGGCGATTTTTGGATTTCGGCCAATCAGAACGCTTGATTTAATTGAAATTAATGATTAAAAGTTAGCACCTTTTAATCACTTTTGCCGTTCGCCTGCCTACCTCTTACACGGACCATTACTTAATAAATAAACTTCTGGCTTCCGGCACTCTCACTCGCTTTGCCATTAAGAGTTTTAGTATTAACATTATTATTGATTATTGTTATTAATATTATCGTTATCATTAGTATTTTCATTATTAGTCTTGTTATAATTATTAACATGGGGCCTCGTATTGATCGTCGGGGCTTAGAATGGTGGGCCTAGGACCCCGCCTAGGAGGGGGGGTTGATATGGGAATGGGGGCCTGATGTGGGGGGCCCGATATGGTAAGGGGCCTGAAATGGGGGTTTGATATGGGAGGGCTTGGAATGGGGGCCTGATATGGGGGCCTGATATTGTACGGGGCCTGTAATGGGGGGCCTGGGATTGTAAGGAACGTTCCAAACCCTGCTCGGACGGTTTCCAATTTAATTTTTTGTTGCGTGACAGTAAAAACGATCTATAGAAGTTATAGGAGAGGGGGACCTTTTCTGTCAAAAATGATATACAAAAGGGTAAGGGGTTGAACCTCAGGTGGAGCCTCCCCGTACAAAACTTTGTTAAGTACCCCCCCGTCCCCCACCCACCCACCTGCAGTTTACCCTCTACTCGCTGATGAACTTTCACATGACTCCCATTTGGCTTATAGAACTACTGTACTTGATCGAAAATAAGGGGGTTTTGTACTTAGCCGTCACACTGTCCTTGCCTTATTTTATCCTTTTTCTATTGTTACCAGCAAGGACTTAAGATTATAAACCTCGATAACTTCACTAAAAAAAGAACCAGACATGGTTATACATTGAAATATAAAATAACTTTTTTAATGAAAGTAACGGAGTACGACATTTGTCTCGGTATAGTTGAACACAGACAAGTAGCCCAGTAAAGACAACATTGTATTCAACAAGTACATTATATGCCCTTTATATTCTGTATATTTCCTTGTATTTCGCTTATAATGTAAACACTCTCCTTACAGGCTTTATTTTGCGGGGGCTACCACAACTCCACATTTATACTTTTAATATAGTAAACTAGTTCCGCTGCTATTGAAGGACATAAGTAACTTTTAGAGAAAAAAATATATTTGTTTTTCGTGTCGAAAGCAAAACGGCAAATTTTACCTTGTCTATTTATTTCAGATTTTATCTTTTATCAAGAAACTCATTTCAAAATTGACAAAACGAAAATATATGAAGGGGGAGGGGTGTGTTTTAGTAAGACTTAAATACATCTACTTTTAAATTATTACTTACAACTTGCAAAACGTTAACGCACCTTCGAAAAAAATGTGTGCTGGAGCCAAAGTTATCATGACCGTAAACAACAAAGCAAAGATGGGAGACATTCTTGGGAAAATCTAGAAAGAAATTAGAGATATTGACGGATGTTAAATACCTCGAAAGGTTACTGTTACTATTGTTTCGCCACGTTTTATTAATGTTACAATAATAAAAAAAGAAAGACGATTACAAACATTTACGAGAAAATGGCAAAAAAGCCCAATGAGGCTTATACATCGTAGGCTTTCTTGACTAAATTACAACAAACACCAAATATTAATTGAACGGCGACGGCAGAGTAGTAATACGTTTTAATAAGGTATTAACGAAAAAAAAGAAAAGAAAAAGTAAACAAAAACTAAAGAGAAAGGTGAAGAAAAGGAAAAAGGGGAGGGGGATCCAGGGAAAGGAACAAGTCAAATAAGGTGTTTCTTCAGTTTATTCTTCAAAGTTGATACACTAAGTTAAGGACGGTGCCCACTAATGTTACTGCGCACACTTTCTGCGCATTTCGGGACTTCCCCCGCGGAATAAGGGACGCGCGGGTTAACTTTAATTTATTTGGCAATGCTCTTTCGCAACATCGGCTTTTGCGCTTTCTACATACACTGGAAGTAATGACTCCTAATGCAATGGATTGGAACCTTAATACAGTCATATTAAGTTGATACACTGAGGTTAGGACGTTTCCTTTATGACGGTTAATAATCCTGCGTTATCAAATGGAAAACGTGACAGTATTTTCCGTGGCTTCCAGGCTACCTTCTTTTCGTTATTCTATAGTATTAGACTACAACTTGGTGAAAGAAAAGCCACGTAGCGAATACACAACATGATTATCGCGCATGAAATCCTTCAAATGAGGCCGCCGGCTGCGTTTTCAAGTTTTAAAATGAACGCAATCCGAAGTAATCTTCCGTTTTGCCCATCATCAGCTCTCAGTATTTTTCTTGTGTTCCTGTATAGTTTGAAAAACTAATGATTAATTAATATATGGTTATTGGAAACCACTACCGACTAAGGCATTTAAATGGTGACTTAAACGTTACTGTTATTACAGTAGTCAACAATTGACTAGGGTGACTAATTATAGATATCTGGGAATAGAGGTTAACGAGGCATTGGGGTGGCAATCCCAAGTAGATGCCATTTGTAAAAAGGTATCTGCAGGTATAGGGGCCTTAAAACGTACTCGTTCCCTGGTGCCTCACCAAACCCTACTGAGAATGTGTGAGGTTTAAGTCGCTCGTTATTTTGATTATTGCTCTGAAGTTTGGGGATGTATGGGAAGAGGCCTGTGTGACAGAGTCCAGATATTGCAAAATAGGGCTGGGAGAATTATGACATTTAGTGATTATGATACAAGATCTGCGGATAGACAGTCCTGCGGATATTCTTCAAGATTTAGGATAGGATACCCTTGAGCAAAGACGTTCCAAGCAGCCCGCAATAAGCGTTTTTAAATATCTGATTAACCTTTACCCTGAAGAACGTGTTGAAACCAATCTCCAAGGTTCATTCCTTCAACGTACGAGGTGCCTCGAGCAATGTTTTTGTACCAAGGTCCCGTACTTAAGCTGTTAAGCGGACTTTTAGCTGTAACTCTTTGAGGGGGCAGTCATGAGGAATGGCCTAGAAAATGAGCTTAAAGAAGAGCTAAATCTCTGTCAATTAACTCTTTCAAGTCTGCCCTGTCTTTGCCTTGAACCAATGATTGCGTTGAGGGAGTTGCGAAAGAACCTATTTTAGTTATATATTATATAATGTATACTTTAGGTTAATTTTTGTGTAATTAATTATAGGATAGTGTTTTAAATATATAGATCTATTCTTAGCATTAGTCAGGGTCGGCCAGCGTTTTTGGGTATACGGTATACAGGGGCTTTTTAAATCGGGTATACGGTATATTGCAGCTTAAATACGGGTATTCGGTATATCACTTTCTTTGAATTTCAGGTATAAAGTATAGCTACCTTTCCTGTGCTTTTATATTTGGATGAATTTTAGGTATTTTGGGGTATTTTGGCGAATTTTTTTCGGGTATACTGGTATACCACTACCCCCCCTGGCCGATCCTGATTAGTGTAGTTTCTCTTAAAATTTGTCATGAAAACGGCTTACTGGAAGAGCATTAATGAAGTGATACCATGAATAAAGCTTGAAACGTTTACCGCAAAACCTTTGGTCGCTCAGGTAAAGAAAAATTTGAAAAAAAAAAACAACAACAATCGCTTCCATTGCCTCGTTAAAGATCGAAATTCATCACCAAAAAGCATTTCTTGACTGCTAAAATGGCCTCAAAAGTATGTCGAGCGAGCTATCCTTTACTCGCGGTTTGTTGCTAGATAACACCACGAGAAAAACTGATCGTTTTTCCGAGCGAATCGAAAGGCGCAGTCAAACGCACGATAAAGACCAACTTTGTACACCTTTAACGCGCTTCAAAAGTGCAGTAAATCCAACTTTTCGTTCCGTGCTCCAGATATTTTTAGTCAACACGTATTTTTTCCTCGAAAATTAACGATCAAGCGCGTTCCACGTACGACGCGAATTCTGACAAAAAAAATAAAACCTCTCTTGCGCGAGGAATAATAAAACGCTTCAAATTTAGTATTATATATAACCTAATACCAAACCAAAAGTTTATCATATCATATATTAAAAGCCTGGACATTGGAATTTGTTACGTTCTACAATAAAATGTCATTTATTATTATTTTCAAAAAAATACCACTTTTGTTTCTATAAAATTAATGATATAGTTGCAACTTCTTTTTGGCTAGAAAAGGGTGTATAAACATTAAAGGGTGTATAAACATTAAAGTACAGTCTCTGAAATGCCGGCAAGACCACTGCGCACAAACAAGAAAATACCTGATTGTAGAATAATATTTATTTTAGACTGCCTTCGTTTCGTGGACCAGAATGATATGAACTTCAGCTTCCCTGACCTTTCGGAGAAAAATTGGGCGCTTGAATCATTGAGCCAAAATAGAAAGAGATTCTTGAAGAGTTTTGCCACGACGCTATCAAGATTCACTTACAGTTAGCTTTGATTCTTCTGGGTCCTGAGATTTGCAAAACGTCAGCTATTCTCAACCGGCTTGGGTGCTTGCCAAGGATGCTCTTAAAAGACTGTTCTTTGTCCTAAAATTTATCCTGTGTGCCTGTCAGTGTTTCGTTATTTTTGCGTCAAGAATGAAGGCAGAATTGTCAATATTACGGAAAAGCTGTCTGATATGCTTGGTACATTAAACTGTCTTCCTTTACGAACAATTTCTGCCTCGGAGCCTGTTTAAGTCATTGACAGTCAGTAAGGGGAGGGTTTGGGCCGAGATCCTGGAGAACGTATCCTTAGTGAAAGTGCAACATGATATTAGGTTGGCAAGGCTTACATTAGGTTTTCTCCCCGTCGCTGCGTACGGTCTCAGTAGAAATCCAAAAGATCAGACTGGAAACGACTCTCCCCCTGCGTGTGGTTCTGTACCTTCTAGTTACATTGCAATTCTAGTAATTTAGACACTACTCAAGATATGTATAAATTCATTGATAAAATGTCAAATAGCAATGGCTTACAAGGGCTGCCTCTTTTTGGAACTTATTGAGTCTAAGAGCCGCATGTTTACAATTTGGGCAATCACCTTTTAATCACAATCAAGAACATCCTACCTTTTGGTCTGCATGCACTGAGTATAGACTAGCCCCTTATTATCCCTGCATGTGATTTAAGACTAGGTCTAACATACATAACGCCACAAAGTTCACTACCCGCAGTACCTTTCACCAGCTTTCACAAACTCTTTACTTCGACGGGAATAATCCAGGTAAGTCCATCTGTACTGTCCTTTTAAGTTTTGCTCCAGCATACTTAGGTTACGATCGGTACGTACACAATAACATCTGTGTTCTTGCCTGAAATGATCCTCTACTTTACAGATGCGGGTAGAATTAAACAGAGGATCCTTTGCTGTAGAAAATTATAATCATCTTTGCAGCTGTCTTTGGTTCGAGTGACCTGTTCATCGAACAATTGCTTGCACTTGCTGAGTGTCGGCTCCTTACGTTTAGCTTCAGTGCATGGCAGAAATTCTGAAACCTTTCCTTATTAAGTTTAGGCAGATTCTCCTTGGGAGAATTGATCGATATTTCTTCGAAAAAGAATGCTTTTGTTGGAGTTTTTACTCTGACTATCTGCCATTTTGAAAAAGTCCGGGAAAATCGGGTAGTGCCAGGCTCTCGCGCGGTATATTACCAGTTTAGGATCCAGTTGGTGTAACGATACATGGAGTATATTATTGGTTTTGGCCAACAGCATGATATTCAGGCTTTTCCTTCATGATCATAGCTTATAAGAGGCAAAACTGGTGCTACCAATGTTTAGGAGGGAAGTCCTATCATTATATCGTCGAATTTTCCGATTAGCTCGGCAATGGCAAGCTACAACAGCAGCAGACACTGAGGTAGAGAGACAGTATATTCGCGACGAAGCGCGAAAGTTGTTCCGTGGAAAAAAGGACGTGAGTATTATATCTGGAAGATATTCAGATCTCCGTCTAAGGTAGAAACTTAAATCCCAAGCTGGTAAATTGAGTAAGAAGTTGTTCCAGCTAACTATCACACGAATGCAGATAAAACATATGCATGTCATGACAAAGTCGCAGAGGAGTTAGTGCTTGAGGTCGTATCGAAACGACTTGTACTGAAACAAATTTGTGTCAAAATGACTATTTCTCACCCCATCCCAGCCTGTTGCCCATAGTTCACAACCCTTTGTGTTAATGCTAAGATCTGTTTTTAAGTTTCAGTTCAGCTCCTAATCTTCTTACTGTTTTACAACATCCTATATATCATTGTCATCATCATTATCACATTATTGTCATCACGCTCATCATCATCATCATCATCATCATCATCATCATCTATTTTGGTGCTGCTTGGCCAACGACAATAGATACTACAGTCCTCCGTGCAGGTTCCAAGGTGCGGCCATATCCTTCAACATAAGCATTGATAATCCCTTCTGTTCATTTTTTTTCCATTGGGTTCTTCTTTATCATCAACATTTTATGGCTAAACCATGTATACTGGTGGAGTAGCTATGCACCTGTTTATGGGCCTGGCCTATAAGCAGTAATGATCTGGGTAACTCAACAAAGTCAGTCCAAGCTAGTGCCCAAATGCACATTCACTATGTGTAATATACATCTCTGTTAAAATATTACAGATAACTGACCCTGAGGAGATTAAGATGCACATTCATGAAGCAAATGCTCGAGTTGAGATTGGTATGTGCTGAAATTTTATTATCAGTAGCTGTAGCACTGCATACTTAACCCTGAAAAAAGGCGCAATTGTGAAGATCACTTTTACATAAGGTGTATACTGAAGAAAATGCTCTCAAGCTGAATGAATCCATGGGCTTCTGATGGTACCTGGAAGTCAACTCAGCTATTTATCCATTTGTGGTGCCTTTGACTGAGTTAATTTGACATAGGGTATAGAGTTTCTTAATAAACTGAGCTGCTTGTAAATGCAGTTGAACCTCCATGGGCCACCCTCAAGGTACCAGCAAATGGTCATTTAATAATGGAGGTTTGAATTCGCTCAATAGAAGTTTGTCATAAATTAGCATAACATGAGCATAATCTCTAGCAGAAACATCACTGTTATTTTGAAACAAACACGCGACAGGAGCAGCATTACTGGTCCACAATTGCATATATGCCAACAACTCTCCCGGATAATCTGGGAGTCTACCAGATATATGGCACTGATGGCCGTTTATAGAGGGTGGCCGCTTAATGGGCGGTCAACTGTAACACTGAACAGTAATGATTGTTGATATAATTTTTATATTTTCCCTGTAGCCCTTCACTATGGATCTCCTTACCCAAGACTGGTAAGCTTTTGTGTAAAGAATGTATTAATATTATTATAAATTATGTTATTACAAAGTTATTAACAAAAACCTATGAAATGAAAATTAATACTTCTTATGCCAAAATGGTGGCAAGTAAAGTTATTCTTCAGTTTTCATGATAATTGCCTCATTTTAAGGTATATTAAAGTTCTTTTAAATTCTTCAGATACAAAGGGCTTGTTAACGTAATACAGAAAAAAAGCAATACTGTCACCATTGTGGAATAAAGCTTACACAGGGTATTTTTGCTTTCATTTAATGTGCAATTTTTTTTTATTTTTCCCAGATCCACATGCCTCCTACAGCAGTCCCCAAAACAAACAGAAAACAAAGAAAAGCACAGGAACGCCTTAGAAAGCAAGCAAAACCAATTTACATGCTCTCTGATGAGGATGTTGATAAGTGAAAGATTTCCAGGAAGTGCATGATTTAATTCTAAAACAGTTAAAAGAAACTTCTTTCACAAGTCGTAACAGTGTTCAGGATGATGTTCATAATGGTATCTGCACTGCTCAGTCTTGATCAAGGCTCAAGAAAATGAGAACATCAAAATGAAGGATCCATTAGAGGCATTTCCTGCTGCTCGTTTGTGAGAGTATGTTGATCACAGAGAACTGGAAAAGGCAGATCATTTTGACTAGTATTTAGTAGGATCAGGCAGTTTAAGTCTCAAGACAGGCCTGCTAAAAACTATATGAATGTGACTTGTGGCCCATTTACCAAGTCCTTTAGAGGTCAAAATTTGGAATTTTAGCATTGGCTCGAGATTTATGAAAACTACAGAGGCAAGATGACAGCCAGGGGTCATTACAAATTTTCTCAATGGTATTCCACAGTTCATTGTCGCTTTTTAAAGTCAAAGCAAATGATAATGCTTAGGTTTGGAGACTGAAACTGGCAAACTGTGCTCTGAATCAACATTGCAATTTTTGGTCCACAATTTTTGCTCTACAATTAATATAATCCATATCTCCATATAATCGGGGATGGAGGATATCAGAGTTGGTTTTGACTAGTGGAGACTGGCCTAAAGACTCTATTTTCCACCCTCTATTTTTGCAAACTCTATTTTCAGTCATGCAGGTGGCAAAAATGCATGCAACGCCCATGGGAGTGAGCAGCAGTGCTGGATCCAGACCCTGAGATAAGAAGATGGAGGCCCGGTCATCCAGATAGATAAAGGGGGAGGGGTCTACATTTTTAAGCCTTCAGGCCTCATTTTGGTTTAAAAATAAGGGGGGCCAGGGGGCCTGGGGTCCTGTGCCCCTCCCCTGGATCCACCACTGAGCAGTAAGGTGACCCACTAACACCATAGCAATTTTGTACCTTTCTGGTAACATTTTGATACTTACCGCCTTTTTTCTCATTTTTTTCTTTTCATTTGTTTTTCTTTTTAATTGTATTCTTTTGTCAGGGGCAGATCCAGGATTTTTCTTATGATAGGGTGCACTAATAAGGAATGACTGGTGATGTAAACAAGTTTTAATACAGAATACCTGCAGTTGTATCACAGGCAGCCCAAACTCACGTTACGAGGAAAGAGTGTAAAGTAATTTACTTACCATAGGTGACACATGACCTTTCTGCTAGACGTGCCGGTGTCGCATTACAGGCGACCATTGAAAATAAGAGACTTTCTATGAGAAATAAAATACTGAGATCTTCGAACACAAAATAACGTTAAATCTAATTTTTCCTTCAATGAAATAAATAAAAAAGACTTACCTGCAATATATTCCACTGTGTTTTGATGTCTGCTTGTCGTTTTACTGTTTTTTTTGGCTTTATTGCATAACCACTGTGACTCCCTTCGTCTTATGAAGGAAGTAATGGTGGTTATGCAATAAAGCCACTCCACTCATGCATTACTTCAACATCGTACTTTATTGCTTCTTGATATTCTTCCACCAGTTTTCTTACCTGATGGACTGAGTAGCGGTCATGTTTTGTGTGTGGGAAAATTACAAAAATGTGTTCTGTAATGATGACTTGTTCCTCTAAGGTGCTGTCAACACCATCAACATCTTCAATCGCGTGCCTGTGTAAAACAGTCGCACGTACGGATGCCTTTATTCTTTGGGAATAGCATTGGCTCTGCAACTGACTCTGACTTGTGCAACTATAGTTCTCTGAGTAGTCATGGATACAACATACGTGCTTTGGGGAGTGGATGTTCTATTAGACCTTTCATCTGTTTACTTTGCCAACTTGCACGAAACTGGTGGGAAGAAAAAACACGCAGTAAAGACTTCAAGTTGTCAAGCAAGACACCCCTAGTTGTTTTTTTCTTCAACAGCTGAAGCTTCTTCCTTTCCTGTCCATCCTGTGTTTGGCCCGATGCTACGTAGTCTGCCAGGTTTCCAAGGGAACGTTAGATCTTACATCTTTCTCTCCATTTAGGAGGCCCAGTTTGTCTACGCCACATCTGTCACATTCTCTGTTAACGCACTGTTTGCGATGATAGCTAGGGCTTTCTGCCTTAGCGAACATTGTTTTGTTGATCGGGAGGGCGGAGCGGGGAATTTTCAGCTTGCACAAATTTTTTTTTTCGCTCACTGCTTGTGCAGGAATTTTTCTTTTTTAGGTGAACCCCTGTGCACGAATTTTTTTTTCAGACAAATATTGCTTTTTTTTGAACAGTGAAATATTGATTCATTATCTATGTTTTTGTGCTTTGTAAATTATTCTACGCTCACAACAGATCAAAGGATACAGGCCACTTTAATGCAAAATCTTTTCGAAAATGTACACTCAGTGAGAGAGGAGGAAGCCACTTGGAGTGGACGGCTTCCCTGTGCATTTTTTTAGTCCCTGCCCTCTGGAATTCCTCTCCCACAGCCCATCATAATGATGCCATACTCCATTCACCAATGAAAACCATACTTTGTGGTTCTTAATTTTGTTAAAAGTACCGGTGGCAGTGTCCTGTTTATGTCTTGACAGTTAAAGTTTTAACACTTACTACAACGTGTGAATGCTTTTTTTTATTGTGGGCACCAATAATTTTATAGAATATTTACAAAGCTACCAAATTCTAATATTTATTTATTACAAATTTTATTTTATTTTATTATAATACGGTATACAGTGTATGTTGTAGGTACACTAGCTGCAATTTAAAACAAAAACAAGGTTCTAATTGTCTCCTTTCAATAAGAAGAAAGTGATTTTTCTTTATTCATATTGTCCCTGGTAATATTGTTGATTTCTGAAACTCAGACTTTCTGAAAGAAACTCAGACCTTCTGAAAAAGTCACAATTGACCTTCCTTCTGCATGAATTTTTTTCTTTACCTTCTTCTTTGCATGAATTTTTTTCTTGGCATTTTCCCTCCCTCCCCAATCACTTTTCTAATGGTCCGTCCCTTATCTGCATTGGTAGGAAGCGCCTCCAGACACGCCCCACGACGCCATCATCTCGCTCTTCACCGGAGGCGAGGCAGCTAAGGTGTATAATTAACCCGACCACATATCAAACATCTTCCCACACATCATAATTCGGTCATTGTTTACGAGAATGAGGTAACGAGATTGCAAGGTGTTCGCTTTCAGTGAGTTATAAATTCTTATTTGAGTAGCCATGATATTGAAGGAGTACAGGATTTGTATGCCTATGACAGTGGAAGAGGTGAGAGAAAAGTTTGATTGATAATATGGCTAAATGTGATCAAATAGCTTTGACAACTGTTCTTCATCTCGAGTGTACCGGCGCAGATAGGGAAAAATAAAAATAAAAAAGGTTGTTTGCACGAAGATCTCAACTCGAAAGAAACTAACTTAAAAGAAATAACGTTGCATTAATCGTCATCTCCTCAATTCGTTGGCAAGATGAAAGCTCTGTCTTCTAACATTTCGACTTAAAAGACTGTGATTCAAGATTCAAAGGTCGTCGACGTAACCGATTTTGTTTTAGGTCGATCCATGTCGCCTGGTAAGTTATGGTTTTAGGGTCGCCTTAAAAAACGCTGAAGAGAAACCGTGGATAATTTAGAAAGTATGTGAATGTAAACTAGGTGGTTTGGTTGTTATTCTGGCATAAACTTTGCTTTTAAACAGTGCAGTGACCAACAACTTGAATTTTGCTGCTGATGTTTCTCGGAAATTTCTTAAGCTTAACTAGCTAAGTTTATTTGTGCCTTGAGTAAATTAAAATACTCAAACAATATCGATCAAAGTGAATCATTCAGTCAGATTAAAGATGTGTAAATTCGATGAAAGAGATGCTTTTTATACTTTTGTTCGTTGTACTTTTGTAATGCCAGTACTTAAAGCTGGGCGCACAGATTGGAAAACACTAAAAAGATCATTTCTAACATATAAAACACATCATGAATGTCCTGTTTTTAAACTTGTAAACTCATGCAAATACAAAGCGCTCTAAAAATAGGGGTATCACTTCTATTTCACTTTTACTTTATTAAATGGGGCATTGATTAGATTGAAATCAAATCTTGATACAATAAATTGTGTTAAATTATCTCAATCAATGCGCTGAAACGTTTCGAGGGTATCGCAGATCGATTTAATTTACGTCGCATGTTAAATTTTAAAATTCACTCCAATTCTGTTAAAAGACCCAATATCCCCTTGAAGAAAGAGGGCGCTTTAAATTTATAATATCTAAGATTTCGTGACAGCTGACCTACAGCTCACTCTTTAAATTATTAAATTATTCACAAATATTTTGGACTGCATTAATTATGATATGCATTGAATTTTTGTGTGAATATCATGTGAGAAATATAAGGGAACATTTGTTATTTAAAGCCTGGTGGGTGCAGTAATGTTATTACAAAGCCTGCATTTAAAAATAAAATTTTCTTTTGGGTAATCCCTGAATTGATTCCCCCGGATTAAACTATGTCCCAGTAAAAAATTATCTGTCCCCCCACCCCCACCCCTACTAAACTTACCATTTTTACATGCAAACACAAATTTTATGGGGCTTCAATGAAGTTCTGCTTTTTTGTAAACACTGGAATAACATTTTATGCAAACAAGTTCTGTTAACCAGGGATGCTGCTATAAGAGCCGGCTGCCGGCTAATTTCACTGACTAAAAAAGAGCTTACCACCAGCTCAAATTGCAAACGAAGAGATGCAATTGAGTAAAAAGCTGGCTTGACCAATAAGAAAGCCTACTTATCTTTTCATTAGCTACATCCCTGGTTAACAAATCATGTCAGATACTCAGCAAATTGAAATTATTGGCTCCGACATGATTGAGGTTACAAAAATATCTGCTAATGCAGGGAAACATGATGGTGGCTGAATTCAAGTACTGTTTTTTTTTTTTTCAATGCATATATAGAAACGTCACTTTTGCAATCGCCTTTCATTTTCTTGACCATAAAAATAGTCTAATTGCTTTTGCAGGTGGTATTGTCTTTAAATAAACTGTTGATGTTTTAAAAAAAAAATTAATGAAGCCCTATATTGTTTTTGCTTTTCTGTTTTTTAAAGGAGCTGTGTCACAAAATTCAGCCAAATTAGGAAATTACAAAATGCCTGTTAAATTAAGAGAAACATAAAAATTACAGCTCAAAACTTTAAAGGAAGATTAAAATAACATAACAGAAACAACAGGTGCCACAGATAGGCAAAACTGAAGAAGATTGAAACGGATTGAAATTAGGGTTTTTGAAAACTGTTCAGCCTAACAGTTTTTCAAAGTTGGTCCCTGCTGCTTGCAACTTCAAAAATAATGCTCAGGAGGCATATTTGTTTGTCTCGGGTCTCTGAGTTTGTCATTTACAAGTAATTTCTTTGCTTACTTTAAGTTCCATAGTGATTGAGGGCGAGTAATTGGCAAAATTAAACAAAATGAACTGGACCGCCGTGACACAGCCCCTTTAACCTTGGGAGGTAAAAGGTCCTTTAGTTTGGATGATTGGTGAATTATTATTATTATTATTGTTGTTGTTGTTTCATCTCATTTGCTTTCAAATGTCCTTAAGTAGCACATCATATTTGAATTTTCATTATACTTGTGTTGTATTTTGTAGCCAAGTTACTTTGACAATGGTTGATTCCACCTCTCTTCTTACCCGTAACTACCCCCTGTTTGGTGTGAAAGTAAAATCCACACACTCATTTAACTAATTTGTGAGTCTGGTAGAAGTTTTTTGTGTGTTTTAGCTTTGATCAGAGGTTTAAGCAACTGTAACAAGTATTGTTAAGGTTGCTGAAATCCTAAGATCAATGTTGGCCAAGTATCTAACAGGTTGCGTACCTGTCGGGAGAGCATTGTTGTTCTTTAAAGTTGGTTAAGTAACTTCTAAAACTGCAGATGACTGACAACTGCACAGAACTTACACAAGCATTATATACAAGTATTTTGGTTCAATTTTTTTTCATATTTTAGTATCACATAGGACAGCTATTTATGATAAGCAAACACAGTCATGAGCAGAGTGAACAAGGTGAGGGAGTCCATGTGGTAAAAAACGAACCGCAAGAAGATGAAACACATGGCCTTGGACAGTACACAGAAAAACGGGTTTATTTATCAAGGTGAGTTTGTTTCAGAAGTTTGTGTATTGTTGCATGAATTTTATTCTTCTAAACCCTGGGTTCAATTTTCATCCGTGATCGTGTTTTGATGGTTATGTGCAAATTTAAGCAAGCACCAATCTGTCCCTTACCAAACTAAGAGGATACTTGTATAAGTGACTATATAATTATACAGTCAGTCTTAGAAGAGTGATGTCCTTCTTATAACGAGTCAAATAAAGAGAGTAAAGTAAGGCAGGAACCAACTGCAAGTGTCTGTTTTACCAAGGTGTCTGTCTTCTTAGAGGTGTCTTTTATGAGTGTCCATCCGTCTTCTTTGAGGTGTCCATTATGAGAGAGGCTACAGTATATAACATCCGCTTGCAGAAATCCAAGAATTAGATGGCATCTAGTGACACATTTTCTTTGTGAAAAATAATTTTGACACAAAAACTTGCTGAGAGTCTTAAGCTTTCATGGTTGTAAAAAAAGAAAACCTTACTCTTGTTATCTTTTCACAGCCGTCTTCCTGCATGGATTCGCTCCTACATTCCGAAACTATTTTATATAGAAGAGAAAGCATGGAATTTTTACCCATACACAGAAACAGGTAAATGCAATTTTAGTCAGAGATTGTTTGGTAAAATCTTTGCATTCTTAAATATTTCTATCAATAATTATTACTGTTAAGTATACATTACCACTTTTTATTTTTTTAGGGCACATTCAAGTGATCATATTCCGGAATAAGAACCACTTTAATAAACATGATTACATACAAATGTACATTGGAATATCTTATTTCAAGTAGATTTGTAGGTATTGCAATGCAATACATGCCAATTAACAAGTGATTTCTAGGTTTTATTTTTATTCTCCGGTATTTCTAGAATAAATAATAATTGGTCTATCGGAAACCAAACACAGTGTTTCATCTCATATCATACACTGAATAAGGGGTGAAAATACAACCTGCACATGGGGCATATATTATTGTTTCATAAACTTTGATTCAATGTGTTTGGCATTCCGATGAGTGTTTGTTATAAGTGCTCAAACAAACTTATTTTAATGTATAAGAAATTAAGGATGCAAAAACAAGGAGGCTTCCATCAGATAACATTCCATGATCTGCTTATTAATGATTTTGAGAGCAAAGCATTCAAGATTTTTACCTTGTAAAATTTGAAACCCACGTTTCTCACCATTTCACCATTCATAATTGTGCTGCATGCCTTGTACATGTAAACTCACCAAAGACTCAATAAATTGTTGTAAAATGTTTTACAGTGTGGGTTGGGTTTGAAATTTGAACTATTTGTATGGCCAGTGGTGATTATATATCATGATTAATAATGTTTATTATTTCTTTTTCTATACCATCATCCATTCCTGTGCAGAATACTGTGTGAGTACTTACTTATAAAACCATTCATTCATCATCAACCTCTTAAGAACATTACTTTACTTGTAAATTCAATAATGATATTGCCATCAGGCAATGCTAATTTGGCAGGCAAAATGATGGAGTGATATATATTAAATATTTGCTTTACTATGACTGATGATTCATAAGTTAAGGAAAATCTCAGACTGCATGAACATACATGTGATTATTGATTATGAAATCTTAACCTATTTCTATCAGTGTCCTTTGCTAGAAAGCATAGATTCAGATGTTCTAGAGTCATTCCTGTATTAAGGGTTTCTGAATAAGGGGCTTTAACATTTCACTCCTAAAAATGGCCAAAGTAAAAATCAATAAAATTTCCATGTATCTTTTTGTAAAAACAACTTCTGAAAAGTCAATAGTACCATGTGAAAGTACTACCAAAGAGTTTTCATTTGAAAGGTAACATCATAGGATTTGATCCATAGACTCAAAAGTTAGAACAACATACTAAATAATTAGTGCGATGTGAAAGTACTGCTGAAGAGATTTCATTTGAATGGTCACTGCACAGGATTTCATCCACAGACTCAAAAGTTAGAACAGCTTTACAAAGCCTCTCTCTTTCACTCTGAGAATGAAAGGGTTTAAAGGGATACATTATTTTAAACCAGTCCTCTCTGTGTCTTGATACATCAAAGAAATGAAACACTTCAGATCATACTTCATTATTATTTTGTCCTTATCGGAAATCGCGTTTTAGAAAATACAGTTTAAATAGAAATGATATTTTTTACAATAACTGAGAAAATCCTCGCACGCTGATTGGGCGAGGGCTATGGTCTATGCAAGTATTGACCATAGAAATGACATAACCTGTCACCCGTGATTTTCTGAGAAACTTCGCAGGAAACTAAATGTTATTGTAAAAAGCAAATCAAACACAATTTTCCATGGTCTACACCCTTATAGACCATAGAAATGATGCCATGAAATGTTCAAAACTTTGAAGTGAAACCAGTCGGCTGCGGCTCGTGGTTCCACTTGAGTTTTGAACATTTTAAGACCTCAGGTCTATGGACTATAAGAGAGTAGACCATGGAAAATTGTGGTTGATTTGTTAAATACATGCATGTAATACGTGTACTTTATGATGGTATATTTTCCTTTTTTCCAGTGTTCTTTTTTACCAAGATTTTCCATTAAAATACGAACAAAATATTTCAATGACAATGGAAGTAGCCAAAATGTATGTATCCTGTTCTTGTTTGTTCTTTGACATTATCCAAAAAAAGTAATTGGGCATTTCCAGAAAATATACATCCCATACCACGGAAGGTTTCCATATTTTAACCCTGCCCCCCTTGCTCTTGGAATTTCCAAAATGGGTTATCCCTCCATTCCCTTGGAATACCAGATTGAAACTACTATGAGGTGAAATTGCATTTCAAAAATGCTTTGTTTTCTACAGATAACGCCAAAACATCAAGATTGCTCAGTTTTTACCTTATTTCTGACCAAAAAATGCATCCCAAAATATCTTGGTAACGCTCCCGTAGATTTTGCTTAAACTTCACGTACACTGAGGCTGCAGTTGGAGGAAAAAGCTCAAACGATTTTCAAAGAACAGTTCCCAGTGCCGAGAAATACGGCTGCAAGTAAAGTAAAATAGGTAATGACGTCATTTTTTTACTATGCCTTCGGAATTCCAATGGTAAGTATCCCCCCATGTCTTCGGATTTCCAGTTCAAAGAACCCCCCCCCCCCCTTGCCCTCGGAATTCTGAAAACCATCTGTGGTATGGTATAAATATATTCTGGAATCAAGGTTCTACTGTATGTGTAAAAACTTGTGCATGAATGATTGTGGGTGCTCAGGATAGTTCAAAATCAAATTCAAAAGGAGTGGGCCAGCTTAATACTATTTATTTAATTGTAAAATTAGAGAAATCTGAGATCATCTTTGTCAAGAAATTTCATGGGCTCAGCACTGGAAGATTTATGTTACTGGAATCTTTTAAAATCATTAACACAACTATGTCAGATAATGGGGAGGGTCAGAGGCAGGGGGCATGAAAATTAATAATTATCAACCACTGAATGAATTTAATTTTTAGGCCATTTTCTGTTATTTGTATGCTTTTGTTGTTGTTTTTTGTTTTGTGGGAGCTTATTTTTGTTGATGTTGAAAAAACCTTGAACATTAGATATATGCTGGATAAGATATTAAAAATGTAGGGAAACTGTTCCAAATAATTATCTGCAGGGGTGAAAAGATGGGGGTCTCCACTACATCATAAATTTTTTCAACTTGTAAACTACTGTTGGGAAAGGGTCTGAAGATTTGAAACTTGGGCTGTGTTATATAAAACTTCCATGTGTCTTTAAATTGTAATCTAATTTGTTATTCTAAATTTGTTTGTAGTGTTTTGATTTAAATGAGGAAATGCTTGAATCTAGAGAAGTTGTAAATGTTGATATAGCATATGATGAATTACCAGAAAAACATTACACCCCTGAAGAGGTAAGAGGTGATGGAGCATACTATATTATAAGCTGGCCATTGATAGCCCACCATTTTCTTTCCAAGTGTATGATACACTCCAAACCCAACCATTGTTCACTTGTAAAACTGATTATGTAAAGTATCGACACAATTTCCCCCATTTTACATCAAGTTGTTGATTTTTTTTCCATCAGTAGGGTATAATATTATTTCCCTTGCAGTGTAATTTGTGCTATTTCACTGAAGCCGAAGGGCCAATGTAGTCAAGAGCTACCATTTATATATTTAAGTCCATATGAAGTGAAATTTCAGTTACCCACAGCAACCAATGTATTTTTATAATCTTCTAGGAAATACGTTTCCTGTATTTTTCATGTGTTCTTTTTTATATTACTTTCAGGACTGTAGATATTTTAAATCAAAGAAAACAGGTAGAGGTCCATTAAAGGAGGGTTGGAGGGTAAGTAGATTTTTATACAATTACCATTTAATTGAAAAAGGTTTGAACAGAAGAACTCCACCTCACCCGCATATATTGCCTTTCTCTAATGTTCACCAAAACACAAAATCATCAGGGTTGTCACTAAGATTTCAAGTTGCCAGCTAAATACAACAGGGAATCAGACAGATACAGATTTCTTTTGGTTCTATTTTTTTTTCTATTTTCCTGTGAAAGTAGCCAGGGCCCACATTCATAGTAGGTGGGGGAAAACCCTGGCCCCCGCCTCTTAATCACAGCCCTGATCATTGTGTCAGTTTCTTATTCTAAAAACTTGTTTTTTTAATAGCCAATTTTGAAATAAGTGTGCCTGGGCAGTCAGGTCATCAGGGTTTCATTTGAGGGCTATTCAGGCCATAGGCGAATTTGATTGCAGTAATACTTTCCTCATCAGCATACGATTTAACTCATAGAAGGCCTGGTCATATATAGAAATTAAAATCAATGGCTGAAAGAGCTAATTCACTTGAGTAATTTTTTATCTTTGTTTCTCCTTTTACACTGCAGGATGACTCACAGCCAATCATGTGCTCATACAAGCTAGTCTCTGTTAGATTTGATGTCTGGGGACTAGCCTCAAGAGTTGAGTCCTTTGTTCATAATGTGAGTGTGACAGTTCAAAAATCCATACACTGGAAGACTGACCCATAATTTCTCAAAAATGATGACTAGTTAAATCATAACTTACAATTCTTTGAACTCCGCCTCACCAACATTACTGAGATAAGATATTCTTTTGAATTTTGATGTTAAGAGGAATGTCAGTGATACAAAAAATAAAAGCGGATATTACACTAACCACTATTTTTGGATTGAGTCAATGTACTAATAACTATATCTAATTACTATAACTACATTTACTATAATGATTGATGGTAATAAGTTTTAATATTATTTAATTTTAGTGAGGACCTAAGCCCTGAAAACCACTTAATGTGACAGGAGCTTCCTCTATAAAGATTATTTAATTATTATTATTTATTATTATTGTTATCTATGAAATAGATAATAATAGTAAATAATTATCAAGTTATAAAACTGCCAAAGAACTGGAGACTATTTTGAAGAAGTTCGACAGGATGTTGGGAATTTGGAAATAATTCTTTTGAAAAATTGATGACTAAGTAATACGATGATTGAACATTATTTTTATCTGTAGGTTATCCGAGACATTTTATTACTTGGTCACAGACAGGCATTTGCATGGATTGATGATTGGATAGGTGAGTGCAAGCTATCTCCCTAAAGACTTGCTGTACTTAAATGCTGTTTTTATCAACCCTTTTACTTCCAATAATAGCCAAAGAAAACTTTCACAAAAAATGTTACCTAAAAGGTTATTCAGGGCTGTCATTGAGAGGCAGGGGCCAGGGATTTCCCCCGACTACTTTTATTGGAAAATAGAAGGAAACTAGAAACAAAAGATATCCCTAGCTGTTTAATTCCCCGCCCGCCTACTCATTGTATTTACCCAGCAACTTGAAATCTTAGTGACAACCCTGTTCTTTGCAAAAAAAATTAACTTCTTTCTGTAAATTTGTAACAAAAAATTCAGTACTCTGCCATTGTTCTGCTCAGAAGTTTTTATTTGAATGGTAATACCAAAGACTTTTGTTTACAGATTTAAAAGTTTATACAGTTATAATAATCATGCCATAATAGTCGTGTTCTAGAAAATAAATGAAGAAGTCAAGCAAACTCAGTTGTACCTTTTTTCTTGGCAGATATGGGCATAGATGATGTTAGAGAGTATGAGAAAGACATGCAGGAAAAAACAAACAACAAAGTTGGTGCTGACATGTAGATTGGATTTTTTTTTTTCACAATAGTGTTTATCCTTGAGACAGAAAAAACATCGTTTTTAAAGTTCAGTGATAAAGTTTTAAAAACATTAGTGTAGATAGAAATTATTACAGGAAACCCACTTGTTTTTGGTGTGAATACTGCTGGACGGTTTTCTTCTTCGAGGCAGCTGCCAAGAGTATTCACTTTAGAACCTCTCTTAATAGACCAGTTACAAAAGAAACCCTGGTCATGTGCATTTTGCCTCAGAGTGTTTTCCCGTCTGTTTTTAGGCTTAGTTACGTGAGGGTTACTAAGCTGTTTATTATGGCATCTTGCATCAAGCAGATATTTTACTTACTGTTTTGGCATTTGGTAGTCACCTACACAGCCATGTTTTTTTGTGTCGTCACGTAACATGGGAAGCATTGCATGGTGTCAAAGAATGGCAGTGTGGGAGACTAAGCACTTGGTGGAATGTCTTGAAATATTACGAAATTATGGAAGGGATGTCACATGCTATTTTCAAGTGAAAAACTTGTATTTGTGGCAGCGTGGCTTTGAGAAATGTCCTCATAAAAGTAATTCATTTTAACATCAAGGTTAGTCCTTTTCTTATAAAATGATGTTACTGAAGGGAGGGAGCTAGAATTATTTTTTCTAACTTGCCATTTTTCACTTTTATACAAAATGATTGTCGTAAAAATCAGAAAAACTCTTATGATTCAAGTTTTCCTTGTGTCCAGCCTAGTCCCACAGTCAAAAGGGAACACTCTAGGTAGCGGCCTTCAAAGTTTGACTTTGCACTAAGACAAGGGACTAAAATATTTGTAATTAGTTACACATAAGTTTTATATTTTTTATTTTTATGAGATCTTACTTGCAGATGTTAGTACGGGTAAAAACAAGGTACACTGTGTTACAATGTTGTAGGTATATCCATCCTCAAGGTACTATTCACCACTATTCACCGAAGCAAAAGGCTAACCTTAATAGGTTGTATACTGGATTAACCTGAGAATGGATGTAATATACAGGACATAGTTTACACACAAGGTTTTTTTTTATTTATTTTATGTTTTACATTTTGAACTTCCCTACTGAGGAGAGGTCTAACCTGGGAAAACAGGGCCAACATTTCAGGATGCCACCTCTGGCTTCCCTGCGAAAATATGACGTCTGAGAAATGACCGCAGAATTTCCATACTCTGATGTGTCACTACCCAGATCTGGGTAGTGCATCTGATTGGTTAAAAATTTGCTTCACCCGATCAGAGGCACAATCCAGGTCTGAGGAGTGATGCGTTATCAGTATGGAATTTCTGCGGTCATTCCTCAGACATCGTTTCATGGGGAAACTAGTGCTGAGGCTAAAAAAATTTGGGTTGTTTTCTCAGGCTAGGAGGGGTTAAGACTGAAACGATTACCACATTAGGGAGATTAAAATATGACAGTAATAGCAACAAGAACATCAAAAAATTAAAACAACTCTGCACATGCATCACACGTTTTACATTTCTTTGCCTCCTCGACGACTTCAACAAGAAATTCCCTCATTTCATGTTTATGGAGGAAATAAAGCGAGAAAACGATTTTCTGTTCCTTTTCCTAAACTGGCCAATTAATTGAGATGGACTAAAAGCAATGTAGACTGAAATAGCCTAAACAACACTAAAAGTGCTTTGTGATCATTTAGACTGTCAGCGCTACATATTTATTTATTTATTCTTTCATTATCGTGAATACTTATGACAATCATCTAGAAACATTAGACATGACAGTGCTACAAGACTCAAAGGAAATCGGAACAGAAATGCACATAATTTGAAAACCTTGTTGAATTTGTGAAGTACAAATGAATATATATCTCTGAGTCATGGACCAAACTAACTTTATGTCAACAACTACCGGAAACTCTCTTCATTCTTCTAATAGGATTTTGAATTATTTTGTCCAACAAAACGATAGCTATTCTTATTGTGGTCAGGTCTTTGTAACTATGTATGCATACTAACATCAGAGATGGAAAGAGCAGTGATTTATAGGCCCTTTGCAGCTGGGGTTACGTGATCAAATCTTTCCTTAAAAAATATCTATATTATGGGCTATAACTTAAAGAATGCTAGAGATGGAAAGAGCATATTGAAAATACCAAAATGGCCAAGTTTGGGCCCCTGGGATTACAGAGTACTGTTTATACAGCAGTTTGAACTTTCGGAAAATTAAGAGGACTTGTATGGAAAATGTTGCTGGAGAGCAAGGCCTTGCCCTCCAACAACTTTTTCCATACAAATCTTCTTATTTTTTAAAAAATTCAGACTGTCATAAAATCTCATTCTTGAATGATGGGGGCCTCAAACTTGGCCATGTTGATATTTTTGACATGCTTTTTCCGTTTCTGAAATTTGCTAAGTTATGGCCCATAATTGTATGAAAAGTAGGTCACGTGATGGCTTAGCTGCAATGGGCCTATTGGAAATCCCTAAAGTTTGTAGAATTTTGATCATACTGATGGTAGGAAGACAATGCAACGTACAAAATAAAAGGACTAGTGATAGCATAATACCACTAAGCTTTTTTTAAACGTCTTTAAGCCATTTTTTGGCGTTCCAAGATCTTACATCACAACTTATAAATAAAGATAATTGCTAGAAAAGAAAAGACAATAAACCATTGATTTGTATAAAAACTGTGGCACAGCAGCTACCTTGAATAGTTCATTCTGCAATACCAAGAAGTACTGTAATAATAATTATTCTTACAGCAGTTAGGCCAACTAATGGTGGGTTGTCAGAAAGTGTTGAGTTAGGCAGCTTTATTGTTGATTTGAATTAGCTATGTCAAGCTGATTTTGAAATAATTTTTGAACATTAGGACCGGCCAAGCAGGTTTTAGCTCAGTCATGGCTCATTTCTGACTGGTGAAAATGTTGAAACTCAGCAATATTATAAACTGGTAACTGGGATTCTCATAGCCGCAGTGCGAGACTGTCAGACGGCATCCTATTTCCACATAATTATTTCTCTGAATTTATGACTACAAGTGGCTAAAATATTTTAGCTATTTGATATTTTTGTCATGGTTTTTTTGTTTTAGTGTGACTTGACTATAAACTTTCAGTGCCTGTAAAGCAGGTCTTAGGGTGAACAAAATATTATGTACTAGGTTGTTATTTTCTGAGATTTGTAATAAAGACTCCCAAACAACTAGTCTTGTTACCAAAACTTGTTGGCTCACAAGTGGCGAAACAAGAGAAAGTAATATTATTATTTTCTGTATACTGTACTCGTATTTCTTTGTTACCTTTTTGAAACAAAATTAACTCTGTCACTCATAATAAATTATTAATGTATATAACAGTGAAAAACAGGCTTTCAATAATCTCCATTGCCCATAAAATGTTTTATTTTTGGGATGTAAATATTTTAAATCAAACTGTATAAAATAATGAGTGAATAAATAAATTTCGATATACCAACTGTAAGTGTACAGTAACGTGTCCATTAGCTTGTTCCAGATGTTCAGGTAATGGTTGGTGAATAGAGAAGTGGGCAGGAAAAAAAAAAAACAGTGAGGGGGGTGGGGAGGGAGAGAGAGAGCCAACGTTCGTAGATGTCTTGAGTTGTTTATGAAGGAAATTGAGTCTCAGGCTCCGGTTGTTCAAATGTTGGATGGCGCTATCCATTGGAGAAATCGCTATTTGGGAAATCAATTGCACTGTCCTTTGGATAGAAATTTATCCAATGGATGGTGCTACCTGGCACCTATTGAACAACTGGGGCCAGGGGCCCATTTCTCAAAAGTCCTGGTAACTTTTCGGGCCTGAAATCAAAAATTCAAATCGAAATATAAAGAATAAGAGCGCGGGTCCTGGCTAGCAAACTACTCCATTTTGTTTCATTAACTGATAGTTTTAACATGTTAGATGCAAAACTATTGAAACCTTAGCCTGCGAAAACATCCGTTTCTCCTTGCTCTTCGCCGCTGGGGATGTTTCACGCGGAGGAACGTCTGCGACTCAGCGACAGAAATTCCATACTGATGACGCAAATCATTGTTTAGATAATAAATCCGGTAGTCATGGGGTTCCATATCTTGTGGTCGATTTTGGAAAAGTGTTGTGTTCATCTGCCAACAAGCTCCAGCAAAACTCAAATGCTTCCTCTAGAGAAGACTATATTCCACAAATATTGACTGTTTTGTTAGAGATTCTTCGCGTTTACATTTGACCTTTGTGGCTTTGTCTGTCATTCGTAAACAATAACTAAAACAATGTAACTACTCCGTCGACCAATCAGCACTTCTGACCGGTTTCCGGACAGATTTTACATCATCAGTATGGAATTTCTGTCGCTGAGTCGCAGACGTTCCTCCACGCGAAACGTCCCCAGCGGCGAAGAGCGAGGAGAAATGGATGTTTTCGCAGGCTATTGAAACCTCGATCTTTAATGTAAACGGCAACAGCTTACCGGGCCCATTAATTATCGGGACTTTCGAGAATCAGGCCCCTGGTGTTTTAGAATGGATTATTACTTAAGTCTGATACTAACACTGATTTCGTGTCTCAGTATATTGTGCAGAGGTTTTCTGACCAACTTTAGATTAAAATGTAGGGATTGCAAAACAAAATCACTGTCCTGCCACTGACTTAGTAAATTTTGTGATCAAGCAACAGATCAATAAATTCATCTGTCATTCTTGCACTAAGCCTAGCCGAGCAAGCTTCTTTAGGCGTTCACGGTGGTATTCTTTTGACTGCACCTAGAACAGAAAGAAAAGAAGTGATCACTAACTGTTGAGAAAGGAGAGCTTACATGTACCTACCCACCCTGGTGAAGGAGATTTGGGTGTGTCTGTTATAATAAGGGGTTTTATTATTATAGTAAAACCCGATTACAACAGACACATACCTAACTCTTCTTCCCAATTTCAGGTCTTGTTCTATTTTTTATCTGGCCATTTACTAGGCTTCATTTTGGTTGAAAAAGTTTCCACGAAAACACCAAAGATGATGAAGTTATTTTGAAGGAAGGACATGTGGATTGTGGTACAAACTTTTCACTGAAATTTCCAGGTCGATTTTACATCCCTGTTCCTGATTGTTTATTTTGCATTTTTCTCTTTCCTTTTTGTCTGAATCATGCTCATTTGGGTTTGGTTTTAATGATACAACAAGCAGCACAAGGGATGTGGATTCATACAGGTGGTTATGGGCATTTCAGTTTTGAATAGGTTAAAGTTAAGTTCAAATCCCATAAAAGACTGAATTTGTTAAGGGTTTTCCCAACTGCACATAAGTATTGCATCTATAACTGCATTGATCTTATCGACATTCAATTCAATTTCCCTTAAAGTTGGAAACTTCCTGGTAAACTGATAGCTTACCAAAGACATCATCAAGTGGCTCCTGTTTGACATTCGCGGAAGCTGGCTAAATTCCTATGGCAAAAATATTTTCCATTAAACATGAAAACTACTAAGTAGCAGTAACAAGTCAGAGTTTCTCCTGGCTTGCCATATCAATCCCTAACCAATCAGAAAGGTTATTACAATAAAATGTACTGAATTTAACCACATACGTATAGTTCACACCCATATATAAGCTGCACCCCAAAGTTTTCCCCGGTAAATTGCAATCAAAAGTCAAAATAATGCCATGGTTATTCTGCTTAAAGCTGGTAGATTTTTCCAGATTCAAGCCAAGTTAAGCTAGAAGGGTAGCAGAATAGGGATCTGGTCAGCCTTAACCAACATTTCTTTAGTAAAGAAAACTTTCCGAGAAAGGTAAGGGTCCTTTATTGATTGCCAACAATTTTCTGATAATGCAGGGAAGTGTTCATCAAGGCGACAATAATTTCAGTGATGAATCTTGAGGATGACATGAGGTTTTCATGAATTTGTCTTACTAAGCCACCAGTTGTGGCCAGTTCACCAAAGGAGGTGTGAAGAAATTGATTCCGTCTTGCTTCATGGAGATGATTTGCTCCTTGAAAGCTCCATGAGAGAATAACTGCTGACAGCAAACAATAATTATTGTATGTCAAGTTGTCTGGCCAAGACAACCACACACCCCCCTCCAAGCACCTCAAGTTTTTTTTAAGTAAGAGAGACTACCCCAGGATTCTTAAACTGACCAAATTTTTTGCGTAATTCTCCTCTATCCCAATGACTGCTTTCCCCTTGCCAGCACTCACTTTCACGTTGAAACTTCTAGTTATATTGCTAATTAGCCTGCAAGCAAGCTCTCTGAGGCACTCTGGTGGCAGGGCAGGAAAAGGAAGGAGAGCTTGCAACTATCAGGGCTCGAAGTTAACTTTTTAGTGCACTTGCAAAGTTTTGCTAGTAAGATTTTTTCCCCTAGAAAAACTGGTGAGACCACTAGCAATGTTTTTCACAAATGTTTGCTAGTTTATATTTTTCTCACTCGCAGATTATCAAAATCACTCGCATTTTGTTTGTGAGTTTGCGAGCGTTAATTTCAAGCCCTGAACTACGTCTCTGGAATTTGAATTCCACCTCCAATACCCCTGTGACTCCCCGCCAACTAAGCTGTCAGATTTCCGCCAATCAGTGCAAAGCAGAAACAAGCACGAATGTACACAAACATTGAAATGAAACATGTGCCAAGGGTAATGACATCATTACTCATGTCATATCCGCAAATCAACATTTTGCACCGACTTTTTCAATGCAGATATTCAAATTCCAGAGACATAGTTGCAAGCTCTCCTTCCTTTCCCCGCCCCCCAACCCCCTCTGCCAGAGTGCCCTGGAGGGCTTGCTTGTAGGCTATTATTGTTAATATCTTAAGAGAAAGCGGAGTTTCTTTTTTGACATTGAATAAATAATTATATGTAAATGAAAATAGCATAATTTGAACTACCAAGGCTTACCGATGTCAAGACATCAAGATAAGGTGTTCCAAAATCAAGCGCTGAAATAATGTAAAACAAAAAAAACTCTAGTTTAAAATTAAATTAATTTGATTATCATTTGACAGTGAATAATAAGGTAGACGTGATGTAAAATTTTGGAAAGGTTTAAATGCTTCCTGGCAACGAAACTGAATTAAAGCTGAGTACCAGAAGTTATTTCTCAACACTTGATTTTACGTGGTAGGTATATGTAACCTGTTGAATGCTCATAAGTTAGAGAAAAAATTGCATATAAATATGATGATGATTATCAGTAGTAAAATTTAGATCTATCTACTCAGTAGCCTCATGAGGGATCATAGTCCACCACTCACACCCAGTTTAAAATAATGTAGCAAATTCAGTTTTTCGGCATTCCCAGTCAAAGCACTACAATATTGAAACTTCCTGACACATTTCTGGGACGTTGGACTGTATTTAAAAAATTTGTTTAAAAAGCCTCGTACCAATTTCAATTCGAGCAGTTGCCTCAAAAATACGTAGTTCTATTTCCACAGGTTGAGTAATCTGCAAATACAGTAAAACAGTATTAAGACCCTTGTTCTAAAATGAAACATCAAAAATGACTCAAAGTCATTATCAAGCGTGAAAAAATACATTAAGCATTTGAAAATGATTTTGATGCTCAGTTTGCACGTATACAGTCTTGTGAAACATCAAATGGAAAAAAGGGCCACAGAAACAAACAAACGTTGATAGGACTGGCCAATTCAAAGGAAGCTAGAAGAACTGGAAGGCTGCAGACTGTCCAACCACCCTGTTCTCGTTGGGATCCTCCCAATTTTGCTTGAAAATCCTGAATATGCGAGTGGGATAGGAAAAAAATCCTAATTTTGACATAACTTTGTTGTGATATTTTCAAGTGAATTCTTTTGAGAATTATACAAGAATACATAATAGAGTATACTTGACTCACACTGACATCCAGAAAACTTTAAAAGCCATACAAAATATAAAACAAATCGAGTAATTGTACATGAAACCATGCAAAAAAAAAGCATAAAAATGACAAAATTCAGCGAACATTTTAAACAAAATTTTCCTCTTAGAACACTAGAAATGGCATTATAGAGGATCAAGATTTCTGCAAAATTTTACGTGGGAGAATGCCCTTAGACCCCCCTAGTGGCCCACCCCTTCCGCGCTCGTGTGATTCCTCGATTATTAAAAAATATCCCAATTTTATATACTCAAAAGGTTGGACAGTCTGAGGTTGCATCATTAGCTAATATTTGGATTGTAGTACTCAAACAGCCAACAATTTTATTGGATGAATGATGGCATGCAGCAGATGGGGGCAACTCCAGCCTTGTCCCAGTCATCCTCGACACATTTGGATGTGACATCACCGATCAAGTTTATCGGAAGAATTTGCTATTTTGCAAGTTCCAAGCCTCCTATGCTCACTTGGATAGTGCAAAGAGGCCTGGGAACAAGGCTGGAGCAGCTCTGCCTGATGATGGAAGATTTTAAAATGCTTAGTGAAGATGAAACAGTCAAATTACTGGCCGAAAAAGAACGCACACAAAAATGTCAGCAGCTTTTTAAAGAGTTACCACATTAAAAACATCCTTTGCAATCCTAAAACTGCCAAAGAACGAACAAACTGTTCTGAAATGTAAGGACATGTGAGCTTTGAAGTATTTTCAATGACTGATGAAAAAAAAAATAATTTTGGTTTCCCTGTAACATGACACAAACTCATTATATAAAACAGCCTATCTGGCATGCCCTACTATTGTGCTCAAATATCATTTATATTACTATGCTTGTAAGTACGTTATGAGCTGTTATATCAGTGTTCACTTCACCTAAACCAAGAGCAACTCACATTCTTGTATCTTCGAAACAACCTGCGCGCCTCATTTCGTATGTACTGACTCTCTGTATCAGCATCTCCCGTAGTTAGTTCGTGCCAATGTCGCGCCATTCGGAATATGCGACGATATAACGACAAAACTTCTTTCCTATAAAATAATGGTTCAATCATGATCTTTTTCTGTCGAGGAAAAACCACGTATAAAAATGTGCAATTTTAACCTCGAGTCCGCCATGTTGGAAAATCATGTACCAACTTCATATACGGTACACGAAAGAAATGGTGCACAGGAACGCCAGGATGGGAATATGGACAAGTTCTATGCTGGCCCTTCTGAGCATTCATCTTTTTAATACGAATGTCCAAGAGGATTATGGAGGAACGCTTGAAATTGAGGGGTTGATAACCGGGTGTGTTGGTAATTTAATATTTCTAGCAAGCAAGAAACTGAACACTTCGCCGCGTCTATTCGATTACCTACAAATGAGAATTTAGAAGGTTGTAAGTATACAAGAAGACCACCGCACAACAACAGGACTTTCTTACAGCACCAAAGACGTTTCAGTCTTAGAAATGTTTCAACAATGTCCAGCTCGAGGAACTTTGAACATGACAAAAATAACACTTGTGAACACCAGATAAAAGATGAAAAATCAAATTTTGAATCCCCAAGTTTCAGTGGCACGAAATTCCCCACTTCAGTAAAAATTGGGGATGAAGCTAAACTAACTTCCCCAACAAAAATAAAAGAGGAGAATGTACTCAGTTTAACGTAATTCATAAGTTTCAGATATAAACCTCAGAAACGCGTATCAACCTGTAATGTATTTATCATACCAGTTTAGTACTTTCTTTTTTTAAAAAAAATGTAACCTTATGATATAGTTGATGGTGGTGGTGTCGACACTTAGCAGAAATGTTAAATACTATGACACTTAACTGAAAACCTGTCATCATCATCATCATCAACAGCGACAACATCATCATCACCACACTGGGTAAAACGTTTTTTGTCAATACGTTTTTGCAGTGGAAAATAGCGGTTATCACAGTCATCATTGTAACAACATAATTTTTTTATCAATAATTTTACGTGAGTTCAAGAACATCTGCGCTGGGAGGCTAGAGATCCGCTTTAAATTAATTGTATGAATTACCCCCGCTACAAAATTAAATTACTGAACGGAAATGAAAAAGAGTGTGCCAGAAGAAATATTTTATTTCGCAAAATACTTCCTTTGGTCATTCTTTTTGCAGAAGTAAAGTATTTCCTATTGTGTCCCGCTGTTTGTTATGTTTTAAATTCTATGTGCCCGGAAATGTTTTTTTTTTAGCGTCACTTGGATGCAGTTAGAAAATTGAAGACACTCAGTCGGAGTCTGTATTAGCTATGTCAAAACAGATGAACTCTTGTTCACCGTTCACCAATTCGAAACGAAGAACACTTTGGTTATTTTTATTTACTTAGCTATAGTCAAGAGGTTAATATTACTAAAACATGTATCGCGTGTCCTCTAGGTCTTCTATAAATTGAGGGCACTCACGAACAAAGACTAATTAACAACAGTAATTTTAATATTCACTTGCGTACTCCAGGTACACTGCACAAATTAGAAATTTTAGATAATTACTCAATAGCTCACGTTCGATATATTAAAATTCTAACATGACTCCGAGGCTTTCTGGTCATTTTTCTATATTTGGTTCGGTTTTCTTTGTGCCCAAGTCTCTTCCGGGAATTTCGAGACAATGGAGTCGTGAAACATTTGCAATTTTGTCCCTAAAGCCTCGGAGTCATGTTAGAATTTTGTTATATCAAACGTGGGCTATTACACGATCGAACACGATTAACACAGGTCACTGGGGTAATTCTTCAAGTCAGAAATACAGGGAAAATTATAAAGAAGACCAACAGACGGTAAAACAATTTTTTAAAAAACAAGCTTAATGCTTCTCAACGTCAAGAACATTCACTCGTGATCATTATTGGGCGAGTCTTTAAAGTTACCTAGGCTGCGATTATGGGGAAATCATTTTGTGAAGACATTGTTCCGTATTACCCTTCAGTCTCCGAAGCTGAGGTTCTTCGCCCGTCGTACATCACAAACTGTGTCTTTGCCATCTTCTTAAATCACACTACAATCATGTTAAACATTGTAACAGTCCACGCCGTAAAAAAGACCCCGTCATTACGAAAGCCTTTGAAAACTTTGCTTCTGAGTCTGATCGCCTCAGATCTCGGGGTGAGTTTATTTGTTCAACCATTGTACATTTGGTTGTTAATCCGGTGGTTACAGCAAACCCACCCTGGTTGCCATATCTACACCTTTTTCAGCGTCATAATGAACTTATTTTTCACAGCTTCGTTCTCCAGCGTCGTGGGGATAACTCTAGAGAGGTTTTTAGCAATTTATCTTCATCTTCGATACCAGGAACTAGTGACGTGCAAGCGAGTTAAAGCTGTCGTTATCTTTATTTGGCTGATCAGCGCATTTTTTTCGCTCCGAATGTTCTGGCTACCGCCTGGGACAAAGTACATAGTTCTTGCTGTTGCTGGTGTTGTGAGCGTTCTCTTTACATCTTTACTCTACTGTAAAATCTATTTGGTATTTAGGCGTCACAAGAACCACATACAGGCCCTGCATGTACCTCCGCAACAATTAGCTCAAAACGGAGAAACGGCAGCTTATTTTGCAAGCCTAAAAAGATCGGCCATTGGAACTTTTTATGTATATCTAGTCTTTTTAGGCTGTTATATACCCCGCTTTATCTGTTTGGGTGCGATTAAAATCTATGGCCCAGAAATCAACTTGAAAATATTTTCAATATACAGTTTGACGCTGATGTTTCTCAATTCCTCTCTAAATCCCCTTATATACTGTTGGAAACTTAAACGCATTCGACATGCCTTACTGATATCTATGCGCAAAATATCTTGGTGCAGATAAAATTTTTCTTTAAAAAATTACGATAATTTTTCTCTTGAGAGACTGTGGTTATCTGGCAAGCACCTGCTATTTAAGTAATTATGCAAATATAGGTTAGTATTGATTAAGGTATTAGAATCGGTATAAAGTCAAAATATAATCATGCTTATTAAATCGCTTATTTGAAATGTGCTCTTAACCTGACCTCAAGTTCAAAAAATGAAGCATTTTCGTTAAATAAAAGCCGAGAAAACGAAGGCCAAAGTTGATAACTAAGTGCGCTATTTTGGAAATCACAGGGCTGAAATCCGACGCGGTACTCTCAGTTGTTGACAGAAATGTTGCAATTTTCACAACCCGGCACGCGATAACGCGTTATGAGTTTCAAGTAAGCTAGGGCAAATTATAGCAAAATTCTCTTACATTCTGCTTCCCAAAATAAAGTACAATTGTTTTGATATTTGTTAAATAATTTCTATGGCTGTAAAAAGCCTTCTTGAAACACATCTGATATATGATCCTTGAAAGGTCGATGACAAATAAGCCCTTAATAGTTCAATAACCTATTATGCAAATTAGCACCTTGCTAAGTAGATCACGTCACGTAACGAGTTCAAACGAAGATTTTCGCATTTTCTCGCCACTTTCCGTGCTACAATCGGGTCCGTGTCACAACAAACATTAAGTACAGGTTTATTCACATAAAATTTTGGCGGCGGCCTGAAGTTTGAGGGTATTACCAAAAAATTCCACCTCTATATCTCAGGAAAAATTTACTGGCTGCTGCCGAAAATCTAAGGTAAATGAACAATCTAATTATAAGTAAGTTCCATTTTTTTTTAATTCCTAGACATCGAGAGAAAGCCAGAAATATGGAAATAAGACCATTGACACCTCGGAACCTCAGCTCTCGCTTGATAGGTCTGTGTAACTTTTATTTTGCAAAATTCCTTATTATTTGAGAACTTGTTTTTTCAAATGGAATGGTTTATAGCAGATCTAATACCTTAATCGGTTAGTCATTAATGAGATTACGTGCAGTCAGAGGTGTACGTCAAAACAAACCTAAATTAATAATAATCATGATTAGAAGAAGAAGAAGCTATTCATATGGCGCCATTTCTACTAGATAACCAAGGACGCTTAACAAGGTTACTTGTGAGAAAAATCTAAAAGGTTCCTAATATATATCACTGATATATAGAACTAAATAAAATCGCGAACCATTAAGTCAATCTCCTTTTGCCCAAGGGCCTGTTCCGAAAAGCCATTCATTAACTTGGGTCATGCGATGCTTACATAATAATCCAACTTTTCTTAGCTAAGAAGATGAACTATAACTTGAAGTTCAAAGATGACAAAACACGAACTTCAGTTGATCCACTGGTTGAAAGACTATATTCCGCAGCATTGCGTAGGTCCAATCTTTTTCCTGCCCGAAAAGTAACCAGAACTTTCAAGAAACGAGGCCTACGTGCTGTGTATAAAGCAATTTGGACCTCCCCAGAAGTTTTCTGTACAATTAGACTGACATGACATTATTGTTTGTGAAAACATCCTAAGAAGTTTCGCCGCAAGGCTACCTATGCTATTTTAAAATTATGTCTCTCAGCATGTGATGGTTTAATAGGTTTCTTCCACGGTAATTTGATGGTTTATTATGGCGATATTTCGATTGAAAAAACCGAATGTCTTAACGTACAGTAGCAGTAGTACATGGACGATAATATATAACCTGGGTGCCAAGGGAATGAAGTGACGCTAGCGTGAACCATCGTTTTCAAGCTTTTTCGTCCTCCGTTCAGCTTTCGCACTGGTGTTTCTCTTAACTACTTTACGAAATACAAAAGAAAAAAGAAACCAAAAAAACGCCAGCTACGCAGGCTAAAGTGACCTAAGCTCAAAGTTTCTTTTTCGCGGTTTCGGCCTTCGGCCAAAGCGGTGTCTACGCCCGAGACCTGTACGCGCGGTACGCACGCTGCCTCGTACAAAGACGTCTCTCGATGAAAACCTCGATGAAAACTTTGGCGCTTCTCCGCCAGTCAATCGCGTCTCGGGCTCGCCTCTATGCGAGCGAAAAACGAAGCGCCTGAGTAGGAGGCAAGTACGGACTCAGGTAGTCGACGGTAAAAAAGTAGAGGTACTAAAATGAAATAAGTACAGATCCAGGGGAGGGGCCCGGTGGGCCCGCCCCCCCTTATTTTTGAACCAAACCCTAATCCTAATCGTTATCATACAAGACCGCCCCCTCCTTATCTCAGGGTGTGGATGACCCTTCCCCCCCCCGCCCCTTATCTGAAGGCCTGGATCCGCCTCTGTATATGATAAGAAAAAAACATTTAAATTCAGTTGAACTCGAACTCTGAAGACAAACGAAAAAACAGTTCGAGTTAGGGGGGTCAGCGAGTTATCCTGGTCGATTGAAAAAGTCAATTTACCATGTTAAAAATTGGTAGTTACTGATTTCTCAGCACTTCAGTGTATGGTGCAGTGCAAATGCACTTATTTCATCAGAAACGGTAACATGATTAGGCATTTTTATGATAACACGTGATCTGTTCGTTTTAGTTTATTGTTTTTACCCTTATACGTGACAGTCCCTTTTTTCCCGTGATAGACTGCGAGCAGTCCCTTAGGATGGTCACGCGAGCGAGGAAAGCGCGAGCGAGGAAGGAAATCGCCAATTCGCTCTCTCCAGTCCTGCCGAGCTTAGACTTGACTGACCGAAGAGGGACTGCTCGCAGTCTATTCCCGTAAGATCATCGACCCAGTCTAGCTTGAATCGAAGATGAAATCTCCGACATCAGCCCCCTTAGCCTGGATGCCAGAGGTTTTTTTTTAAAACGGACCTCTGGATCCATGCCAGGGTACAGCCACCTCGGTACATGCACCTCTTTAGCTTGCATGTTTTGTTTTCCCAATAGGGGTCCTAGCATCCTGCGAGCAAAGTCTCCTTCGATCTTCCTGAAGTCTAGGAAGATCGAAGGAGACTCTGCTCACAGGGTAGGGTCCTAGGGGAACTTGACTTTTTGTCTTTTCATAAGTTATGCGTAGATATGCACGTTGATAAGACGAAGTTTGAAAGAAACAATTCTCTAGAGTATTATCACATGACCTGCACTGGGAAAACAAAACATACAAGCTAAAGAGGTGTATTGAAAGTGGGGCCAGTGGCAGTGAAAGCCCGATCTCGATCAGTGATCTTACGGGAAAACAACAACAACAACAACAACTTTATTTCAGTCAGATTCCCACGTGGGTGCATGGTATTACCTACATTATTTATGTTATAAATCTTAAATCAAAAAAGGCTATAATTAAAGAACAAGTTTTTGTCTATACATGAATGCCAATGTATGTAAGCAGCTGTAAGTTTGTAGATATGAGGATCGACATTGTTAAATATGAAGAGGGTTTTTTCATTTGTTGTCAGAATTATTAAAAGGGGGTATCTATCACTAATGTTTCTGTGAAAGGTAGATTACAATTGAATAGAAAGTGTAATTCGTGTTCAACTTCATTTGAGCCGTAGCAAAAGAGGCAAATTCGAAGATTTTCTGGAGTTTTCGGTACTGCATGTCTGCCTGTTTCAATTAGTAAGCGAAGGTTGCCCAGTCTGAATTTATTCAGTTTTTTTACAAGTCATTTATATCGGTGATTATGTTCAATCAGTCACTTTTGCGACAGTCATTTTTGACTGATATTGAGTAGAATTTTAGTTTCTTGTACATGATAGGAGACTATGAACAGTGACCAACAGTCTACACGCGAGAAAAGAAACTCAGTGTGATACTCAGGGTACGAAGAGAATATAAAGAGCGCAAAAAAAAACCAAACAAACAAACAAAAAACAGAACGAAAACGGATTTTTTTACGTGTTTCTCTTATGAAGCCGTTTGGTGTTAAATATTAAGTTGGTCGGCTTGACAGCCCTTAGGCTAGCTCGGGTCAAACGTCGAACTTTTCATGAGCCGAGCTTCTTGCTTATTGGCATTAGGTTCGTCACATTTGAAATTCGACGTTTGACCGACCTGGGCCTTAGATGTCGACAAAGCTCAAGCCCTCAACTCGAGATTGCGTCACCTGATTTTAAAGCTCGCTAGCTGTATGAGTTTCTGGTAATCGCTTGTAATCATCCTTACTTAAAATCGCTTCACGCAGCTCGTGCTCTAAAAGAAAATTGATTTAGTTTCCAAAAAAATGAATCAAGAAAAAATAAATTGCAATAACTATTGCAAGCCGTTGATTGACATGCACACCGACTGTTTCAAAAACTAAAGACCGTGCAATCATCAATTATCACCATGATCAAAATTATGATATCTATCTTGAAACGAAACTGCATAATGCACTTATCAGCGGCCATCCCGGGGGGGGGTGATCCCGGGGAGCCCCCGGTCATTTGCACAACGACGTTTACAAATCCCCCTTACCCAAAACCAAGATTGTTTAACAAAAAGCTACTAACGCCCCTCCCCTGGGGGCAAAGAAGTGTGCTCTGCCAAGTCCATAGGTGCAATATTTCAAAAGAGTTGTATAGAAGGAATCGTATTTTTCTTCCGAAAAATATAGTCGCTGTGTAAGTGAAGGAGGCCAGATAGAAGGAAAAGAATACAAGAGAAATATGAAAGTCGTAGACAGTCTTCTCTGTCGCCATTTTGCCAGAACGTGTTAACCAACCTACCCACCAACCCTTTCGCAGACGGGAACTGCACTCGTTTCCAGCTCTGGAAAATGGCGGCAACGCTACAAATCCGCGGGTGTTCACCAGGAGATCCAGCTACGAAAGTGCAAAAACAATCCAATCCACCCCCACCCCCTATCATATCCCGGGTTTGAAATTAACGAACAAAGTTGACAAATCCCGCGCCATGCCAGCGTATCTCCCCGGGATTACCCTCCCACGGAATGGCCGCTGATTAGTGAATTATGCACTATCATTATGCGCTATCAGTATGTAATTGTGTGTGTGCGATGTATATATGTTTAGTTTTTTTGTATTTTTCCTTCGTGTTCGTTCATAAGGGCCAGTGTGTGAAAAATTGTAATACATAACAAATTAAAACTGATTAAAATACAAAAGAAAAATTATTTTCGCTTTCAAAGATTGACAAAGCGCTTTAGGCGCGCGAAGGCAAGCCATTAAATCCAGCACATTCGCGCGCGCGGATGCGCGCCTTGACTAGATTATCGAGAGAGACTGGCACGACAAATGCAACGCTCGATCTTACGCTCGATCAACGTTTGAAACATTTTGCATAGTATGCTGGGTAATCAAAAAATCCAAGATGGCGAAACATCATCCAGATCTGATCATGTGTAGGAAACAACCTGGCGTAGGTAAGATTCTGTTTGTTTTCAACGTGATCGTTTATAATCAACAGACTGACAGTATTATGTTGTATTTTCATTTTCAGCTATAGGTCGGCTGTGCGAAAAATGTAAGTGTATTTCAGTGTTTTCTGTGTCATCTTCTGTCACTTAAGTTTTGAGAGGACTGTACTGAACATTAAACGTTGAAGGCACAAATTCCGTCAAAGTGAATCAACTTATAGTTTATCACTGATGATCTCTATCCCGTGGTTTTAAGTACCTCTTTTGAATCCTCATGTCAACTTATTATTCGTAACCTATCTTCATGAAACGCTAACTGTCAAGCGTCACAATTATGTAAACACGTGCTTCAATGATCAACTTTATCATTAGTTAATTATAGAGGTCCTGGCTTCGGTTGTTCAAACTTTGGATAGCGCTATCCACCAGGCCCCGGTTGTTCAAACGTTGGTTAGCGCTATCCACCGGATAAATCTCTATCCAGCGGATAACGTAATTAATTTCCGTAATACTTATCCGCTGGATAGTTATTTATCCGGCGGATAGCGCTATCCAACGTTTGAACAACCGGGGCCAGAGAAATCACTATCCAGTGGATAAGTATTAGGGAACCAATAGCCAATAGCCTTATCCCTTGGATAGAAAATAATATTTAATGTATCTGGTCAACAGCGTTATCCAGGGGACTCTGCATATGAAAGGGGTGGAGATACTTGTCAGAAATTAAGAATTAAACCCCTGAGGGGGATCAATCTTAGCATGGCCCAAGCCTTTTTTAACCCCTAAAAGAGACCATGTTTGTAGCAGGGTGACTGGGAGACCTTTCGACGATCCAGAAGGAAGATGGCGTGTTGGTGGTGGGATCAATGTTCCAGTAAAAACTGAAATGGAAGCAGCTCAAAGCTCGATCAGGGAATTAAAGGACGACCTATTAAAACTTGGTATTAGGGCAAGAATCAAATAACAAGCTTGTGAATATTTTTAGCCGTGATCAAATAATCGTGTGTCATCAAATAATCGTTTTGTGTCAAAACAATGGACAAAGACGTCTTCAGCCAAGTTTCTGAGAAATACACTTTGGGGACAAAGTTAAACAATGGACAAAGACGTCTTCTTTAAGTATTGATGTTATAGAAAACTTGGATTATATGAATGGAGTAAATAAAACGAATTAAAAATTTGCATATCAAATATATATTTTTATATTTTTTTGCATGCAACCCTAAACATGACCTTCACGGCTAAATATGATGGCGTTTTGCCCAGAACACCCTAAGTGAGACCAAAAGCCGAAATTTACACCTCTAAGCGAGGCGACAAGCATCCCCACCCCTTTCATATGTGGAGTTCCCCCCCAAGGTGCTGTAATGCATTAGATTGAATCAGTAATGCATTTAACTAACTCTTGTACAGGTGATGGCAAATGTGTTATCTGCGACTCATATGTACGCCCATGCACTTTGGTGCGAATATGTGATGAATGCAATTATGGCTCTTATCAAGGTCGCTGTGTGATATGCGGAGGACCTGGTGTATCTGATGCTTATTATTGTAAAGAATGCACAGTTCAGGAAAAAGACGTAAGTGCTTTTTTTTTTTTTCTTATTCAAACAGCTTTGTTCATCAGGGCTGTGCTCTATCAGCACCTGGTGGTGTATGGTCCCCGTTGTTCAAAAGTTGGATAATGCTATCCTTTGGATAAATCCCTAACCACTGGATAATGCAATCGTTTTGTCTAGTACTTATTCGCTGGATAGTGATTTATTCATTGGATAGCACTACCCGACTTTTGAACAACCAGGGGCTGGTGCACAACTTTTGTTCTTGGGTGACTAGAAAATCTTAGTTTTTCATAGAAATCATATGTTGGGCATGAAAGTACAGCCTCCAGGGGTTTCAATAAGTTTCTGCACAAGTGGGTACTTAAGTTTATATTTGCAAGGCCAAAATTTTGAAGACTCATGCATTTTCAGGTCTTTTTTTTGTTGCTTTGTTGTTTCATTTTTTTGCTCCTAAGTCAACTAATTTAAACAAATTTGAAGAGAATTATGTTACAATGAAGTAGTCACAGTCAAAACCTATTTTGCCAAATTTTTTGGCAAGAATTCGAAGCTGAGATGAAATTATCTGGTCTTAGTTGACGTTCATGTGAAGGCTCCAAGCGGGTAATCGGCCCATTGCAAGCGGGTAGATCTACCCGCTACCCGGCTACTATTGAAACCCCTGAGCCTCAATCATACTTCTTCATATTAGTGAACTTACACAACAGGACAGGAGAGGAAAGAAGACGGCAAACTTTGTGTGACAAGCATGACAATGATTTTTTTAAAAATAAGTTTTCGCCGAACTTCACTTTCTTTTAAACAGATTTTTTTATAAAAGACTAGAAAACATTAATGATAGGTGAAGGGCACAACAAAACATGCAAGTAATAGCCATGTTGCCTTCCTCCTTGAAGTTTCAAATTGATTCGCACATTATCAGACTTACATTGTTATTTATTCTGAAAGTGAAAGGCTTAACTGAATAATAAATGTAATATTTCTCGTGTTCAATATAAAACAGGTTGCCTGGGCCTGGGTGTTGATAATTGTTGTGAACGATAATTATTATTTCTGGTTCTTTAAATTAGAAACTGTGTGGTTCACATTTATCATTCATTTAATGCAGAGGCTTTAAAAGAAATTTTTTACTTTCACAGAGAGATGGCTGCCCAAAGATTGTCAACTTAGGAAGCTCAAAGACTGATCTTTTCTATGAAAGGAAAAAATATGGCTTCAAGAAGAGATGACACTTTGCTAGCATTTGTTAGTAGCAAGCTTTTACAACATTACTGAACTGCCACTGTAAAGTAGCAAACCCTTGTTAAACCATAGCAAATGGTTTAACAATGGTTGGAAAGTTAGTGACGAGTGCAAAGTCAGCAAATGTAAATTGCTGCCGGTGAATTGTCCTTCTTGTTGACTACTTTGTGCAGTAGAGGTTTCTGCAGCCTGATCAGTACCGTACATGGTAACATTTTTGTTCCGTGTGAAGGCACAATGTTTATGCAGTTTCTTTAGTTTTCATCGTCTGTGTTCATGAAAGGAGTTCTGTCAATTTCCTTATCTGGCTAGGTAAATGTAACAGTCTTCTTTCATTTCCTCCAGGGAAGTTAGATCAAATAAAAGCCTTTGAACAATATTATTGCTTCACTGCGAGTTTTTAGTTTCAGGTAGAGGTCACATAAATTAATTCAAATCTATGGAGAATTAAGTGCTTTAAAACAAAAGAAAAGATTAGTAGATTAATGATAATATTTTTCTTAATATCTTAATCTCCATGGTTTATTATGCCCAAAATAATATTACCATATAAATTGCTGGTCAGGAAGAGTGGATAATATGAACCCCCAAGGGGATGGGGACTGGGACTCGGGACTGGGGAGTCCCAAAAAAAGGTACAGGGATGATAAACGGAAAATTATAATCAAACTCGAAAAGGAGACCAATGTGGACGTTGAGCAGGCTTTATTTGACCCCTCAATCAGACCAAAATCAAACATAGAAACCATGATAACTTGTGGTAGAGCTGTTGACATCAAATGCTGTCTTCTTTGGTTTCTTTTATTTGTGTAGAAGTTTTAATGAGTCTTAAATCCTAACCAATAGCTCTATTGACAAAAATAACCGGTGTAAATGGCAGTTTTGTCTAAGAGGGCCAATGGTCGTTAGAGTGCGAGCGGTCGTCCTTCTTTCCTCAGAGACACGGTCCGCAAGTGAAAAAGAAAATTATGCTCACAGTCTAAATGGAGATTACAAGAGAGCAGTTAGCTCGCGAGCAAGCTCTGGGGCAGGGTGAAAAAGGATTTTTCAACATTCGTCCCGCCGCCAGAGCGTCCCGGAGAGAGAGACCGGTGGAACAGCAAGGAGAATGGGGCGGAAACAACCAGAAATTTTGCAGCTCAGTTTCGTGGATTTGCCGCTCGCTTGACTCTCCCCGCCCCAACAAAAAGCCGCCAGCTATGCAGGCTAGAATAAAAATACAGTATTTGCCTGTCACACTGTATATTGCGGTCACTGGACAACTTCCCAAAATTTTCAGTTGCGTTATATTTTCTGCACAGTTAACTTGCTTTAAAATAGCGGTCACCCTGTATGTAACACTTACCTTGCCATTTCCGAAGGGTGACCGTTGTGCAAAGGTTTGACCGTATTGGCGGTGGTGGAAAGGGGAGGGTGTGAGGGGGTGTTTTCAATAGCGTGAGGAGCGTATTTCCACACCCACACCTTAAAAATAATCCCTTTTGAGTTTTCTCAAAGGAACTTACTCGAGGAAGTACGGTAAAAAAATGGAGACCTTGCTCGAGGGGGCAAAGACAGAGGAAGATGAAGGGCTTGAGGCTCGTCTGCAAGCACACTTTACTATTGATCGTTCTTCATATTTTTTTCTCTCAATTTCTTGCCATAATAAGGATACTTAGCAATAAAGTGATTGCCTGACCAACTACCTCTTACTCGAATAAGGACAATAAGAACCGCGACGTTTCGGCGCATGTGATACTTGATAGCAGCGTACATAAAAATTCCCTTTAGGTCCTTAAAAATTCGCGAATAACACTGCACCAAGTTTTTTTTTTCTTGCTAGGAACGTGCGGCGCTTATTCGGGGTGGTCCTTATCGGGGTCGAACCAACATTGTCATAGCCCGAGTATCAGACGTTTCTGGGGGAAAAGGGAAAAGATGGAAGCGAAAAAGGGACAGAGAAAATCTCCTCTCCCCTAGCCCGTTAGGAAGGCCTGATACTCGGGCTAACATTGTCATTGTACATGAAACATTCAGTCGTGATGATTTTAAAGAGGATCGTATTCTATGAGTTGTCAGCACGTCTTTTGTTTTACATTGCGCAATCGGTCATTTCAGACGCCCGACTTCGCCGATCTCTAAGTCCTGACGGGAGGGATCCTCATGGTAGTGAAGATTTCCGTTAAATTGAATACATGTAGTTACAAATACTGAATAACATTGGGGCACTCCATGCTAATCATTGCACTGAGATAGGTGCAAATACAATTCTCTTTGTGGCTGCGTGCCTCCTTAATTTCGACGCCTTCTCCGCAGGCTACTTCAGTAGTAGTTGTTGTCAATTCATCATTAGGCGGCGCTTATTTGAGTATATACGTAATGTGATTGTGATGATGATTCTTTGGGACTTTATGCGTCATTTCATTCCTTCGTAGATGCAACGGGGTTTTCCAATCAAGTGTTCCTTTAAATTGAGATGCCGGCGTTGACATTTTTTATGTCAGACGTGATGTTTTCAACCGTGTATAAATAAAGTTATCATTCATTCATTCATTCATTCATTCATTCATTCATTTAGTATGGTAAAAGTAGCAAGAACAACTTCACCCCAAATCAAGGTTGCCTATGAGTCCCGTTCATAATTGCACATCTTGGAACTGCGACGAATTTGCTTATCAGACAAGGAACGAGCCTATGTATACCTGAGGGAAGCACCGTAGTTCGAAGATAGGCAATTGTATTATTTGACAGGTCGCATAAAAATTCAATGGAAGTAGAGTTTTTAATATTGATCTTGCGAGATGAAAATGTCCTCTGCCCGGATTGGGGTTAGTCTGGCAATCCCGGCAATGTGGGGCCGCATTTTTACAAGGAAAGGGAGAGTTCATGCGGATATCCGGTCGCCGGCTCTAACCATATCTTACCTAATGTCTCAATACGGTACATACGTAATATAATAAAAACCATTGTAGTTTACAGTCAAAACCCCGGGGTCAAATTCTTTGTTTTTCTGTGCCCTTGCCAGTTTGATAACGTGTTGTGAAATAATCATGATACTAATCGCAACAGTGCAGTTTGGAGCCTTTAATAATAGTTGGTCTATCAGGTGGTGTATTATGCCTTACATTAGAAATATCCTACGAGATTAAAACTTTAGAAGGTGTAGTGCGTAAAAAAACATCGAAAAAACCGCGAAACGCTTCAGTGACCCTGCTTTAATTAAAAGGACATATTGATAAAGACTTGTAAGTGCGTATCAGAAAGACTCCCACGCCTTACACTGAATTTTCTTCGTCATTTTTGATTTTGCATAACCAAAAAATAGGGTCAAAAACTGAGCTAATTGTTAGATGGCGTCAAAAATAAGACAACTGTTGTGTTTTATGTTTCAGTTTGCTCTCACTATTTTGTGTTCATGATTTTCCTTTCATAGCGAATATATTTTAAAACAAATCACGTAAATTCTTGATACTTCAAGCTTTTTATATTTTCCGCCAAACACGTAATCACGTGACGCTGTTGTTGTCAATCAAGCAAATGTTGAGTGGACCGGCCGATTCATTGAGGTCTCGTACTTTGTCGCAGAAATTATGGTACCTCTGCCGCGCAGATAAAGACTCCGTCGTACGATCACGGGTTTCGGAGAGTACTTCAGCATGCAAGAAGTAAATGCGGAAGATGTTTACGATCATCTAAAAGCTGTATTCGAGGCTTGTGACCAAAATGGCGATGGCTTCGTCAAAACACAGGATCTCTTGCGGCTTGGCCAAGAACACTCCAATGGTGGCTTTGAGGTGCAATTTCCTTTTTACTGGTTTTGATTATGTTACCCGTTAGTTATTTGGCAGTAGAATTAAAAGCTAATCGCTGTAAACTGGACTAAAAGTTGCCGGAAATTTGGAGTCCTCGTTTTTCAGGCGGACTATCCCGCAATCTCAAAGTCGTGTCGATTTATTTACTTGGCTTCTCCATCAGTATCATTTAGGATACTACATTTTACTTGATTCTTGTTTTTCGGGAGGTTAGTGTTTAGCTCCCTAAAACTCACGTTTATACTATCATAAGAGGTTATTACTTGGGTGTGTTTTAAACTTTCGAAAACAACAGTTTCTGTCTGTTTTAAAGACTCACTCCAGTTAGTTTACTGTTAATGTTGTGACAAGTATAACGTTTTGACTGAAAATTGATCGTCTTCTTATTCTGTAAAGAGGCCAGCTTGCTCGAAAATCGTAAGGAATCTTTTTTCTGGAAAAGTAATAGGTAATATCACTGAGGGAACAGTCCCGAAAAATATTGAAACATCAAGCTTACGATTTTAACTGCCTTCTGCCTTGAAAACGACATCAATTTAGCTAATTGTTATTCGTTCTGTCCCCGTCTCTAGGAGATGAAAACCCTAATCGAAAAGCTAGATCCTGACGGATTTGGAAGAATAAGTTTTGATGGGTTTTGCAAAGGAATTCACGAATTTCTTGGTGAGTTAAAGTACAACTTCAAAGGTGGTAAAACGTGTATCACCGTATCGATATTGCGTTATGTTCTAAGCTATGTCTTGCCCGTCACACAGCGATGAAAAACAACTTTATTCGCGTTTTGGTCGACCTTTTAAAGGTTTTTTTGTAATTGGAACTTCTTTCCATTCAAGGGGTTAACGGAGACGTGAATATGAACGGGGACAAAGATGCAGCCGATTTGGCGATTGATTCAAATCCCTGGCTTGTTTTACCACTCGATAGCGACCAACAGGAAGAAACTCAAGACAGCTGTTGTGAGGTTAGTTTATTGTTCATTTTGAAATTATTCGTCTCTAGAGGAGCAGCAAATCTAGCTTATTTTAATATGTTCAAAAATGTTTCGAAACTTTCAAGTTTCGAAAGCCAAGAGGAAGTGGACGGTTGTCAACAGTTCAACGAAATTGTTTACATTTTCTGGAGCGAAACAATAAAGCCATTAACATTGTGCAAATTTATGGCTCTTCTTAAAATTACCCCACTGGTTATTGACTAACAGGCCTTTGCATGCACTTAAACTCTGTTTTTATGAGGTCACTCAACTGATGAAATAAAATGGTAAGTCATGCTCTCCTGCTCATAGAATCATGTTGTAAAACATTTAGCAACTGATCTAACAGTCAATCAAAAATCCTTGTAAAGCATATTGTACTGTAGAGATACAGAAGAATTCCAATTTCCGAAAGCCTTGGTCTCTCAAACCTTCTGATGATTTAAGCCAAAACTGACTTCCTTTCCCCAGGAAAACACTGTAATAATTACATACCTCTTAGTAATTTAACCCCGATTTCCTTTTACCTAATACTTTTAAGAAGTTGGGATTTTTTCCATTTACATAGGCAAATTGGTTGGTTCAGTCTTTGGGCAATCGGTACTCAAAATTCAGGACCGGTAAATTTCATCCCTGAACCGGATTTGCCATTTGCACAAATTAGTTCCACTTATCTCAAAACGGCCACAAAACCTGCAACTGGTGTCAGAGGTCTCAGAACAAATAAGACAAAAATTTTGATTGGGGCCATTCTGACGGGAAAAACAGGAATACCTTTTCAGGAATTCTGTTTCTCCCAGGAAAATTTTCCACTGGAATGACTGCAAAGAGCTGTGTTACTTTTTCAACTGGATTTGTCGGAAATTTTAGGAAAAGGTAAACAACCAAGAATTCCACAGAGTTCTCTAGAAGCTTCAGCAACCAGTCAGACTTGCCATTCACCAGAGTTTTGACCTTGTTGCAATCGTATTTGTTTCTCAGAATTTTGTTCAATTAAAATAAAGCAAATGCGGGTGAATAGAGGTGTCATCCCCCTGGCTAAAATTCCTCCCCATAGTTGCTCAAAGCGTACTGAAATGCATTTTCAGCTGTTCTATGTTAAAATGTGCGTCTACTCTAGACAAGACACTGATGTACTTAACCTTTCCCCTTTATCACAAATCAGTTTGCCATGAATAATACCCTGTTCTTGACAAAATGTCTCTGCTTTCTATACTCTACCCTAGACAAACCGGTATTGCAGCATATACCTATATAAACTTAATAGGGCATTCCCCCCCCCTACCCTACCCTAGACAAACCAGTATTGCAGCATATACCTATATAAACTTAATAGGGCATTCCCTCCCCCCCTGCCCAGGAGTGGTTGTTTGAGTAAGATGGCCTTCCAGGTTATCCCTTGTAGTTAAGTGCTCATTTGCTGATACCGACCTATAGGAGCCATTAGGTAGGGATCTGTATTCTCTTTGTTGATACATAATCTGAAGTACATATGTATCATTTAATGATCTGGAGATATGTGAGTCATTTGCTGTCACTTTTTATAACATATTTTTCCAATCGGTTTGATTTCAGCGTGACAGCACATACAGCACAACATCCACTAATGAATACAATGGTGATGATGATGAGAACTTTCCAGATGATTTACAAGTGTCAAACTTTAATCGTAATCAAAAGCAATACTCTACATTTCCACCTCCCACGTTGTCACGGTTAAAACATCGTGCCACGCTGCCTACCATGAGTGTTGATGTGTACAGTGACAGATGCTCACACTCTGATACAAGTGAATACCAGTCTGAAGAAGGATTTGAGGGTTATGGGGAGAGCTTTAGTGAGGATACAACATTTGAAGATAGCCCGACTTTAAGAAGAGAACACCAGGTTGCAGAACGAATTATAAGAGGGTGAGCATAAGATGTTACTTGAAGGTCGTAGTCAACTCCCTCAGCAAGGCAGGCACCACTAGGATCATTACTACGTGTCCATCCAAGAGGGGTGTCCAGCTTGTAGTGTCAAGTAAAAATGATTGAGGAATGACAAGGACCAAATCTTCCTGTTTTTTAGGGAGTCATTTGTTTGTTATGCATTTTATTGTATCACCCTGATACCACTGGTTCCTAAAATTGTATTTGCTTAGTAGATCATCAAGGAACTTTTAAGAGAGATTTGACTGTATCCCTACATTGTCCCATACAATAAATAATGCAAATATAACCAAATTTCCTAGAATTTTCTTGCAGAATGTGCTCAGCCTGCTGCTTACACACTGTATAGGCTACCCAGCTACAGTACTTGCGACATGACTGCAAGTACTGCCTGTAATACTGTTCTGATATAAGAGCAGAAGTTTGCCAGGAAGAGAGGCCATCCCAGTGATGGCTTCTGCTGTTGGCGGCTACAGCTATTTCAGTTAATTAACGTTGTCAGATTTAATGGCCTCAAGCCTATGTGGCAAGACTGCAAGGTCATGTGGGTAGCTGCCCGGGGTAGCTGTAAATCCCTTAAAGTTTGGTCTTAACGTTACAGTTGTCAGTTCCATGGAATTTTTTTAAAGAAATTTCCCTTATTTCCTCTTGGTCTTGTTATTACTGCGCTTTTCACAAACATGCGAACTCTAAAGTTCAAAAGCCGCCCTCACAATTGCGTTTTTTGCTGCCCTCAGTCATAATTACGATCACAAGCAACAAACATTGAAACACAGAAACACCCAAAACGGATCGAAATCCACCAATGGCAAATCCCATACATAACCTTTTGAACCCGTTGAAGTAAAGTTTTGTTTTCTAAGAGGTCCACTAAGATGATTGACGGCACAGTAAGCGCAGTAAGGCTTTCTGACAATGTCTAATTATCAAAATAGCTGTATGTTATCATATGTCAGAACAGTACTCTGGGTAAGACCAGCTGCTAGGTCACAAACTTGTCAGCAGGATATGAGAACCAGGCATTAGCCTTGAATACTTTGATGAAAAGGTTACTAACAAATACAGTTGAACATCCATATGCTACCACCTCTCGTTAGCGACCAGCTATCTAAAATACCAAAGTGTTTCAAGGCAAAGCCATACAATATTGAAACCTCTCATAGATCTGTAATGATGGTGTTACAGTGTAACCTCTCCTTACGGAGACCTCTACAATACGGACACCTGTGTATTACGGACAGTTCGTTTGGTCTGAGGAATGTCAAATATCATACATTCCCTATACCTCTATAATACAGACACCTCTGTAAAGCGGATACTTGGTTCTGTCCCTTTGGTGTCCGTATTAAAGAGGTTTGACTGTATAATAATCCATTGTTATTAACTTGTTGTTAGAGACTGCTTGACTCAAGGTCTGATGTCTATGTTTGCTGTATGTATTTTAAGTGATGACGTGGAAGTGCACCAGCTTTTGTAACTTTGAAATTGTGTACAATGAATTGTTTGCCAACAAATAGAAGTGTCTGGACCTTTACTCGGAAAAGACCATCTGTTGTTCGATTCCCATTAAGAGATCACCTCCCGTAAGCAACCACTGAATCTTTGCATTTAGGATGGTCATTGATAGGAGGCTCAACTGTATACATAAATGATAAATCTTAGTTGCAAATAGCCTGGTCAGATTCAGAAGTGCTAAGGGTTAATTAGTTGATAAGAATGTCTTGTTCTTCTTAGCTCTGGTTCAAGAAAAACATCAGCTGCAGCAGCTGCCTTCTCAAGGTGAAGTGACTGATTAACTTTGAAATATTATTGTTTTTGAAATGAACCTAACTTAATTCCATGCTAATATTACTGACGGTGCTGAAACTATTTTTGTGAAATCATGTTTTGTTCTGTGAAATTCTCTTTTCTAATTATATGATTGTAGTGCTATGGCAGAGGCTGATTTGATGCCCATCACAAAGATCTTGATCACATTTTACAAACATAATCTCTGTCAAGAGGGGTACATTTATTGTCCATGGCCCACATACACTATTTTAACTATTGTTCAGCCATCATTACAGGAGAGCCAATTAAGCACTTGTAAAATACCGCTTCTGATTGCTGACCAAGCCAAAAGATGCGAATGGATTAACAAAGATCTATCTTCTTTTTGTTACCAACAGCCACAATATGCATCTGTTTAAATGCCACTCAGAAAACCCCAGCCGACACAACAGTTTTGAAGATCTGATGGGTGATAGGCCTCTATCAGACAGCGAAGCTAGCACCTCAGTGTTTCTTCTCTCAGAGGTGTGTTACATAAAACAGAAATGATTAATAAGTGAAACAAACTCAAGGCTGTGCTGTAAGAAAAACTGAAGGGAGCCCAATGCTCTGAACCTGTGAAATCTAAGGTTCTTGACTTGTGATTTCTATCAGAAAACTAAGATTTTCAAGTTGCCTAGGAACAAAAGTTAGGCACCAGGAGCCACTGGGCACTGCTAGAGCACAGCCTTAACACTGTTGTATTTTGATAAAAAAGGTGTGTGCTTTTTAAAAATCCACATTGTTTATCTTGTTCTTGTAGCTTAAAAGGTTGTCATCACAAGTGTCATTATTACAAGAGGACCAAGCTCTGCACACAAACAAACAGACAAAAATACGAGATGAAAACAAGTTACTATGTACAAGGTAAGCTTAGAAGCTGCTCTTTTTAGTATCTCTTTTCTGAAACAGCCATGATCTGTCTTTGTACAAGTTTCAACCATCTTAGTTTTCATGGTGATAATAACCACTGTTCAAAACTGTCACCTTTAATTTTTGGTTTTGTTTTTTGTATTGGGGGTGACATTGATTAGTAATAGTCCACTTAATGGCATCACCTGGTAGTGCGTTTTTGTCCATTTTCTTGATATATAGTCAAATCTACCACGACCACAGCCCTAAATAAATTGATCATTAAAAGGAAAAATTCAAGAGTAAGTCTTAACTTTCTCCTGCTCTGAAACAAGCAAAATAAGATTCTCGGAGACAGGAAATTACTGCAGAAACAAGGGTTTGAGACCATTGAACAATTTTGCATGTTTTTGTATTTTCAAAACAACCTTTCTCCATTGCTAATAGAAATTACAATTTCATACAAAACAAACAGTTCATATAGATCTTGTCCTTGATTCTTTGCTGTGAAAAGGGTGTTGTTACAAGAAAAATTGTAAAAAAAAAAAATTGTAAATATCTTGTGAAGCTTGTTCTTTGGTTTTTGTGGTTATATATTTCAATGTGTTTTGAAGTATAATAATTAATTAGAAAATAGTTTCCATTGTGCTGTTAGCAATTAATAATGTCTTAATGATTTTGCTGTTAGTCAATGTGTCTTTTGCTTTAGGACATAGTTAATCACAGGAGACATGACCATAAAATGTACTTAGCTATCAAAAGACCATAAGTAACTATCTGCTAAATGAAAATATTAGTCAATTCATGGATCATTAATCATAGACACTGGAAGAATCTCGGACATTACAAAACATAACATTAAGATTGCGTGTCAGAAGCTGAGTTTTTAAAGTTATGACATCAGTACTCAAGAATTGGTCATGTTTTAATAATAATTAAATTCTGCTGTCCTAAGTTTCAGTTTGGTGTAAATCAAGAATGACTTTTTGTAATCATCTTAACAGTAGTGATGTATATTGTCATTTGCTTTAAATAGAACACAGATTCTATATGTTATAGTTAAAAATAGCAGTGGCAGCCGTTATGCTATGATTTCTTATTACTTTTTGGTTTCCGCCAAAAAAATCAAAACATGACTGTGTCTATGCTGCAGAGCCTGTGTTTTCAAGTTCCTTTCTCTTTTTTCATGCAATCTATTGTTTTTGTCATTTTATTTTTATGAAGCTTTATTCTAGCTGTTTCCCTGGTGTTTTCAAGTACAATACTTCAAAGGCTTATTTATTCAAAATACCCACTGCTGGTCATATATTCACAGAAACCCTTTCAGTTTCCATGAATATTTATGAACATTTAATATTTATTCAAGCAGACATCTGCTTTACAAATTTGCATAAAAAGGCAATGACATGAAATTTGTTTCCTTGTTTTGAATAACACGGTTGAAAACCAGTAGTGAAAGTTAAAATTTTGAGCAGAGAACACAATGGTTTCAATGTACAGTCCTGGTTTGGCTGTGGTAAGTCTATAATGTGATGTCTTTCCTGTTCTTTTAACAGCAGAGAATTGTGTGAATTATATACAAAGAAAGATATGTTATTACTACTGAAAATGTTGTAGGAAAATCCTGCTTAATTTTTGTTTTTCATGTTGTACCTTTTGTGGGGCTACATGGCAGCTTATCAAATGTATCTGAAACATTCTTTTCAGATTTTAAGTAGAAGAGTGATATTTGATTCAACTACATCCTTTTGCCATGGGAAATAAACCAACCTTCAAATTTGGCTGAGAGATATTTATGTCAGTGTATGTGCTAAAGTTTTTACCACAGAAACTTTCTTTTGAAATGTCTTGTAGTTGGAAAGAGAAATTCAGATCACCTTATTTTTTGGCATGATGTGATGATTTTGAAAATGAAAGCTCTCATGGACCCTAAAATATTTGTCAAGTTCGGTTGTATTGAAGTTCATTTAAATTGAGATTAGAAACTGATATTTTGCCTGTCAGGAAATAGTGTCTGTACCTGTCAAAATCCATGCCTCAGTACAGATGAAGTCAAAGAATTTTTTTCATACTGTTGTGGTATTTTAAAAGTTGCAAAAATAATACAACTTGAATTATGTAGCGAGGAATATTCTACAAATTGTGATTTACATAATATGGTTAACCATTATTGTTGATCCATGAGATGTCCATTGATTGTTAACGTTCCAGTTTCTTAAAATTTGTTTTTAAAAAATGTGCAGTGGTATTTGCCTGTGTTCTCAAAGTATTGTTTTGAAAACCTTTTTCTACCTTCATGTACCTTCCCTCCTACCAAAAGCATTTCCTATTATATTTTATGTCCATCAAATTGTAAAGTAAACCAAAAGCTATGTTTTGTAGCATGATTACTGATATAAAAGAATGATGTGAACGATTTGGTTTTCTAATAATTCCTATGGTGGCAGTGTACTGCAGCTACATGCACTGTGAAGCTGTTGAATTTAAGGCTAATTTTTCTCCATAGAATGAACAATAATTGATCTCATTTATTAATGTAAAATATCAGCTTTAAGTCCTTGGAAAAAGGTGGTAAAAGATACGAAAAATATTAATGGTACTAAAAGCTCAAAACAGATAATCTCAAAATTTACATTAATATTGTATTATAGAAATAATGATATCATTGTGCATGATGTTGCTGTCAAAAAAAATAACTCATACATACTGTTTCAGAAAACGTTTAGAAAATGCACGCTTGTTATCAAATGGTCCCAAGCTCACAAATTTTCATATTGATTTGCATTTTGTTGACTTAAACTTGTAAAATGGTCACCTACCTCAAGATATTGGTGAATAGGAAAAAAACTAATAATGAAAATGATAAAGGAAAAAAAAGGACTGAAACCATAAGAATCAAATTTCAAGTTGCACACAACATTTCAAGGCCGCAGTATGTGGAAAACAAAGAGGCAAATATATAAAGAAAATGTTATTAAAATAAAATTTTATGAAGAGACTGTGAACTTTTACCAATGAAAACACTACAACTTGGCACATTCCTGCCAAGCACATCTTTGACTAAATTGGCATCTTTTTAGTGGTTTAATTATTTCTAACTCCTCTTTCAGACTAGGAATCTACAAGGTGGTCATCACTTGGAGCAGTGCATGACTGATGAGAAACCAATATTTAACAGCATGATAAAATTATCTTTTGTTTTCTATCAATAATTATTGTATCATAAGATTAAAAAAACTCAGGTATCATAAGATAAAAAAACTCAGAGTTGGTTTACTTTACTGAAATTTTACAATAAAGAGCACGTAAAGTAACAGTTGATAAGGTCAAAGAGGTTACCGGTATTTTTTGCCATTAAGACATTCAAAAGGTGATGCTTCTTGAAAGAACTACATTGTAGCTCTTCATTTGATGACATCAAAATAACAAAGTTGACCACATCTTTTTTCAATTTTGGTTTTTGTCTGCACATATTTATTTATGTATTTTAAAATAAAAAGAAAGACGGACAAGGAAAGGAAAGTTGTATGACTAGGGGGGGGGGGGGTGGGGGTGGATTATTACTGCAAAATTTTGAGGGTAGCAACAGTCAATAGCATAATTTTGGAATTGGCCCCTTTGGGGATTTTAATTGTTATTTAGTGATAATTTTATTGGAAATTTTACATATAATCAAGTACGGTATAAAATTTTTAAAAGCAGTGAGCAAGATATATAGACAGTTTGTAAAAAGGTTGTTTACTCAAACCTGGAGATATTTGATTTAGGTGCTTCAGTATTTGACAATCAACTTTGGCTTTGTACCATTTTTTTCATAGCCTTTCTCATCTTTTTTTTTCAATTTCAGAATAAATGCATTAGAAGAACAACTTGAAAGTCAAAAACTCACAACAGGAAAACAAGTTGAAGAGGAAAGTTTGAAATACAAGTTGGCATTGGTAGGTTTACCATCTATTTCCCAGCTTAGCAATCATGACTCTTGAGCCGTAATAAGTTTGACATTTAACAAAATTTTATGATCCTAACCCTGTATCATTCAGGCAGTGTGTCGCATAAGTGTTGTCACAGTGGTTCAATAGACCAGTTCCCATATATTAAAATAAAACTTGGTTTCGAGGCTTGGAGGAATAAAAAAAAAGAAATCATCTTGAGGTTCAATAACAAACAATTATTCCTCAAGCCCGAATAGGCTCTGAGTCAATAGCCCATAAGGTCAAAAGCCAAATGGGCTATTGACGCAGGGGCCATGGGGGCGAGAGGAATGATATTGTTAAGGAAACTTGTTTTAGGAAAATCCAACTAGTTAGTGAAAAATATCGAGACAAAACAACTTTAGCTAGCAAAACGTGATTCAGCCGCCATTGTTTTGTTTTCCAATGCTGGCGCTTTTCGCTACTAGTGGGCTATTTAACATATAGCCTCGTAGTAGCTCAACCAATCAGAATGCAGCATTAATAATAGAGCACTAGTTGGATTTTACTGATGAATAATACACAATGTTCCCCTTATCAGGTAGCAACCTGTAACATTTACCACCTGAAGCAACACTTTTTACATTCTTGCAACAGCTTGAAGGCTTACTACGATTAAATGAGTAGTTTTAAAAAATATGCAAGTTGAGATCCGATCCGATCAAGGAAATGAATGAATATATGGAACATACTAAAGTATACACAGCTTTAAATTGTTGTCTGAAGATAACAATGCCCAATTTACATAAAATAGGTCTTAAAATGAGGGAATTATGTTTCAAGAACTTAGCTCCTCTTAGGGTGGGACCACGTGCCTCACTCCACTACCCCACTCTCCCTCAGGAAAATGTACCTCTGGGGCATATTTTTTCCTTACTGGCCATGAATGGTCCCTTACCTGCTCAAGCCAAAATTAGGGAGAACACTGAATACATTTTTTTTGTTCTATTCCCCCAAGCCTCGTAGCCAAGTATGAATTTTAATATATCAAAAATGGTCTATTATATCCTTGGTTTAAATTTTAAATTACTTTGTTTTAAAGTTATTGTAATACATTATCATACCCTAATTTACACCTCTTGTTCATGAAGAAAATGGCCTGTTGAAAAAAGATAATATTTTTGAGAGCTTGCAATTGAGTAAGGTGTTGATGAGTAGAAGACATCTTGAGAATCTAATATTTTATGTAAATGAATTAGATGATGATGTACATTGTATTGTACTTGGCAAGGAGGTGCTGTTTTGATTGAACCAAGAAAATAAATTATTGGTAAAAACTGTGTCAAATCCTTTTTAACCCTAGCCGTATCCCTGTCTATTCAATATTTTCTAAAAACTGTTCTTTTCCCCTCCCCCCACCCCGCTCTCCTCTCTCCTGATCCTCCTTAGCATTTAGATTTTTTTATTTTTTGTCAAAAACTCAGTGAAGATGGCATATCAATACTTTCAATTCTTTTTCTTCAATTTTAAGTTCTGTTTTGTTTTTGTTTTTTAAATATTTTTTTTATTTACTTTCTCAGAACAAATTAGAAAGAGAGAATGAGGAATCCTTAAATGTACTAAACAGAAAGTAAGTATCTTCACAATTCTTCTTTATGAAGCCAATTAAGTCCTTTTTATGAAATGAATATGTTATTTCCAATCAAATCTGGCTTTAAAAACATTAAGCATAAAGGCCAAAGTACCATGTCAAGATTAAGAAGGAAAGGACTGCAAAGCTAAATTGACAAGTTGAACATCCTGCCGTTTTAGACTTTATTAATTTTCTTGTTAGTCTCTCTTTATATTTATTTATGCATTTATTATTTTTCAACAAACAATAAATACAGCATTGTTGGTTAAAAGTAAAAAGGGTAAAAAGATGTTATGTTATGTCGGTAGCTTGAAATACCAGTAGTCATTGTCTCAGTGAGCAGGGTTCATACAGAGTCTTGAATTCCAGATTTGGAAAAAGTCTGGAAAAGTCTGGACAAATGGTAAAACGTTTAAACTTTTTTTTCAAAGCTACACCAAGTGTTAAATAAGTGAAATTTTTCCCATGGTCAAATCATATTCAATCTTGCTTGTAGCCAAGACATTCAATCAGAGAATGAGAAAATTCAGAACAGTCCTAAGTCTGCATGCACTATGGTTACTGTATGTTTGCTTTGCGTCATGGAAAAAGCCTGGTTTCTGTGTTATTCAAGGTCTCTTTTTATAACCTAGAGTCTGGAAAAAGGAATATTATCCTTTTGGAAAAAAGTCCGTATGAACCCTGTCTGAGTAACAAAACAGATGATGCACTCATTTTACCTTCCGCTCTCCATCTCTTCTCTGTTTGTGGGTCTTTAAAGCTACTTTATGAGACACAAAAAGGAAAGAAGTCAAAGTAAGGATTTAAGGTCACACCTGAGAATTACACCTGGAACCTCTCACACAGAAGGCTTGGCACACTAACAAACTGTGTGAATCCTTGCTTCTGCCGTTCTGGGCTAATCTTTTAGTTATTCCTTTTTTGAAAGTTTTAAGACAAAATTTTGCTTGCCTTAAGATTACAACAGGCTGAAGAAGAAATTGAAAGACTCAAGAAAGTGGAGCCTCTTTTAAGAAAAGAACTTGACATTTGTCAAGAGGTTAGTCAATACCTCCTCTTCCTTTTTCTTGCTATCTATTGTAGTTACATTACTTGATAGTTTTGATACCAATTTCTTGAGTGGATTCAATTTATGTGCATGAAATTCTTTATTAAATCATTTACAATTCAATCAACCACTGTATTTCCTCGAATAAGCACCCATACTCTAATAGGCGCCGTCTGTGAATAAGCGCTCACCCCTTAGGCCATATTATCATACAACCACCCCTCTCGAATAAGTGCTCCCCTCCCCTCCCCCTCACTCTCTTATATAGTATGGGTCAGAGGAATGCAAAGGTCTGCTTATCATTGACAAGGATGATCTCAAGGATGGTGAGATTGTCAATATTTTATAAACATGCATACTGATACATCTGTGTGTGAAGTATTCAAATGGGACTGTGGCATCTTCAATTACCAAATACTTTTTTCACAAACAAATTAATAAAGTTACACTTCGTTGAAAGGAAAACTTAATAAGCGCCCTCCTTCTGATAATAGGGAGCTTGAGGAAAAGCGTTTTTGATCAACGGACGTCAACCGGAAGTGAGGCATTTTCCCTCTCAATATGCCTTGATGATATAAAATTTGTATTGCTTAGCTTCTTTACTCTTATAGAGACGACTTGACTGAAAATTTCGGCAAAATCGTCGTTCAAAAATTAAAAAAGGCTACTTGCGGTTGACGTGCGTCATTGCTTAAGTTCCCTATTTGCCCCTCTGCTCCTTTTAGCCATGATTTTGAGGAAATATGCTTTTAATATACTGCCATGCAACTTTGCAAAATTGAACATCATTATTGCAGGATAAAAGAAGACTTCTAAATCAGGTTGATAGTCTTGAGCTCGCTCTTCAAATAAAAGCTGATGAAGTTAAGGAGCTGAAAGGAAAGCTTGAAGCTGAGGTGAAAGGAAGGCTGGAGGATCAGGATCGTCATGAACAGGTCAGTTGGGATCCTCTTTGAGTATCCAACATTTTTTCACTCTTTCCCTCCTAAGCATACAAAATGAAGTTTACAATGTTGAAATATAATAGAATTTTTTGTAGAATACTGGAAAACAAACGGTGCAATGTAAGAGAACAGCTTAAGAGATTTAACTTGAATGGTTTCACCAGTGGATTTTATCCACAGTCTCAAAAGGTAGAAATATATTGAAGAGTACTAAATGAAAGTAAATCTGAAGATGTTTCCAGCATTTGATTAGTCACACTATAGGATTTCATCAACAGATTCAAAAGTCGAGCTACATTTCTTGCTTCCCTGCAGTGGTAGCGGTTTATGGTGAACGGACCGCACTAATGTCCTATCAAGACAATCGTGGCTAACCCATGAGTTTGAACAAGATTTCATTTTCATTCAAGTTGGTACCAGTCCTATGTATAGTAGGTGGTAGTGACTTAAAATCTTGCACTGTAAGGCCTCATTCCTCTAGGTCAAGGTCTGGGGATGTGCCACCCTCACCTCCCCTTGCTGCCTCCTATCCAGAAAATTTTGAAATCTGCAGGCTTGAAAATGTAATTTCCATTGTAAACCATTCTAAGCATGAAATTGATTCAAACGTGTGATAGCCGAAAGACTTAATAATTATAATTGCAGGGTATTGTATCATTATCACTTACATGGAAATATGTTTTCTCTTTCTGTTTCGTTTAGGAGCTCGCTTTAGCCAGCGAACAGTTGGTAGAACTTGAAAAATTCAAACATGAAGTAGAAATAAAACTCAAAGAGCATCAAAATGTGGAACAACAAAAAACTGACCTAGAGAGACATGTTCAGACATTGATAAAGGTAACATACTAAATAGAGATGAAAGAGTGGCTTTGTGAATTCAACCCCTTCTCTTTTTTTGTTGGGCAAATTGTCCTTTTCAAAAGAGAAAGTCATGATTTTGATAAAGTTTACAGAGTAAACTCATTACACGTTGTTTCTTAGTGTGCAAGAGATTTTAAACATCCTAATGAGAACTACCTCGTTACCTTGCATTTCATGATTCGCTCATATTTGGTTACAAATAATTGTAGTTGAACTATCAGATTAGGTTTGCTACGTCGTTGTCATAATCATGTTGATGTCCTAGCTGGAAAATTTGCGGAAGATAACAGTCGAAGCTCTTGTAAGCGACCTCCTCGGAAATTTGAAAAAGGGATCGTAACTAGAGCTGGTCACTTACGAGAATGAGCTCTCGTAAGTGACCACATGGTAAAACAATAGAGGGTGGTCGCTTATGAGAGCTTCAGAAACTCATTAATAATTCATAAAGAACAAAAAAACCAAAAGAAATTAATGTTTAATGAGTGTCTTTATAGCTGATATAGACGCAGCTAAACTTTACGTCCAGTTTCTTAGACCATCAGTCCAGTGTGTAGTCTTATTTAAGTGTTGATTTTTATGAATAAGACTCTGAGTGGTCACGTACAAGAGCTTAAAAACAAAGAAAAAGTCCAGTTGGGTAATCTAAAATGTGTTCGCGGTCGCTTATGAGAGCTTTTCATTACAGAAGTTTATCTCACAGTTCAAACGGGGTTTAACAAAGGTGGTCATAACTAGAGCTGGTCGCTTATGAGAGTGGTCCTAAGGGGAACTTTGACTGTATCTAGAGTACTTTGTTTTGAAGAGCTCCGATACGGAGTCTCTGACAGCCTGACGGTCTTTTACTGCAAATGGAATTGGTCAGCATGGTTTGATTTCTGTCAACAAGTATTTTAAAATGGAGCCGTTGAAATGTGGCATCAACATAATAATTTCTAGGCTGAGTCTCCAGCCGTGTTTGTTTTGATGCTCCCTCGGTATTCTGGGAAGTACTGGGGGGACATCAAGAAACCCATGGCTGGGGACTGAGCCTATATGATTTCTAGAGATCCCTAAGGAGAATACTTATATTGAGCTTGTGTATCTGCTCTTGGTCTAGGAAAACTTAGGCTTAAAACACTCCAAAGAGGAACTCAACTTTCAGCTGCATCAGGATGGATATTTTGGTGCCGGGCAGGTAGGTGTACAACAAACATTAAATTATTAAGTGTTACTCAAATTCTAAACAAGTTACGGTGATTGCTAAGTTCTATTATTTTATGGCTAGCTCCGCGAGCGGGCGAGTTGAATCAAATCTTGTGTCCTTTTTGGCTACCCAAGCGGAAACGATGGGCCCATCTTGCTCGCTTGGAATCCTTCACTAATCAGTACTATGTCCCGATCCTCTGATGTTGTTTTGGCCATATAATAAATCTGTTATTGACCAAGCGTGACGTCAAAAACACCAGAAAGTATTCGGCCAGTAAGTATCCAACCTTAATGACCTCACGATTGGTCAATAAGCCACATATTTTAAGTTGCATTTTCCACGCTTCTCTCTATTCATAGCAATTAGAGAAAGGACTGATCGTGACCTCCTCTGCTCAATGCCGTTCTGTCATTGTTTAAGCCGGTTTGACGATCTACGCTTTGCGCGCGCCGTTGCCTCTTGTCGTTTTGTTGTCTTTATTGGGGACCTTCACGATCTGACAAAGGCGACGTCTATGAAAACTTCGTTGAAAAATAGACTTCGCATCCTTTCGAACTTCTTCGTGTCCGAGTTCAGACAGAGATGGTAGAATTTATCGCATTGCCGTCCCCGTTCTCAATTACACTTGAAATTTGGCCATTTCACGTCGTAGTTGTTGTAGGGACGGCAAAGAAACTTAATACGAAATAGCACGATTCACGTGTAGAGTTGTTTTTTTTTTTTGCTTATTAAACCTATTGCTTTTTTGACGATACCGTTGCTGCCCCTCCTAAATCTTCCTAGTATGACTATTCACACGTAGTGTTTCAGAACCTCAAATAAATAGTGGTTGAGTGATTCTCGCTGACTTTTTAAGCCATAAGAGCACGCAGGGTGAAACCCTGCCCGGTAAAAATTTCCCCTTCCACAAAATACAATTTTGTTGTTAATATTGTTCTTGTTTTGAACCAAGCAGCAAGGATCACTGGCCGATGAACTCGTCACAGCTGACAAAGAAAAAATCATAAGTACCCTGAGAGACCAAGAGGAAGAAAACAGAAGACTTAGAAGCTACCTGGATGGATTATTAATGATGATAATGGAACACAATCCATCATTATTGGAACTTCAATAACAACCGTTATTACTCCTCGCCTTTGTGTCTTCTTTGATTAAGGTGGTTCACGACAGTCCTCTGTAATTATTTTTTATCACGTGTATTTTAATGGATCATCAATGCCGCCCATTCTCTACCAGCTGTTGCTATGGTGATGTTGTTGAACACATGCTCATTGATCAGTGAACATGATGTGATCAGATTGGCGTCATAATTACTAAAGCGTCTTTATAAATGCCTTGTCTTAGCTCCAAATTCCTTGATACTTCGCAAGTTTCAGAGCCAGCATAAATTTTCAGAAATTGAGGGTGGCCCCTAATGCCTAACAACGTTTTTTTTTTTTTACTTTACAAATGTTGTAATCCAGTTGCAATATATGATATTGAAAATTGTTTTTGTGTTAGGAGCGCTTATAGCTTAAGGTTTTTTTGACAGGTTATGGCAGCAATCTGTCCACCAAGCCGAGTCAGTATATTGATTTGATGCCATTATTGTAGCAGGCTCTGATCATAGAGAATGGTAGTAACGATCCATTAAAGTAGCAATACATGATACTGCTGACAACCACCTTAAATTAAATGCAAAGTAGACCAAAAACTTTTTATACACATACATGAGGTGATCAAAACGACCTTTTAAAGGGTATTGATATGGTGAAAATTGCATGTTTCTGTTCAAAGGACAGTTAGATTTTCTACAAAACTACAAAAATTTTAAACTGCAGACATAACGTTGAGGTCGTTAGTAACATAGTTTATAAAGGTCACGCTTTCCATTTCTATAACGCAGCGCTTGCTGGTGACGTTTAAAAAGCATAACACCATTTCCTTTGATTCAGAAACTTAGTTGCGTGACCCCTCAATACATTAACCATCCATATGCTTTGCAACGATTGCCTCCATTTTTGCCAACCTCGACTTCAGGGCTCTTCTCTAAAGGAAAAACCCTGGGTACAAGATTGAGCCCAATAAGAGAAAAAGACCTATGAAAAAGCGTTTTTCTTTGAAATCACCGCTTAATCTCAGTTAATCATTTTTGTATACTGAATTCTTTCATGAACAACACAGGAACATAGCTATATTTAGACAAGATAAGTTAGGCCAGCCACAAACCTTAATAAGGTGGTAATAAATTTTTAATTAGCGAGCCTATAAATCTTTAGTCCAAAGGGAGTAAAACAGAGAGAATCAAAATTTTGTAATAGCTGCGAACCAAATTGCTAAGAATTTAATTATAATCGTACTTGTACATTGATGTTTGTAAACATATCAAACCACCCCTCCCCAAGCGTTTTGTGACGCCCCTACATTTAACATAGTGGACTATTTCAAACATTTGACTATTTATGATATGTGAGAGTTTTAATGTAAATAATTTAGGGTTTAGAGATAATTGTTTGTGTGGTTGTTTTCAGTGGTGTGCAGTGCTTCATAAGAGCGCATGAGGCAATCTAGATCCTGGGTCTTTTTCATCTCCCGACCACATAGGGGGTAAAGGAAATTTCACTCCCGTACTCCTTCCCCCCCCTCCCCCCCCCTTCCTGCCCCCGGTGGGGCGAAACAAGACCCTGGGATCGAGGTTATACATGTCGAACAAGTAACCACATTGTTCCCAGGGTTTTCTCTTACCTGTCCTTCTGGAGCGAGTAGGAGAAAAACCTGGGAACGAGGTTGGACAAGCAACTGAAACTTTGCTGTGAAACACGGGTCCTGACAATCCATTGGTCACTTTTGCTTACAGTATGATAATTTTAGTTAATATATACTTGATTGAAAATGCTTTTGAGACTGCTTTAACTAGGGATGTAGTGGCACTGCTAATTGAAAACTTAAGAACAGTAAAACTGTGAAAGGTTTGAACCCAGGAGTCATTTCAAAAGTAGGTTGAGGTTGATCGTCCGGATGAGCGTAGTCCTGAATAGGACTGTTGTTGTTGACAGTGACTGACGTTTCGACAACCTGTGCGGTAGTCATCTTCAGAGTCAAAGTGAGTTTTATCACGTGATACAACTCACTCACTCGTTCACCCGGGCGATCAAACTCAACCTACTTTTAAAAACAGTTATAGCATATTTTGTTTTATGTGAGTAATTATCTCTAATCTGCAACCTATCGTCGACCATTTTATGGTAGAATTAATCAGTTTTACAAAATATGAATAGTGTATTTTTTAAATGAAGACGATGTAAATATTGCAATCGACCTAAATGATGCTTTGAAAAGTATTGTAGAAATCAACTTTGAACGAGAATGAAATTTCTGACATTTTATAGAGTGGAGTCAATGTGACATTTGCTATAGTGTGAAGACCGTTTATCAGTTCTCATACCAAGTTAACAGCAAACCGAGCATACGACTTCTCATGGTAATTACAATAGCACAAGGAACTCGGCCAGTGCAGGTTAAATCCCTTCACGGGGGTACTCCCTATCGGATAGCTGCCTGCCGCCCAGGGTCTTGACGAAAACTAAACTAATAATTTAACACACAAACCTTCATTTAAACGCTTTCAAGGGATAGTTCGGTTTTAACAGATGATTTGTTTCTCGTGCAGCTGGGCATTTACCCTCTTGAATTTTAGCTGATACAATTTAGGTACCCTAGCGAAGGACCACACTGGGAACAAAATGCCAGTTAGGGCAAAAATGAACTTCAAACACTGTACCCTATCGGGCGGCACATAGTAGCAAGCATTGCCTAGTTCCCAAGTCTCATTATTCTGCGCGGCCAATTCGTTTCGGGTCACATCGGACAGGTACTAGGCAAGTCCATATATGGGAGTACCCCCTCCACGTTCGGGATCCTTTCGTGCTTTACAAACTAAAGAAAAATATTTTTTCCTTTGGTCCCTGCGCTCGTCTCCCACTTTGCGGTTCATCCTTGCCTAAACTAGAATTACTAAAGTGTCTCGCAAACCATCGTGGAACATTGTTGTTTACCCTTCACCCTTGCTTAAATGACTTTCATTATGAAGCCTACAAGCCAGGAAATGCGTTGTGAAAGTGTCAATAATGGCTAGAGGAGATACCTAGACAAGGGACTGGTTTTGTGTGCTTCTTCCCTCGTAATGCGCAGTTTGTATTAACAGACAGCAATCTTCAAAAGAACATAGCCTGCGCCAGGCTCTCGGTCAGTGCTGACGAGCGAAAACTATGGCGTTCCATTTCCGCCAAAATTCAATGTTTCATTTTACATTCTACTTTGCACAATCTATCCTACACTTTGTGTTTGTCATTTGAGTTTGCACTCGCGATTCAACTTTTTTGCATTCAACATTCAACTTTGATTTATGCAACATTCAAGTTTTCGCTTTCGACATTCAACTTTTCATAAGCAACAGTCAGGTTTTGGAATTCTACCTTCAAGTTCAGTGGAATGTACATTCATTTTTTCTCATCCAACATTTAGCATTTGTCCTTTAAGTTTTCGCTTCCGACATCCGACTTTGAGCATTGCACTTGCAAGTTTCCGCATTCGACATTCAACTTTTCGACTTTGACTTTTACCCGCTGGTCAGCGACCGATTAAGATCGTGGGCTCAATTGACCTGACCTACCCCCGCTCAAATGGTGGTCGAGAGACTTCCCAGTCGAGTGGACTCGGGAGACCTTCTCCACTCCCGACAAACCAGACGTCGACAACAACATGGCCGATCGCCAGTATGCTGCACAGTCTTCGAGGGAGGTGAGTGTTGTCCAACCGACTTCTGCCTTCTTTAGTGGGACACTATACGTGACACAAACAGGGAGGCAACGCGCTACCTGTTTGCATCCCTTCAGCTTAATTTGAAAAGGTAAAGCATGTTTTGTAGTGATATTTAGCATAAATACCACGAGTGATATTTGAAATTTCACGAGTGAAATTTAAGACAATTTTGAAATGTCACAAGTAGTATTTATACCAAAAATCACGTACACATCATGCTATTATTTGTTTATACTACTACCTGCAAAGGTGTTGTAATTTTCATATGTAAGTATTTCAAATTAAGCTTAAGCTGAAATGCCACTGCTCTAAGCCAATCAAATTGCAGAAATTTCTCATGTAGAAGTAGCTTAAATATTCCCCCAGAAATTGTATTCTCATGCGATAAGCGCTGTTAATTGATCAATTTGTTTCATCTTGAGATTACTCAAATATTTGATCCCGCAGATGTCTGATGACAAAGCCTATTTAAATTTAGCTGTCTTGGATATCATCAGTGCTATAGACAGATTTACAGGGTCTGCAGATCCATCAGTAGATTTCCAACCAATAGTTTTCAAGTTGGATTTTCTGCAAAGAATAGCTGTCGGCCTCGATGTGGATGAACTAGTCACAGAATTGATTGGACATGCTTACAGGATGTTGGTTGAAATTGATCAAAGAAACCTTGTTAACTATGCATATCAAGCTCCATTGAATAGTGGAGGGCAACGAGGGAGACCTTCATATGAAATCAGCGAGGAACAGCTTCATTTTTTACTTGAGCAAGGGTTTAAAGTATGTGACATAAGTAAAATCCTTGGAGTGAGTGCCAGGACAGTTGAGAGGAGGATGTCAACATTTGGGTTGAGTGTATCAGGTATAAAGTAACGTGAATCTTTTATTTTTGTCTAATGAGATGATAAACTACTACAAGGACAATTTTTATAACAAAGTGATAATATTTAGTACAGGATTAAGGCTATAAAAAAGTAATGTTGATAGTTGTTGCACCAAGCAGTGGTGATTAAGATTTTGCAAATTAAAATGTTGACTTCCACTTACTTTTACCTAGGGATCCACTCCCATAAATGATAGATTTTTCCTTATACCATCATTATCTTTATTGTTGTTGACCTTTCACACTTCAGGGGTAGCTTGACTGAGAAAAAGTTACAATGTCAAGTGTAGCCTCAGGCCTGAAGAATGTTATTAAATTATTATGGCAGTTTTACATATCTGGATGCCCAGTATTAGTAAAACACACAGAAGTGTTTGAACTAAAATTTTGTTCACCATTCTACCTAGCTTGAGATTTATGACAAAATCATACTA